GCCTAGCGAGGCGCGGAGAAGTGCGAGTTGTAGGTCTTGTTCCCTGATCATGGTTGATGGCCCCGACCGACCAGTCAGCCGTGAGATCTTGAGCCGCTCTATCTCTCTAATAAGGGACAGCGCAAACTCTCCATTCCTGAGCAGGAAATAGTTGGCGCTGTGTAATGGACTCGGTCAGATGTTCAAGGATGTATGAGACCACCTTACTCACAGCGAATCAACGGCAACCTCAACGTCCTTGCGGGTCAAGACGTTGTGCCAAAGCCACTCACTGACTGTCGTCCTGATGTCTGCAATGACGCGATCAAATGCGTACTGATCTTGCGGCAAGACTGTTTCTAGTAGCTGCGTATGCTCGACAGCTAGGATGCGAGGAAACTGGCGTATCCACTTCGCCGCTTTCACAGTACCGATGGCGCGGCCGACGTACGCTATAGACTCTCTCGACTGTGCGGACAGACACGATGGGACAGACCCTTCAAGCAGCGTGTAGTCCTTCGATGCCAGCGGGTCCTTGTCCGACACGGTCCCATGCACGACGAACGCCTGCAGCTGGGCGATCCAGACGCGCTGTACCGCATCACACAGCCGAGAGTAGATCGACGCTATCCGGTGTATACCCGTGTGCGAGCGCGTCAGGAGCAGGTCGACGAGCGGCCCCGGCTGCGCGTACCGCTTGTCCTGCAGGTCCTCGACGAGCTTCTCGAGGGCAGCAAGCGGGGCGTCCCACTCGGCGAAGGTGGCGCGGATGGAGGAGAGCGGGACGAAGGACCCGCTCGCGACGAGGCTCGCGTCGCGCCGGAGGACCTTCGCCTCGGTCTCGACGACGAGGTTCTCGTATTCGTCGCGGAGAATCTGGTTTAGCGTCGCACAGAGTGCCGCGCTGTAGCGCGACGGCGAGCGGGAGAGGGTGGCGCATGCGTCCTTGATCTTGCGGTAGCGCGCGGCTATCTGCCCGAGGGACTCGAGGCATTGCTGCTCGCCGGGATGCAGGAGGGGGGCGAATGCCGGATGAACGGTGTGGTCGGTGGGGAAGAGAGAGGATGAATGGCCCGCGAGAACTAGTAGGACTTCTGCAATCATGGTCAACTTGTGCCGTCAGGTATCATCCCTGTGTTGTGTGCAGTATAGCACTCACCCAGGGCCTGTACGCGTTGTGCTCACCGTCGGTTGGGAGTCACGATTGTAACGATGTGAATATGCAGTTCACAGCCGCGTAATGTTTGGTCCTAATTGCATGTAATGCCTGGACATCCTCAGAGCGCGTCAATCGCACATGTAAGAGAAACCGAACGCGAACTCACCTCGTCTTGATTTCTAAAGCGCGTCCGTCGCCAGCTGCCGCCGCAGCCGAGCGCGTCGCCCAAAGTGCACGTGATGACATATACCCGGGCAACGCGTCTGAGATCACCGTCTGCACTGCAGCCATCTCGGCGATGGACGACCACACACCACCCGGCGACACGCACGGCGGGCACGTCGAGCACGCCTACGCTGTGTCCCCTCCGCATTTTGCCTTTGACGACGCGTTCTCCGATGCCGACGATGCCGAGGAGAGGCTCGAGTTCTCACCCGAGGCCATTCGCGAAGATATCGCGAAGACGTTCACGAACCTCGACAAACACGTAGCACAGGACGAGGCAGAGGATTTTGCGAGGAAGATTGGCTTTGCTGTCGACTCAAATACCTCGGTGTCGACGTTCGACATTGACGCCGCGGCGTCCGAGCCGCGCTCGCCCGCAGCATCCCCGCCGGGTATGGTGCGCTCGATGTCCACGGCTTCTCATGTCACGTCGCTGGCGTCGCCGGGCTCTCTCTATGACATCCCTCTCTCGGAAAGCGCCTCTGGCCTCAGGATATCGGATGAGCCGTCCTCTTACTTTCATGAGCACGATGCTGCCGAGCAAGTCCGAGACGCCATCCCCGAGCGCAAGTCGTCCCCCAAGCCTGCTCAGGAACATCCCCCTGTAGTGGTTGAGGTAAAGTCGGACCCCGTACATGAAACAGACAACTACGTCGAGGTCGCACCACGTTCTGTCTCTCACGACGAGTTTCGTGCCCGAACCGTCTCGCCCCAACCCACCACCCCTCAATCTGCAGCCAGTATTGTCTCATCTCTGTCCGCTGCCAGTATCGCCTCTACATCAACGTCTCACATACCAACATCAGCATCTCTGCCCTCTCCTGCATCCAATGCATCCAACGTATCCAACATGTCCAACATGTCCAACATGTCCACCACGTCGACCACTTCCGCCCCGTCTACATTTCAACATCGTCAAGTGCGTTCTTTGGGGCCCAGCGCCCTCGACAGATTCATCAGCCATACCCGCCCCTCGTTCCTCCCGCCCAAGCCGCGGACAGAGGACAAGAAGCACTTGGCCGACTGGGAGGCAATGATGAAACGCAGCAGAGTCGCCGGTAAGTGCAGCAAGTCTGCCACCTCTGCGCCGTGAATAAGTCTTTATCGGCTCAGCCTGTTTACTCTCTTTATCTGCATGGTAATTAACAGAGGAGAAGAGACGCAAAGCGCTGCAGGAACGGCGATATGCGCGAGAGAGGAAGATCGAAGAATCGATCGGGATCTGGGAGCGCGACATCGTCCCGGACTGGACTGTCGTGCAGCGAAATCCTGCGATGAGAAAGCTCTGGTGGGGTGGAATCCCGACCAAGCTGAGGGCGACTATGTGGCAGAATGCTGCTGGTAACGCGCTTGTCCTGAACAAAGGTACGAGACTAGCTGTCCCGCGGAATATTTGATGCAGATACTGGGTAGATACGTACAAGACCTGCCTATCGCGAGCGAATAAAGCAATCGCCCATGGCACCTTCCCAACGACCGTTCTTGGCATGATAGAAGAGGATATCAAGACCACATTACCGACACTTCACGTATTTATGCCGGGGACTGGTCCTATGTATCAGGACCTGAAGGACATGTTATGTGCATGGGTCGTCTCGCGTTCAGACGAGGGTCTGGGCTATGTTTATGGAATAGCCAAGGTCGCAGCGATGATTCTGCTCAACATGGCGGCCCCACAAGGCTTTGTCGTGATGAGGAATTTGTTGGAACGTCATTGTATGCGGTCATTTTACGGTGGGCTTACGTCCAAAGACGATGTGGGTCTGACGTTGCCTTTATTTTACCTGCACTCACTCATTTTTAACACTGCAGGCAGAAGCGTACTACAGGTAGCTTGTATATCCCTCGCGCTTCAACCGTCTCTCACTCCAGTGCAGGATCTTTGATACCCTATTGGCAGATGGAATGCCCAAGAGTGAGCGCACAATCTATTCTACGTGAGCCACGCGAGGTTCTCAGTCGCTGTCTACTTCTAGTCTATTTCAACTTCAAGCAGCACCAGATATCGCCCTCTTCCTATCTTCCTGAATGGCTGATACCGCTTTTCCTGGATCATCTCCCATTTGAAGCCTGCGCGCGAATATGGGACATTCTCCTGCTCGAAGGAGATTCGTTCCTGTACCGTGCTGCAATCGGGATTCTGGCAGTGCTCGAGCCTCGATTGTTCTTCCCCGACCGTCGCGAGCTTCTAGAGCTGCTTAAGTGGGTTGCCATCTCGTTCTCAGATACATCTGTCATTCAACGTGCATATATCCAGGGGCGAGAACAAAGCTGCGATAGACGCCGCGAAGCGCGAAGGCCGTCCGCTCGATGGACCAAAGTACGAGATCTACGGCGTAGATGAGGAGACGCTCTGGGAGCGACTCGACAGTATGGACGAATGGTGGCGAGAAAGCACATGGACAAGGCTAATCCAAAGAGAATTACCAGACTTGTAACAATACGAGCACCTAGAGATGGGACTTTGAGTGAGTTATTATTCTTCGTTGTGTTTCTTATAATATTATTGCCATTTGTTCCATTTTGCATCATGGTTATTGAGTGACTTGTGGGGATGACGGCACGAGGTAGGTGTCTCCCTTCTCGTCGACATCACTCTCTTTGCCGCCCATAATCGGCTCATAGAACGTTATCGCAGATTTGATGTCGTCATATCATGATCCGTGCGTCTTGTAAAATGAAATGAGCCGCTGCAGAGGCCGCCTCGACGGTCTCGCACTCACCTCCCGGAGTCTAGGTGAACGCCACATGTCACGTGCAGGGAGGGCTGGAGCGTACAAGAACGGCCTTCTGCAGAATCTGGTCCATCTAGGCCATGCCGCCATCATGCGCCCACAACCCCTCAGACGCAATGCCCCTTGACCTGCCAGCATGTCTAGGGCAATTGCTGTTATACCGTGTTCCTATTTCCCTCGAGCCTGCGGTACGATGCCGACGTCTCGTCCCCCGCAGACGCGCCCGCCTGGTCTATGCATATGTCCAGACTGAGCGAGACGAGTCCTCCTGTTCCGAAATCCTGCGAGCGCAGGACAATATGACTGTGTCGTGCCACGCTTTGCCGAGGCTCGCGATGGTATTTAAGACGGACTGTTTCTGGGTATATTCCACACCAACCCAGGTTACACACACACTCTGCACTCGCACGAGCACACGCCTCCTACATATCCTACATCCTCAGCCCCATCCTCGCCTACACATCCTCCAAGATGATGAACCTCATTGCCGCACGCAAGCCTGTGAGTATACCGAGCCTTTCATTGACATATCCTGGTTCCTGACAATATTCGCCTCATTCATGTTCAGTCATTGATCCTCTTCGGCAGTATACAAACTGTCATGTGGACGCTCGTCTGGCGCCAATGGCAACAGCCAAGGTCAGATTATATGTTTTGAGCGGGCTGCTACGATGTGCTGAACTTAGCCATTCACAGCTTGATTGAGGGGCCCCTCCCCTCACACATCCCGAAGGGCCACATAGGGCGCAACCGGTTTCAAGTCTCAACGGGTGCCTATGCACACGCATAGGCATCCTGAGCATCATGAACGCCTTGAGCTCCTGGGAGACTATCTTATCACGCGGTCAGACGACTGGCGGTTTTTTGTACTCTACTGCAACGGAGAGCTTGGCCCCACCTAGCCCGCAGCATCGCATATAGCAGTTTGTACCATAGAACACATCATAGCAAGGCATTTTCGTCGCATTTTCAAAACAAGACAGAGAAACATATAGCATTTTCCGCAAGAGAGCAAATAGTACATGTGTGCGCGGTCTAGCTTGCGTCAATCGCCGTATCCCCGCTTGAATCCTCGTCCTCCATTTGACTTTTCCAGAGCGCATACAGCTTCCGCCGGTTAGCGTCGCGCGTATCCTGCTCGCTCGCTATATCGAACATGCGCCGCAATAGCGCCTTGCGGAGCGCACCGCGCTTGACGGCGCCCTCGGCTTTTGGGTCGGACAGACAGGCGTTCTCCACGAGATGCGGGTAAGAGGGCGCCGAGAGACGTGGTCGTTTATGCCTTGGCGGCTCGTCCTCTTCTTGTGGCGGCTTGAGCGCCGCATAGAGCGGCTCGAGGAGCTCGGACTGTATGCGCTGGTATGTGGCGTTTGTGTGGGTGCGGGCAGCGAGAGTGAAGAAGGGCGTGAACAAGGTCGAGAGCGGTGCGGGAGGCGGTGGAGACGTTGACGTTGTCCCCAGTGCTTTATCGAGCTCTTCCAAATAAATATCAGCTAGGTGGTACCCGAGACTGGCGGGTACCCGCGTGTCATCTGGACTGCAGTCACGTCAGTAGAAGCGGAAGCAATGCCAAACGCAGGTCTCACCATAGAGGACCTCCGCGGCTCGTGTATATTGAGTTGCATTCGTCGCACGCAGCACTGTCCCACTCGGTTTTCATCAAGAGTCTGAAAGACGCGTTGACAAATCTCCGAATAAGCATGTAGTATTTGTCGATCCTGTATGATGTTTGTGAAATACGGAAATACGAAGGTAACGGTATGGACTAACCGCAGTCTGTCTATAGAGTTCCACTCCCGTACTGTCGCCTCCCAGAAACCACGGAGAAACGCTAATGATGACTGCGTGGTGCTGATGGTCAAGATAATTTCCGCCAATTCGCTTGCAAGAGCCTGCTGCACAAGAGGCTTGTCGGACATCCAGAAGCCTGAGAACCGTCAACATCGTTCGCCAGTGTAGATTCATTCATGACCGGAAGAACGCACAATAAAAGATACCCTTCCAGAGCTTTGCCATCTCAGACTTAGGCAGGGCATCTCGAGAAGGGTCCGAGAGAAACGCTGACAGGCCCTTGATCGCTTTGTCCCGTGTCTTCTTGTCTAGCATCTGTATGAGTCGTGCGCTAGGCGAAGAGAAGGTAACATCATCTCACCGGTGGATGCGAGATATTTGCCAAGGGGAGGGACATCGGTCGAGGACGATGCTGCAGCCATTCTGTTCTCCGTTGAAGTCCTTTAGCGACTGAGTCGGACTAGAAGAGGCTCTGAAACTACAAATCACAAGGTGCAATGTCCGAGTCGTGCCCAACACGATCGTTACGTTTTTCTGACCGCGTCCACCACGTGACTCCGATCTCGATCGATCTCGATAGGGATTTTGGCGGCGCTTGAGTGCCCCTTTGATTGACACGTTCACAACGCGACTTGTTACGATTGCTCTCACAGCGCTGTGGCGGGCATTCTTCATGTATGTATCTTACCATGGGGTGTCTGATCACAACCTCATATTGCCTATCCACTGCGGGTTTCATGTCCTCAATTATCATACAATACAAAAGTTGACATTTCACACAGTAACTATGCGATTATGCCCACATACCCTCCAGGGGGTCCGCAGGGATTTTATCCGAGTCCATAGACAGCTCCTCGAACACCTGCTGTATGCTCTCTTGCGATTCCTTCTCTTCCGCTTCGGTCAATGCTATGGCAGCTCCACATTAGCGCTTAACGTCTTCTAGGAGTCACTCACTCACCTATGCCTCTACCTTCGCCTAAACTTTGCTCCAAACCCTTGTCGCCGCTTCTGGCAGCAATGAACAACAGCTCTACTCCTTCGTAATCCAGCATCTGTTTTCGCTCGACGCTCGCAAACCGTAGGCCAAAGTCTTCCCTGCCCCTGCCGCCTCCCCTTCCGAACACCTCAGTCATGATGTCATCAGGGTAATCCACTGCACGATTCTTGGGAAGCCCAACGCGTCCGGGCCCCGTCGGCGGTGCGAGCGGATTCTTCACTTGCAGTACAAACGACGATGCGGCATGAATGCCTAGCTCTTCCTGAATTTCGCCGAAGTGCTCGGGCGTAGGATGGGAGAGGTAATAGCCGAAGTGGGTCTCACGCTGTGAAGGTATGCGGGCCTCCTTGTTGACGACGGCGTAGGCGCCACGAGCGGCGAGCCGCGCAGGGCCCTGGTGGCGCGTTCCTATGGACCCATAAGCGGACAGCCAAACACCCATGTACGTATATGTGTGCTCACCCCGCGTCTTCGTCTCGTACTGCTTGGGGCCAAGCCCTTCTTCCAGCTTCTTAAGATTTTCGCCCACGGTCACGGTGGTCGCCCAAAATATGTTGTTTCTCCCGCGACCCTCTTCGGGATCTGGCAGACTCTTCTTGCCGACGACAAGCAGGCGGAAGGGCTTCTTCTCTTCGTTCGTGGGCTCGTGCGCAGGCACGGCGTCCGCGCCCTGGGAGGACAACGTCATCTCTTGGTCTTCGCTCTTGGCCTCACCCGTCTTCGCGGGCTGCTCGGACGAGGCAGTGCTGAGATCCGGCTGGCGTGGAATAAGCAGAATGTGGAAGCGCTGCACGTCATCGATCGAGTGGGCTTCCTCAAGTTCGACCTTGGGACGGTAGAAGAAGTATATGTGCCCGCGTTCGATGGTGCCTGTGACTGGCAGTCAGACGTGCCCAACGCTACAGACCTAAAGTTACATACCAGTCTGGTATGTATGCGCTGCTGGATGATCTTTGGCAGCCTGCGTGTCTGCGCTGTTCTGTTCCTGCTTGGCTTCCAAGTCGACATCGCCCTTACTCTCCTCCTTCACACCGTCTTCCCCATTTGTCTCGAAATCTTCGGCATCCACAGTCTTAGCTTTCTTGGCAGGAGGCTCTTCCTTCTTCAATTCTTCGTCCTGCGGTTCCTGCGGTTCTGCATCTCGCTTTTCACCTGCCGCAGCAGCTTTGTCATGCGCATTCTCTCTCAGGGTTTCCTTCTTCCTTGTAGATGTCTTCCTGGTGCGAGGCGCTTGCTTGCGCTCGACGTCGCCAGCTTGCTGTGCTGCAGCCTGTCTGCGTGTAGTCGGCATCGTATGCTGTCGAGATGAAGGATGAGCGTACAGGACAGATTTCGATGTGCAGTGGTGGGGCGTGCGAAGATTCATGTGGGGTCCGGACTGACCAGACCAGAATCACTTCCTCAGTGACATCATCATACCGTCGCGTCTCCTCGCCCAGGCGCGTCTTGGGCACCGGTCACGTGGGCGCATACACCGCGTACTGCCACTGACGGCTCCGAGGTAACGCCGCCCGTGAATGATTCGCGTCATTTTGAATGCCAAGTGAACGAGGAAACTCTCTAACGGTGCGCGAATGCATACGTCGATTTCATTCTTGAGATACTTCGTTTGATTATGGTACAGGATGCCGAGATGAATGGCACATCGCTACTACTACAAGGGCACACATGACCATATGTGTAATCCATTTACGTCACGGTAATTCTCTTTGGGCCCTCTTGAGGCGCTGCCTTAGGGAAGGTGACAGTCAAGACGCCATTCTCCATGGACGCCTTAATCTCGTCAGTCTGGAAAGACAAGTCAGTACTCATCCTTCATAGAAAGGGATATCAGGTTACTTACGTTGACCCCAGGCGGGAGCTGTAAGCTCCTCGAAAACTTGCCAAACCGCCGCTCACGGACTGCATAGCCAGCCTCGTCGCGCTCGGTGGATTGTGTGCTCTCACCCGAGACTGTAAGTCTGTTGTTATGAACGTCAATGTTGACGTCCTCTTTCTTCAGACCAGGCAGCTCGAAGGTTGCTTCGACCTGGCCAGTCTGCGTGTTCTCGTGCACGTCCAATCTATTGGTAGGGAATCAGTACTTCGTGATATCGCCTAACTGGATGCAACAATGTCTACATACTTGGGCCATGCAATGACGCTGCGGTTCTCTGAGCGACGCTGCACTTGACCTTGAGGGACACCGACGTTCCTGTCGACGAGTGCCTGGTCAAGGAGGCTGTCGAACATTGCGAAAGGGTCGTAGAAGTATTGAGGGAGAGACATTGCAATGTAGTAAGTCAAAAGGCTTTAGCGAATACTGGAGGTGTTTCCTTGCTGATACTTTCTGTGGAAGCTGGGCCCCTTCCTCCTCTTCTTTTATACCTGCAGTACCCATCCCTCCACTTCGTCTGTCGACTGGCCTCGTCACGTCTCGTACGAACGTTCATGTACTGGCGCATCCTGGAAACGGCTCGAACCTTCCTCCTAACCCTAATGCGACGATGAGCGCTTCCGGTGACGCCATCGGAACATCACAACACCAAACAACACGTCCATAGTAGGAAAGTGTAGTTCGAGAACATCCAAGCAGTTCCCCGCCACCAGTGCGTTCCCTCAATCGCCGTTGCTACGTACAGTTAATGCTCCCGAGGCTGTGCGTTAAAGTTTGGACTTCATTTTGCGTAAACGTTGAGTCTATCACGTCTAACCCCATCCACAGGCCACGCCACACCGTCACAAGGCATCCCTCCGCTTGGCCTACCTCACCTATGCCGTTCTATCGCGGGCTCGGTGCACTTCATCTTTGCCTCAAGGCCATGCCAAGGGCCCCCCTTTCGCTAACTCGGCTTTTACCTTCTGCCGCCACTAGAAGTTGCATCTTATTAGTTCTTATTAGTCTGCGCAGTGTTCCAAGCCAACACAGCCCTACATGCAACTGCTAACTGTGGTAACACACGCAGATCTCGATGTGGGGCAGAAGACACCGAGGCGCGTTGAGGCTTCTTGGCGGTGTGATAGGCTTGCCGAGAGGAAGCTAAAACGTGGTGTCGCCAAGCGATGCGGGTTCTGACGATGATGATGTGCTTGCCAAGACGGCAAGGGCTGCGGCCTCAATGCCGTTCTATCGCTGATCCGTCGAAGACAGGCCCACTGACACCCATACCGGCGTTCTTGTGCTGCAGCCACACAAAACCGTGGAAAGATGCTCCCCAATGACATCCCCTCCGATCGCAAAGCGGACCATTCAGACGCTACCCCCGGTATGTTCCAGCTGCCTACAGGCTGATATCCCCTTCTAAAAAAACACGCACAGTCAGCATTTCCGGAGTTTGGCGCGAGGCTTGGTACGAAGCCTGCTGACCGCTAGTATCCGCATAGTCACCTATAGCCTGAATCATCCTGATTAGGGATTCCAGTCCCACATTTTTCACAGATTCCAATAAATCTTTCATCTTGAATGTAGCTGTCGCAAGCACCGAACGCCCGTCAGCTGCAGTTCCAATTGGAGTGGTAAGCCTCAGGGGCGTCGGTAAGGTACATGTAAAGACATAGGATGAGACGTAGCTAAGGCCAAGCGCATGTATGTCTGTTTACCTTGACAATCATCTTTTGCTGCCCCTTTCGGTAGCCTTTGCGACGTTTTTGTAAATCATGTAGCAAGGTGATATGCCCAGACATTCCAAGCAAATCTCACACCACTCGGTAGTGCTTTTTATATCGCAGCCAACAAAACACACGAGTATAAGAATTGTGGCGTTATTTATAATAACCTTCGGCAGCCGCGAAGCCCAACAAGGAGCAGCGCAAGCCCAGAGCGTGAAATACAGTATACACTAATACGATTATCAAAGACAAAAACTCTACACCAGTACAGAGGGTCCGGCCAAGGCCTGTCGTCCACAATTACACCAGCACACCCAACAGACCTCTCCTCTCCACGCCGCACGCCAGCAAAGACAGGAACGGCCCGCACCTATGCACTGACCATCTCGACATCCCGCATCTCCTGCCGCCGGGCGCGTGGCGGAGACGACGCGCCGAACCGCTCGCGGTACTCCCGGTTGATGGACACGAGCAGGTCCATCACGAGCCGCGCGTGCGCCGCCCGCTGTGCAGGCGTCACCGGCCGCGGCGCCCGCGTCTCGAGCTCGATGCGGCTCACCGCGCGCGCGAGGTCGTCCGAGTCGCGCCGCGTATGCGGCACGCGGGACGCGATCGCGCGGATGCTGGGCAGCTGCGACTGCGCCTGCGCCTGTGCCTGCGACTGCGACTGCGCGCGCGGCGGCGGGGAGAGCGTCGATGCGCGCGAGATGGGCGACGACGTGCCGTCGGTGCCGCCGGGCGACGGCGAGCGGTAGTGCAGCGGCGGGAGCTTGTACTTCTCGTCGCCGGACGTGAGGAGGGGGTAGAGCGAGTCGCCCTTGCGCGCCGACGAGGACGCGGGCGCCGACGCAGAGGGCACGGGCGGACGCGTGAGCGACGTCGTGAGCGAGCTGACGGACTCGGGCGTGAGCTTTGCGGGCGGGCCACGGTGCCCCGTCGTGCTCAGGCGGGGCTCCATGGGCTCGGGGCGGCTGCGCACCCCAGGCGCGCTTTTGAGGAGCGGGTTTACGCGCATGTTCCTCCCGTTGTAGTCCATGGGCGCCAGCTGCGCGGGCGGCGGCGCCTTGCTTGCGCGGACGTACCCGAAGGTCTCCTCCGGGAAGAAGAGCATGGGCGCGGAATCGTCGAGGTGCGGCGGCGTCGCATTACTCGGCGTGGATGGCGTGGAACGCGCTGAAGGCGACGCGCCAGGATGGGGGGCGCCGTCGTGCGACGGTGTGAGGTACTGCCCATATGTATGCGGCGCGTACTGCCTGGCGTAGCGCTCATCCGCATCAGAGGACACAGAAGAGATGCGCTGAACGCGCGCGCGCGAGCCGGCATACTGCATCTGCGGGGTGAACTGTGAATGCGCGGGCGCCATGTCGTGTGCGCTAGGATACCCCGCAAACTGCACTGCCTGCACGGACTGGTGCGCCGCGCGGCTCGGATAGGCGGGCGGCAAGTGATGTGAGGAGAAATCGACGGAAAGATAGCCTGTGTCGCCGTGGTAGCCCGCGCCGGAGCCCGGACCAGGCGCTGGGGGGATGCCAGGCATACCCGCTAGCCCAAGCTGCGACAGCGTCGCGGCGTCAAACAGGCTGTGCGGTGATGACTCCTCGGACGAGAGGTGATGCACCGGCCCTGACTGCGTGTGATAATGCTGCTGTGGATGCGAGCGAGAGCCGTTGGCCGCGCCCGCTACGTCGCGTCCAAGCGTCAGCAGAAAATCATTGACCGCAGCAAGCTCTTCTGGGCTACGGATGTCGAAGGATACTGAGCGCGGGTTGAACATAGCGTTGTTGGCCACCGAGTGCGCGCCTGTCACTGCGCCCATAGCCTGCTGTTGATACGCAAGCGAATTGAGGCGTGCGGCCATATCTGGTAGACCAAATATTATTAGCGGTCAGACAGCGTCAAAGACATGCGCGCTGTACGCACTCGGATCATAGGAGGGATTGACCTTCCGCTTCTTGACGTCTGTGAAGAAGTCATCGACACTGTACTCGTCGTGCGTGCGCTTCGAGCTGCTGCCGGACGTCCTGGACTGCGAGCCATCGACCGTGAGAACTTCCCAGGTGGGCAACTGGGCCTGAAGATGGTAAGGGTGGCCTCGCACAGGGGCGGACTCCGCGCTCGGGTATCTCACCGCGGCCTGCTCGATCTCGGGAGAAGGCGTGGAGAGAAGACCGTACTCAGCTAAGGGATAAGACTCAGCATGACCAATCAGCGAGGACGCGATGGGGATGACACATACCGGACGAGCGCTCGGACGCAGAGAGCGAGTTGCTCTTGGCACGGGCGGTGGGGACCTGGGCCTTGTCGTGGAGACGGCTGTGGGACGACGGGTCCCTGTTGTCGACGGTGGAGGCGGAGGCATCGAGGGCAGGGTGCTGCTCGCCGCGGACGCGGGTCGTGTAGGACGGGTCGGCGACGGTGATAGCCTTGGAGTGTTTGTGCTGGGCGTGATGTTCCTCGGTATGGATCTTCTCATGCTTCTTGAGGTCCTGAGGGCGCTTGAACGGTTTCTTGCAGATAACACAGACATGGGGCTTGAGCGGCGTGTGGACTGGGGGCCGGGGTGTGAGATCCGAGATCGAGGCAAGCAAAAGGATGATGGATACGCACCGCGGAGGTGGCTGGTTATGTGGTCGCGTTTTGCACAGCTGGTGCCACAGTCCTTCCACTTGCACGTGAGGCAGAGGTTGCCGGTGCTCTTGCGGCCGATGTGGTCGTTGCAGAGGTGGTTGTAGAGGGCCTCGGGGTCGGCGAAGTACTTGTCACAGTCGGCCCACTGGCAGTCGTGGCGGGCGACGAGGTCGTCGGTTGGCAGTGAGGGAGCGGCGGGCGGGGGAGTCTGCTGCGCGTCGGACGCTGCCGAGGCCTTGGAGGACTCGGAGTGGGAGTGGGGGGGCGGTGAGGCCGAGGGGTGTGGGTGGCGGGGGGAAGCGGCCATGACGGGGAAGAGGTTGTCGTCGTCGGTGGGGACGATGTCGAAGGGGTAGAGCTGGCGGTAGAGGGTGTTCTGGAGGGTGGTGAGGGGGACGAGGGACCTGGGGTCGGCGTCGTCGAGCGGCATGGCTGAAGAGAGCACTTGACCTCTTAAAATGCCCTCCTATCGAGATCTCTTGGCACTCGTCCGCCAAGCCCAGCTCTCTTGGCGGGGCTTGGCACTCCATCCCTCTCTCCCACTTCCTTATACAGCCCTCGGCTCTCTCCGCATCTTCTTCCCACGCCGTCCTGCGCGCTCACGCGTGGCTCGCTCGACGAGCACGGCGGGCTGTTCGTGCCTCACCTCCTCATAGCATGAGTAGCCCGACGATCCTCCAAGGTCTACCCGCACGCGGCCTGATACGCTCCGTTGCATTGGCTATGCCCAGACGACACATGCAGGTGCGGAACGCCGGAGTCGCGTCTCGCCGTGTGCGCTACAGCAGCTCTGCCGTTTCTGTCGTACTCTCACAGCGCAGCGCCGCTGTCACACATCATCATCATCTGGCTTGGGCCGTGGTGCGCCGTACTACTGAATGGCATGGCAGCATTGGGCGATCGAGTGAACGCGCGAAGGCGAGATCGCGTGAGGCCAGACGCCACGCGCCGGCCATGCCGCAAATGGGCGGGAGGGCCCCGGACACCGCGGTGGGCCGGCGGGAAGGACAGGCTTGGGCGTGCCAAGCCGCACATCCACCCGCCAAGAAGCACGCGCTCTGCGATCGCACCCCGCCGCGCTGGGCCCTGGCTGCCGCTCTGGGCGCCATGCCCATCTCGTGCGCCGCCGTGCGACCCGCCCACTCGCGACGTTGCCCGAGCCCCTCGGAGCGCACAGCGTCTGTCTGGCGCCTGCGGGTGGCTGCGGGACCTGCGATCGGCGACATGGGTGCGTGCGTCGGCCCCCGCGCGGTCTCACTCTCTATCGGCCCTCGTCCGCCTTCTCTGCCCTGCATTCTGCAATATATACGCACCACCACCCACGGGTCGTCCCGGGAGGATCACACCCTGCCCGCACGCCGGATATTGCGGGGAAGATCGTGAGACGGGCCCACCAGTACTTGGGAGCGTTGTGGGACCTCGTCCCGGACGCACTTGTTGCAGCTGCGAACCGTCGACGGGCGTAATCGGGGACCGCTGAGTCGTCCACACAGCGTTCACGATGCCGTACACCGCAGCGTACACAGGGATCCCGCTGCTGTCTGTCGCGAGTTCCGGCCAGGGCATTATCAATACTACTACGTTGAATGAATAGCAGTATGGCGATCGGGCGGCCGCCAAGCCATCATATCGCCGCACACTGGCGCCCTCTCGCCCCAGGGCGGGCGATCGTCCTCGGCGCCAGCTTAATTTTGGAACAACGTCAGTGCTCTCGCCGCCGCCTGCCTCTCAGCCTTGTCCATAGCTCTCCCCTGCCACCTGACCAGCCACCTCGGGCCCTCCTGCCACGTCTAGCCCGGCCTTTTGTTCCCGCAAACAGGCCGCGAACCATCCGGACGCCCGTCTGGCTCTGCCCCGTCTTCCTTGCGCATGCAAATGTTTTGTCTCTCCTGTCCCCATGCTCGCCATAAAAAGTACGATCACAACAGTCAGCAAGCACGCTCATGTTTCTGCATTTTTGCAGCCAATCGCAGCCACCCGGAAAATACAGGGATGCTACCCGCGCCGTGCTCGGAGGAGCATGCACACGCGTACTGCTTGAAGTAATGACCCGTAGCGGCGCGACGCTGCAAAGCCACGGCGCGCTCAGAATGCGTGTTTCTAGCCGCTATCGTGAAATCACCGCACCGATGTTTTAGTCAAGTCGTATGCATGCTCCCCGGACGTGCCCCCGGGAAAGGGAACCACGATACTTCGCTCCCTCTGGGCTATGATTGGCCGCATGCATCCGTTGCGCTATGGGCCCAGCAATCCGGCAGCATGTCGCGTCGCTAGCAACCAAGCCGCGCTCCTTCTGCATGCTTCGCGGTTCGCGGTGCTGATAAGCACGTAAAAAACGGACGCTCGCAGGGAACGCACATCCTCGGTATTCTCGGGGCTGGCTCCAGGCATACGGACATGCACCCTCTCGGTTTCTTGATCGTGGGCGGCACGTTCAGAGCAGAAAGGGCTACCCAGAGCCGGAATCTGATGCGGTCATCAGAGTCATCAGAAAACCCGGTCACGCGCCCGCCCTGCTGCCTGCGTTGCCAATGGGCACTGCAGGGCTAACGGCGCCGTATCCACGACTGGCACGCCAGCGACACGGCGAGTTCGTTGCGTGTATACATACGCGGCCAGGAATCGTGATGCGCCCTCGCCCAGGGACGCGGATGGCCCCCTGTTGCCATTGGCCCCCCGGGTTACGCCATCCCGCGCGTAAAAGCCACTCTGCTTTGCCCCGCTCAGCGGTCGGCTGGAGCCACCGCGTTATCTGCACATGCACGGCTCGCGGGCTGGACGCACGGGGGCAGCAGCGCGCCACCCGAGCGCCAGGAGCCCGCGCGTTGCCGTTCGACGCGGCCCAGCAGCCCGCAGGATTGTATTGGCCCTTGACAGGGTAGGTGCCATCGTGCCCGCCCGCGCGGGCTAGATGCGAAACTCTGTCTCCCTTGCGTCGTGCGTGGCGCTCAGGCGTACGGCTGGTTACTCCGCGGATGGAATGTTGTCTCCTGCGCTCGGGTTGCGTTGCCCGGTACGCCGACCGCCCCATGGACAGGTAAGTGCAGGAAACGTCAAGAATGGCATTGCGCAGAGCTCGGCACCGGTGCGAGCAGCTGCTAGCGCATGCTCTGCGCGCCAGACGCAGAGCGTGTTGAATCCCGATGCATGTACGGCCCTGCCTTGGCCGCCAAGCTAAGACAAGGCTGGGCAGGCTTCTGCAGTCTGGGGAGCTAGAAGCCGCGCGATAGTTCTTGTGCCATGGGGAATGGACAGGGGTTGACCGCCCCTGTCGCCGTTTCGGCTCGATGAAGGGACTATGTTCCGTCTGGACAGATAACCGCTGGCCTGCAAGTGGTGGGGACCCGGATATAGATACCCAGACGCAGCAACTGAGGCGATACGAACCGCTTGCACTGCAGGATGGGGTGTCCAATTCATATTCATGGACACCCTTCCCGCACTAATGGCGATCACTGGACCTTGGGCTCTGGGGGTCGGAGGAGCATGTGGAGCAGACCCTGCAACGCACCGCGTCTATCCAGAGCCTATCACCAGGCGGTCCCGAAAGACGGAGGACAGCCCAACGCGAGCGAATGCCGACTCTGCATCAGTGAATCTAAACCGCGTTGCCAATACAGGGTTCTCGTGATTCTGACGGCGCGCCCAACACAGTTTGTGTTATCACATTCTGTCAATCGGCGTGATCCATGAACAATGTTGTATGAAATGAGATGCGGGGCTGTCAGCAATCGGGATCGGCCAAGGGCCGGTTGACGCGCCTGTTCGGTGCGCTGGATTGAGGACTGTGCGGGGATAGACCAGTTCTTGGGCAAGGGCTTGGAAGCCAAGCCCGTGGTAGGCGCGGATACCCATAAGGAGCTCAGAGCCCAGGCGGGAGCCACCCGGGTTGTTGTAACCAGTGGGTCCAATGGAATACGAAGGCCGCCTCCGGGCTGACACGGAGGGATCGATCGGGCTGCTCGGTATGACGTTCGGGCTGCTGCCTCCTCCGACCCCGCTCCCAGGCACACGCCCACACACCACACAGTCTGGCAGGCAGGCCGCAGAGACGCAGGCAGGGCCGGTGGCTATGTTGCAGCAAGGGATAAAAAAAGAATTACCTCTTGCGAAAACAGCCTTCGCGTTCGCAGGAATATCCGCGGAACATTCTCATGTGCGGATTTAACAAAAGGAGCCCCAAATGCCGGGTTGCTCCGTGGTACTCAATGCGTGGTCGTGATTTACAATGCGATCGGGATGTATAGCTACAGCAATGCAGGAGAGCAGTCCGTGTATATGAGACTTAGATAACGGGGGCCTACGATTTCTTCAGTGTCAGCTTCAGCTTGGGTCCTGACCCGGAAGGAGTCGGCGGGACATCGTCATCGTCATCCATCGCCATCACCGGCGGACTCGTCGCAAGGGGAGACGGGCCGTGGCTGCCAAGGGTCAGCGATGGGTTTGGGCGCAGGGAAGTCGCGCCGGCAGGTGAGAACAAGCTGTCAGAGCCGCCAGCAAATCCGAATCCAGGCCCGCCAGGAGAAGTCGCGGGAGGACTAGAAGCGGCAGGCGTTGGCAGAGGAGGGGAGCCGGAGTTGAACTCGGCCCAGCGGGGGCATTTGCGGTTCGTTTCTGGTGACACACCTTCAGTCGCCGGGCACATGTTCGCAATACAATCACTTACTCATATGACCCATCTGGCCGCAGTGCCCACATCGCCTCTGCGCGCGACGTGAGAGATAACCAATTACAGATGGAGAAACAACCCACCGTGGTATCAGGCTTGACCGGCCGATTGAGCTGCATGGGGGTACCACCCTCTTTGACGATCTTAGCGTTCTTTCTGTGAAGTCGGCGCTCCTGGTTCTTCTTCATCCTAGCGATCTCCTCCTCGAGCCTAGTGCTCATGTGAGACCGATGTCCGAGCCACGCGGTAATAAGAGGCCTACCGTTTCATCGCCCGCCTGTCTTTATCAGCATCGCCTGTTGGTGCCAGTGCATCTGCCGTCGTGGCTTCCTCTTCCAACGCTTGCTTCTTTTTGACATACGCGTTGATGACAGCAGAATCACGGATGATCTCCATCTTCCACTCGCCGTCAATCTGGTGTGTCATGGCAAGCATCAGCACGGAACTATGGCACGGCGCATGTCACACACCAATCGTTTGACCCGCAGCACCCTCCGTTGTGCATCAGGGCCCAAGCTCATCTCCCGATCGTGCACCAGAGAAGAGCCGCGGCTGAATGTAGGGGATGTTGGACCCGGGGTCTCACGTGGGGGATGGGGAGAAGCAGCGGGCGTGTACGCATTGAAACCATCATTCACAACAGACTGCCTGTGCTGCGGAGGCTTCTGCTCCGCCGCTCTCTTCTCGTCCTCGTCGGTGAGCTCTGGCTCGTCCTTGCGACTGAGCGAGTCAAACTGCGCTTTCCAGATGCGCTCGATTTCAGACTTGTAGATGAGCTGTTGTTCTGCGACGTTATATCGGTGGGCAGACTTCGGGCGGTTCTCGGCCTCCGCTGTCAATGGTTACGTTACGACTACGGACGGCAAGAAGTGCATCACATCCACTCACCTAACTTCTGTTCGTAATCCTCGCCCGCTTTGACGAAGATGTCCTTCATGGATACCCGAATGAAGCTAAAGGCTTCTCCACGGCCCGTAGGATCCCCTTCCCCATGCAGCCGCAGCATGGCTTTCGCCTGGGTAGCAAATAGGAAGTTCTTCGTTGTGATCCACGGGGCAAGCTGCTGTTCTACAGACAGGTTGCCCTCATCATCTTCGGCGACTTCCCCATTGAAGCTGTAACCGGCGTCCTGTAGATGGCGCTGGCCCACTTGCATGCTTTCGGATAGGACGACTTGCTCAGGGTTCACCATCTTCAGCATGTCGGCATCCGATGGGATCGTCCATGATGATTTGAGACGCCAGAAACCTTGATGCGGACCTCTGCGGTGGTACTCCATGAACTCCTGCGGAAGAGTTATCAGCATGTGCACGCGCACGTCATCCGGCGCATGCAAACCTTGAGTCGCTGGCGCATCTGCAATTCATTCTGGTCAGGGAAGTATTTCATCAGGCGCGAAATCTTCAGTCGCTCCTCCGCGCTCTTCTGGAGCAATTTGAACGCAATGATCTGGAGACGGTGCTTTATTGTGTTCGTGATTTTTCGCGAATGCGGCCCAGGGACTTCTGTCACAGGATACGTCTGCCCGACGACATACAGGTTTTTGATCTCACGGATGTAGTACTTCGTGTCACTCTTGCACGTCGACCTGTATCCCCAACTGTCAGATCGGCGATAGACCGGGATCAGTAGCGTTGACAGACCTGATGACCAAGAAGTCTGTAGGGTAAGGTTTATGTCGGAACAACGGTGCGCGCATAAGATTGTTGTACAGGGATGGGACGGTCTGGCCTGGGTATACATATCCGAATTTCATGAATGGGGATTCGTCCTGTGGCTCGATGACGATGGGTTCCCCAAGGTCGTACTATGACATACATTATGAATCATACATGTACGACAGGACAAATATCAAGGTAACGCACCTTAGGTATATGCTCGTCCCGCTCGTTCTTCTTACGGTAGTAGTTCACCAGGATGCTTCCCATGCCAAAATTCGAAATGATAGGGGGATGCTCTTCCTGGGTATTGCAAATCCAGTCAGACAGCTGCGATGGCACATGGCATGGTGCTTACAGAGAATTCCCAGAGGACAAAGTTGCTCGTGTCCCGAAGGCTGAGATCACCCGTCCTATGCAAACCCTCGCCGACGTTCCCACCCTTGCCCACCTTTCTTCCGGCCTTGTCTTTCTTTGTCTTGGCTGTCCTGACCTTGCTGAAGTGGATTTCAACATTCGCAGGGAACTGCATAGCTGGCCGATGGAAAGACCGGGCTTCTTGCTTAGATAGACGGGTTTTGTACTACGCAAGCTGTTGGTATGAAAATCCGACAACGTAGAGAAATGACGTACGAATGGCAGCTGTAGCTTCTGGGCAGGATATGCGTGTTCGACGACCAGCTGGCCGAAGGTTTGCCGGACACGGTGCCGTCCACCGTCCTTGTTGACCTCGTAGAATTGGTCATTAGATAAGTTGAACTTGTCTTTCGGCTGGTTATCAGTCCGCATTCTCTTTCGTGGCCGAACAGTATCATATCCTGCAAGTACGAGATCGTTAGCTTGTCTGCGTAAACCCTCAGACGGACGGTGATGCATACCCGCGGGTCGTTCGTCAACGTGATTATCCTCCTCGTTGAGCTCGAGTTGTGTAAAGTCACGAAAGGGGGCACGGGGATTCCATATGATACTCTGGGTCCAAACGCCAGATTCAAGGATCTTATTCTGTGGGGTCGTCAGGTCTGCGGCAGGCACGCCAGGCTGCATGAATCCGCCATCATCTTCAGCTTCATAGATGATTTGGTCCTCCCAGTTTGAGAGTAGAACAAGGTCAAAGGAGCGGTCATGTAGTGGCAGCGAGACCGGAAGCTCCGAATCTCCACGTTCCTAATAACGCGCTGTTATGCATGTGCATTGTCTCGGAAAAGAGACACAATACATACCTCCAAAGCTCGCCGGAGATCACCCTCGATGCTACTCGACGCAACAACTTCTTCTACCCGCTGACTCTCAACTTGTCTTTCCATGTCCCCGACAACGGAGGCGAGAAACCCTCTCGGGACCTCTCTCTTCCTGGGGTATACTGCTTCCACTGCGCAAGGGCTGTGTAAATACTTACAGGTCGTGTCGCAACACGTGTACGCACCCTGGAACGGTCTCCGAGAAACTCTTGATTTCTGTACTGTGAATCCTTTGAAAAGCTCCGTAAAGTTGAGGACCTTGTCCTTCTCAAATGTTGGAAATCGTTCGTGGACGGTCTTTGGTCTTTCTATCCGTCTTATTACAACCTTCTTTCGCTTCTCCCCTTTCCCCATCTGTTTCGGAGACTCCATCTCCGTCTTCACTTGAGCACCATCATCGGACCCCTCAGCCTCCAGCTCTCGGTCCACCTCGTCTTCCCAGTCTTCTCCCTCTCCAGGTCCAACGGCATCGGCGTCGTCCCACTTTTCACTGTAGATTTGATTAGAGGTTAAACTTGCAGTCCCAACGAGACCGAGTCGGTTGGTCAAGGCGGGTCCAGTGGGCAGGTCGAGTCCGCTGAGGACATTGTCGAGCGAGAATCCGGTCAGAGTAGAGATAACATCGCTCTCTTCCTATTAAAGAGCTGTAGTGAAATTCCGAGGAGCGACAGAGTTAGCTCACCTGCGACATGGTACTGGTGCTTGTGGTGAATTAGTCGATATAAATACCCAGTCCGCTATGCTAGATATGGCCCGGACTGAAGCGAATTTGAAGAGTGTGTCAGAAGCACTGAGGGGGAAAGCAGGCTTGGCGGTTGACGATGAAGAGTGCACAGTCGACGCGCTGTGCCGGTAAGCTTGTGGCTACTTACTGAGAAGTGATCGAGAGGCGAGCGTTTACTCACGCGTCCAGTCCGCGTGGCACGTGCGTGTATGACATGGGCGCTTCTTTACCGCGACGGGGTGCCCGCGACTGGCCCGCGGTGGCCTCTCACACAACAACGGCCAGGACAGTCTACAACGGTACATTTGTAGCCATGTCGGACAAGAAGAAAATGGACAAGGAGACGACGCAACGGCTGGAGGTGCGTCGCCCTACGTGGGCCCTGAGCGCGTTGTGTGTGCCATTTCATGTCGATCTCATTGCGGTTGATCTGCGCAACCAGGAGTTCCATAAAGCCGCCGCAGCGGTGGCGGATGATGTTGTATACAGCATATTCCCAAATAAGGTGCGTATCTGCCGTTATTTTTCTCTGTCCATACCTGCTCAGCCGCCGTCAGATATTGTAAATTATCGCCGCCTATATGAGTTATTTGACAACCATCATTGATGCGTTATACCCTCAGAGAACTGCAGCAGCTCATTGATGCTAGCTCTGACCCTTCGTCACCCTTCAATATCTCACATGCTACGTCAGCCACAGATGTCACCGTCTACCCTCCGCCGGGTCGGGCCCCCTCAGAAGAACCGGACTCAAAGAAGCGCAAGCGCAGCGCTGATGACGGTGTGAACGGCACGTCTGCTGCGGGGCTCACGTCTTCCAACGATGCCCACCATGCTAGATTCCCAAACCTTATTCTAGCGAACAAGCACCTCACCACTGTGCATGCGGCCGTCAAGAAGGAATGCGAGCAATTAGCAGAGCTCTGTGTAAGCGTTTAGCATCTACCTCATGACCACCCCTTATGCCACCCATACCTGCAGGACAAGGTCAAACTCTGGGTAAACCTGTCAATGCCCAAGTGAGCACGTCACGTTATTGCTGACCGAACTTGTTCGCTGATGCCTTATCGCCAGGATAGAAGAGTGCGTCCGATGCATCGCTACTGTTGTGTAGCCTAGATTGGCTAATGCATCGTGTGCTCCTTGCAGCGGAGATAATTTTGGTACGTCTCTGTCCCGTGGGCTATTTTTAGAAAACATCATGAGTTCTCCAATATAGGGGTGCAAATACAGGAAGGTACGCACCTTCGATTCGGAGTTATCTGTTGCAGCTCTTACAATCAGCGTCGGCGACCAGAGGTTCTGACCGAACTCCACCGCTCTCAGGAGAGCGCATACAATCTCCGAGATGCAGGAAGACAGGACCACCTGAATCGCGCAAAAATCTGCTCTAAAATCGTTAAGTACCCTCACATCGAAGATTACACCGTGCGGCCGTTTACCCTGCCATAAAATGAACACATCTGACCCATGACTACGGTTCGGTCGTTCTAATATTAGTTGGCGCTGAAAGAGCACGACGAGAAGCAACTCTATGTCGCGCGCCAGAATCTTTACGATCTCAGGAATGTATATGCCATTTTGACCGACATTCTTCACAAGAACATGACGAAGGTATACATCAGACCGTTCGTTCTGCTAAACTATCGCTTATCGCGGATTCTAGATTCGCTCGCCAAAGGGGAACAACCATTCGGGTCTTTACTAACCAGCTGCGCACGACTGTTCCGAGGCGGTGCCAATGCGCACACTGAACGGGAAAATAGGCAGTCATCCTCCGGCCAGGGTGTCAGGGGCACACTATTCCACCAGCTCCTTTGTGCATGTGGTGCACAGCTCCTGTAATTTCCGGCTAGTGAAGCTGACAAGGCTCACATTTCCCGACGTAGAACGTGACTCGCTTCGTATGACTGTAGTACGGACAGATTATGATATTTTTAGCCTTTCATAGACTCCGCCTTCGGTTATGCTCACAAAAATTCAGCCGAGGCTTCCTGGCCCGCATGGATATTCAAAACAAAATGCAAAATACAACATTGCTACCTTATACAGAAATAGTCTTGAATATGTTGAACCCGTCCAATGCAGTGCTAATCACGGCGCCCGGTATCTGTGGGTGCCAATGCACCTCCTTGACATCGCTCTGACCCTGGTGGACGAACAATAACTGCGGAGGCACATCCCGGCCACCTTCAGGGGTCTCGTCCATGGCGCCAGTTTCATCATCGTCCTGCTCAACCGCCAAATCCCAGAGGGTGACCTGATCGTCCGCTCCAGATGCAGCAAAAATGGAGTCTTCCGTGGGATGCCATTCAATTGACGTGATGGGGGCGCGATGCCAGGCGAAGGTGGCAGCCGGAGTAGGATCAGGAGTGGACGCCCTGCAATGTCCGAGTGAGAATGATCCTAATTCTGCCTGATGTGTTTCACTACGTACCCTTTTTTCGCGACGTTACGCAGGTCCCAGACCTTGACGCCACCCTCGTCTCCGCCGCTTAGCAGCAGGTATGACGTCGCGCGGTTCCAGCTGATGACGTTCACGTCGGACTCGTGTGCCCGCTCAATGCCCGCAACGCTCTTCCTGCCTTTGCTTCTAACATCCCAAATTTGAATACTCTGATCCGCAGAGCACGATGCGAACACGGTGGCTTCCGAGGGGCTCCATTGCAAGTCCTCCACACTCGATGTATGCGAAAGGAAGGGCTGGGAAAGCGCATTGAAGCCAGAAGGCGTCGTTGTAGTGAGGTATATCTTCGCATGGATGTCGCCGGTGAGCAGACGCAATGCCGATGGGCTTGCCCCTCCGGAGGATGCCCAATCCATTGCGAAGCCTTCTGTGCGGGCATGTGAGTTGATAGTGAACGCGGGGGAATGCGTTCGTGATTTGTCGGGTGAATAGCCTGGGACATCCAAGGCTTCAATTAGCGGTCGCACATCCCAAATGTGTACCTTCCCCGTTTCTGCCCAGCTGGCTACGTAATACGGCTGCGATGCTGGGGGAAGTGCTGAGGAAGAGGGAAGTGGTTGCGCGCGAACACGGTTGACACCCCCGAGGTGAGGGACAGACCGGAACTCAAGGATGGGGTCCTCATCCAGCGCCTCGTCGTCGTCGTCGTCGTTGTCGGAATCCGAGTCATCTGACCGATACACATGAGCATTACAGATGCCTTTGACCAAGGACATATCACTTTACCGGTATCCTTTTGTGTCCGGTGTAGAGAGCTCATCTTGTATACGGACAGCTCATTATTTTTTGCGACATCTGCTTGAGTTCCGGCTACGATGTATGCTGTGGCGGGGAATCGTTGCCGTTGGTCTCCAAGGTTGTCCCGCAAAACATCGAAGGAGAGACAAGGCCAATTCACGTTCATGGAATGTCGCATAAGGTAGACAGTATCGTCGGCTTCAAGTATTTCGTCTTTTTCTAGCTTGTGCACTCCTGGGATGAAGACGTTCGGCGCAGCGGGTGTCTCATCGGATTCTTCAATAGCAGGCATAACCCCGTCGACGTCCATTCCTTCATTTAAACGTTAGAAAATATGTACATTTGCACCGCTGCGGTGAGCATACCATCATCATCATCCTCCTTCTCTGCTCCATCTATTACGTCCTCGTCGCTTTCGTACTCGTCCTCCCACCCGTCTTCAAATTCACCGATCTCATCTTCAGGTACGGTCCTCTCCCGTTGCTCGGCTGCTCGTGGCGTCTTTCTTGATCCGGAGTCGTTCCCTGAGGTATGTTGAAGCTCCGTAGCCGTGCGTTTTGACATAGCTAAGTCGCGCGTAATTTGGGGAGCTTGCGCCGAAGCTAAATCGAGGAAACAAATGACCCTCGCGTAAGTCTCTACCTCCGGTGCTCGATACCGCGATCCAAAATTTTGGCGCTCGATCAGCTCACGTGACTCATGACGATCTCAGATCCTAGATTCGGGACATACGCGTTTGCCAAGCCGACTTATCGCGCAATGACCCTTTCTATTCGCGACTAACGACTCTATCTTTCTTCGGTATGTCTTTGCAAATATGCCTCTTCCGTAGCTTGTGGGCGTTTATGTTACATCAATGGTCGGCAGGCTCAAGTTGCAGGAAAAGCAGTGCAAACTCTGCCGTCGTACGCGTGTACTCTGCAGCCACGTATACGCCGTGCCGAACGCTTTTGTAAGCTATGCGCTGACGCATGCACTTATTCCGATTTTGACGGACCATTATCCCTATAAATTCTCGTTGTCAAGGGTTCTGAGTGGTCCCTTACCTCTTCACTTCCTCATTGACAACCGTTCGACCGAATTGCCCCCACAATGTCCACCTCGATCGTCCTTACTCGCGAGTGAGTTGCCTGTCTGGGCTTTGCACAGCCATTCTCATTTTTCTAACGCTTGCCAGGCACATCTATCCCGCCGTGGCGGTGGTATCGACCTTCTGGATATCATTTTGGCAAGCCATCAGGGTAGGATCTGCGCGTAAGGCCTCTGGGATCCACTATCCCCAACGTGAGCTTGGATCCTCGTGCTGAGTTACTACGAATGCTTACCTTTTTCGCAAAGTCTACGCAGAGAAGGCGGATGTTGTGGCATCAGTGGAAGCGAACAAGTTCAACTGCACACAGCGTATGTTGTATTTATCGTGAACTGTGTCCTGCGGTTGTGTCATCAGGTATAGGTGCCCACCAAAACACGTTGGAGTACATCCCCACCGTTGCTATTAGGTAGGCCCCCATATCAGTGATCCAACGCATTCAGCTGAAGACTTGCCTCAGCACGGTCATCACCTCGGTCAAGCACCCGCTCGTGGCTGCTTCCTTGTGTGGCGCATGGGCACTGTTCCGTGTGCCTTACACCATTGGATACAGCACTGGAGATCCTGCTCGCGTAAGCAAGCCCTGCCATTGCTGCTGTCCGTTATACCCTAATCTTTATCCACCAGCGCAACCTCCTGGGCAGTGCTGTAGTGGGAACAGTGATGTGGCTAGGTGCGCATGGCCACGCCTATGTAAAACACTCATTGACGTCTGGTGTACAGGGCTTCTCGCTGCATCAACGTGGACCCTTGTTGAGCTCCTGGGCGAAACGCTGTGAACAATCGCTTCGCGTGCTGTCCCTTGTTTTGTTGTCCACTTTTCAATACGTAGCCTGGGTGTCGGAAAGTCTGTTTGTATCCAAGTACATATCGCGTTCGATACTATGCAATGTCCGAGCATTGGCCCGAGGAGTGAACCATACTACTCTTTTGAACGACGAATAAGGTAAGGGGCATCTCGTGTTCGGCCGGTCGGTTGAGATCGCAAGCCATCATCGACTTGCAGATTGATGGCAATCTCCGTTCCAATCCCGTGGTCCTCGCCACACCTGCCCATATTGTACCCCCACCAGCAGACCCATCCCTTGCCTTCCTCTACCTACACCGAATCTTTATTCTCGACGATGTTAGGGCCCTCTCACCGTCCGCCCTTGCCCACGTCCTCTTCGGCCTTCGCTCTGCCTTCGACGTCGTCCTTATCCTCGCCACATACCACCTATGCACAAGACGACCTCAGCCAGTTCATGGCATCCCGTCTGCGGCGGCCCAGCCTCCTAGCCTCTCGCGCACCCCTCACCATCGCCGACACCCCGCTTCGCAGTCCCCTGGCTACCTCCGTCCTCACACGCCGCTCAAGCACCAACAACAGCAGCGAAGAGTCTGAAAGCGACCGCGAGAATGTCAAGATGATATGGACGGACAGTCCGTCCTCGGGCGACTCTGGCGCCACCACACCACTTCTCATGGGCCCGAGCCGCACGAACTCGACGGGGATGGACTCGGAGCGTGACCAGGAGAACGCCATGAAGACGAGCAGCGCGAGCAGTAGCAGGCCACGGAGCCCCTCCGCTCCACCGATGCCGCCAAGAGATCCGTCATTGTCCAACAGCGACATCGTCCTCGAGTCCTCGAGCTCTTCCCGCAGACACAGTCGGCGGCTATCGCATAACGTACGTCTGCCTATATGCGCCTACTCTCTCTCCTAACCCCCATGTATGCGCAGGTAAAGGCCCCGCGCATACGCTCGCTCATCTCCGAGTCGCGCCCAGAAGAGAACGAGGTGCGCTCCGAAGCGCAGTTCCAGCGGCTCGTAGCGTCGCGCTGCGACCTGCCCTCCGTGCCGAAGACGCCGCGTGCCCCCTCAGACCGCGGGCGCTACCCTGAAGAGGCGGATACTGAGGAGCCGCAACGCGAAGACACGCCGAGTGATGACGATGGTGACTTCGACGACTCTGTGCCGTTCTCGTACGTGGAGCCGATCGGTATCGCGAAGCCGGTGACGCCTGCGCAGAGTGTCAACGGGGACGATATAGGGATGCTAGAGAGTCCGGGAGGTATGGCTATGGATATCGACGTGGTATGTGCTCCTTCGATGGTTAATGGATTGTCAAAGTTGAAAGCAAAACCTACAGGCGTCATCTATGGGTTCTCCTATCATGTCTTCATGGAGGCATACACCACCACCAACGTCGTCCGTTGCGCGCAATAACAAACGAAAATGTGTGTCCCTTCATCCACATTAATTTGATCCATTTTTGACATGCGGTGTAGTGGACGACCGATATGACCCATATCCCACCACAAAGCGGCGTGCAGTATCTCCTTCCATCAGTCATCTGCGAGAGAGCCAGTTGTCGCTGTTTAACCCACGTACTCCTGTTGGTACCCCGCGTCTCGTCATGCCAACCCCCATTCCAATACCGACAGGACCAAGTTCTGCCACCTCTTCACCCATCGTTGGTCCATCTTCATATTTCTGCCGCGGACCTCACAGCGCCCTGTCCAGCCCAACTTTACGCGCACAGATGCTCTCTAGCCCCGTGCTCAGACCCATCCTGCCCCGGCCGCGTCGGCAGGGAGATATGGATCGGGAGGAGCGAGAGATCGATGGTGCTGGCGAAGGCGTCGGTGATCTGACCCTGGCTTAACGTTGTCTTATTGTACACTGATCACGCCGGTCTAGACGGCGGTGAACACTATCCCTTCAGGCTCGGATCGGATGCATCTCGTTGAATTTTCTCAACGCTTTGTCGTGCTGCGTATGTCATTCGTATCTATCCTATTGTAACACTAGACTCGTAACATAGCGTATTGTCGCTTCGTCATCATTCACCTTATTTGCATTCTTGCACCGCCCCGCATCTACTGTGCGTGTATACGTAGTGGTCGTCTGTGGATGTATAACTAGCTGCCTCTGTATGTTGTGAAGGAGTATGGGCTGATCAGCAGGGGGATATGATGGTGCTCGTCGGGGTTGGAGACTTCGAAGGTGATCTGTCCATGCGTACTAATCGTCTGTTTCCGAGGATTCAGGTGCAATCACATAACTCACCTCGACCCAGGGATAGAAGCACTTGCGCCCGGTACTCTCGAAGTACTCCTTCGTCTTGAAGACAACCTTGTATAAAGCGCCAGCCTTCAGTTTAGCGCGCTGCTCCGCATTGTGTTCTGCCGTCGCCTTCGGCCAGAGCTGCATGCACCGGCCGTCGGAGTCGGTTTTTCTGAAGAGATTGAAGAAATCAATACAGGAGACTATCCGCAAGCAGCATGTATACTACTCACCCCTCAGCGAAAGGTTCGAACATGGAGGTGCTCTCGGCTATCGTATGGTACTCCTGCACTGTAACCTGGACGCCTGCGGCCGGCTTGCCGAGTGAAGAATCGAGCACTGGGCAATGCACCAATGTTCGCTAATATCGCTGGCTTTAGGCATTCCAAACGCACCATGACAAGTGATAGGTGATTTGGACATGATGGGTGTTGAGGACAAGCTGTAGGTCATACCGCCTCGAGCGAGATCAACTTTGAAAATGACGTCGTATCTCGATCGCCGATATACTGATCGTATCCCCCCACCCATGCGGGTAGACAGAGACACAAATGCAGTCAGTCGCGTAACAGTCGTTGTACAAGTCAAGTAACCAGGGGCTTGCAAGACGGTATATTAGGTGCCTCCGGCATCGGTGAGGCACCCACTTCATAAATAGACAATCTAGAGCAAGCACGTCGTGACCTCGAGATTGATTTATATGTGAGGAGCTTGCGGGCGCGGTGGATGGACCCATCAGCTGCTAGATTGATCCCTACGCCGCAGTAATCCGCAGACTAGCTCCCGTATGCACGGTGAACCTCACTGACAATGTCATCTGTATAGTTGAAGTATATTTTCAATCCGCCACCACCAACCTATGCGCAGTGCATCCTGGCCGTGAATCTAGACCGTCAGAATCCTTTGCAAGTATGAGCACATGTCATAGACGGTCATTAGGTCATATCGGGGTATACAAATACACGCCATGGACGGAGGGCACTACAGCGGCGTGTCGGCGTCCTCATTATCCGCGTTTATCCGCAGTACCTTCACCCATTCACGATAGTTGAAGTTTCCTTGCCGGTCGGTGAAAGGGCCTTTCAAAAGCTTATCGATCTGAGGCCAACCAGGTCACAGTCAGGAGCAAGACGGATATGAATGCAGACACACCTCCTTCTGATCCATTCTTTCCCCTACATCGCCCAACCACTTCCGGATCTCATCACACTTCACAAGTCCTGAGTCGTTCTCATCGAAGCACTCGAAGGCCTCGAGCAGCTCGGCCTCAGTGTCGAAGTCATATAGGTGTTCGCCCATCATGGTGAGGAACATGGGGAAGGTGATGCCTCGGTCACCCGACTCGTCCGTCTCAAAGGATGGTAGCCGGGAGTGAATGCCACTGCCTCTTCTGTTCCCAGGACGGTCTGCAAGGAGGTCGTCGATCATTGTCTTCGACGGCGTGATGCCTGCACGCCACCCGGGACGCGTGCAGACGCGTGAATTTAGCTCCCTCGGCAATCGGGTTCAGCAGACAACACACCTAAACTAGTGAATATGTGCTTCAGATCCTGTTCACTCACGACGCCGTTGCCGTCATGGTCAATCAAGGAGAACGCCTCGCGGAATTGCTGAATCTGCGGTGGAGAGAAGAGCGAAAACACGCCCGAGGGCTCGCGACGCTGTCGTGAACGTTGAGACTTGGAGCCCTTGGAAGGTGTCCCTTGGGGCGTGATGTTCGGAGAGAGCAGATCTGAATAGCGCGACATCACGACCAAAACGACTACTGAAGGGTTTACAATAGGCCAGAGCTCGCCCGCTTCACTGGTTCAGGTTGAACCCGCAACAGACGCTCGTGATATGCACGTGAACTCATAATGCGGGGATTCGCATTGGTAGCGAACCATGTTTCTACTCACATGTGCACAGTTTTTGTGATGCAGACACCCAAAAGCCGAGTCTCTGAAGTAGCACAAGATGAAATCAAGATGATATCGACAAGACAATCCGCTAAACAAGCACTATGCCCACGGAAACGCGTGTGCCAGGTCGCCGCTCGGGCCATCGTTATATTTTCAGGGCAGAGTGACATGTACTCAGACAAGGCAGCCATGAAAAACAATAAATGCAGCACAACAAGCGATCGGAATGTGATCAACGATCAGCTAGTGCCTATGACGACGGCGTTGAGTGCCGTATTTGGGGGGCAGGCCAAACATGAACACACCGAGCGGGGCGGTCCGAGAGAGCTTGTTGAATATGAGCACAAGGCGTCCGAAGCAGCGTGAATGAACGCCTCGGTCCCCCTACCCGGCCATGTCTACCTCGACAGAACTGTATTTGCCTCCCGAGCTACCATATCCCATCAAGATTGCTGCTCATGCCGTCCGCATTTCCGACAACGTGGATCGCGGCACACGCCTCCTCAGCTATTCGTACGTCCATACTAGTCCTGCCGAGTCGGAACCCGAAACCCGGTTCGGAACGTGGGACTCGACCATCGAGGGGACCGTCGACAGGTGGGGCTTCAGGCAAGGCGAGACCGTGTCCGCTCGTAAGGCGAGGGACGCCGCCGCCATCTACATCATCGAGCCCTGCAAGCATGGCGTTCAGCTCGGCGGGCTGTGCTGCTTGTGCGGCAAGGACATGACAGAGTGAGCTCTTCACATTATCACCATTGGTTGTGGATTGACCACGCGTCACAGTTCTGACTACACGGGGTTCTCGAATACATCCCGTGCGTCGATACAGATGACCCACCTGGCCAACGGCCCACTGGTTTCCTTAGAAGAGGCGCAGCGCATTGAACGCGAGACAGCTCAGCATCTAGTCTCACAGCGTAAACTGTCCTTGATTGTCGACCTTGATCAGACCATCGTCCACGCCACAGTCGACCCTACGGTCGAGGAGTGGATAACAGAGGGAGAAGCCTGGGAGGAGCGGCAGGCAAAGAAATCTGAGTCAGCACAGAACAAGGAAGACTCGGATGGCACGGTCTCTGATGCAGACGACGAAGTGAATCCCAATTGGGAAGCCCTCAAGGACGTCAAGAAGTTCCGGCTTGGTCCTGAGGCTCTAGGTCAACCTAGCTTTCGCGGCCCAAGGAGCAAGGGAAAGGAGAAGGCAATTGATAATGAGGGGTGCATGTACTACATCAAGCCTCGGTGATTCTACCTCATTATATGTGTAGTGATATGCATACTGAAGCCTGTTGCTTTTCAGACCCGGCTGGAAAGAATTCCTGGAGGCTATGTCTGCCAAGTACGAGATGCATGTATATACGATGGGTACACGCGCATATGCAGAGGAAGTGTGCGCCGCCATCGACCCCGAGGGCAAATACTTTGGGGGACGGTTGCTCAGTCGCGACGAGAGCGGCAGTGAGTCACTATATGCTGATCTGTGATGATCACAATACTGAAAGTCGCCGCGTTAGGTCTCACGCAGAAGAGCCTGCAGCGGTTATTTCCCACCGATCAGTCGATGGTTGTCATAATCGATGATCGTGCTGATGTCTGGGAATGGAGCCCGAATCTCGTCAAGGTCATCCCATGTGCGCGCTGTTAGCTAGTCTCTATGTTGGCTGTGAACTCACAAATGGCTCTCAGACGATTTCTTCGTCGGAATTGGTGACATCAACTCGGCGTTCCTGCCCAAGCTGAACCCAATGGCACCCGCTGTTCCTCCAACACCTCCGCCGACGAGTCCAGACGCCGCAAGCGGCAGCTCACCATCAAGTGAAGCCGCGAAAGACTCGACACCTACCTCACCTCCCACAACCCCGTCGTCTCCTTCGTCCACAACTACTGCCCCCGCCGAGTCATCCTCAGCTGAGGAACTCTCAAAAAGCGAGATCCTCAAGCAGAACACGATGGCCCTGGAGGCTCAGGTCGAGGAACGTCCACTCGCCAAGAAGCAAGAGGCACTGCGGGAGGCGTCCACTGAAGGTCAGGCGAACGGTCAAATAACCCTGGCACCTGCGAACGGATCGACTCCCGCGAGCAGTGACGATAAAACCGTGCGGAAAGCTTTGCTAAAAAACGACGACGCAGAACTGCAGCGGGTGCAGAAGGTAAGAGTAACCCTTGTCGATGTTTGGAAATGTTATTAAATAGAAGGGCAGATCCTAGAGGAGATTCATTTACGCTTCTATGATGAATACGACGCTCGCACGCCAGATGGAGAGCAAGGGAGCAAGAAGGGCAAGAGGCGAACACACCTTGTTTCTTATGACGTCAGAGTGAGTCGCATCCTCGGTTATCGATAATCTCTTAGGATATGTGGTCTAACTTGTCGAAGTCGATTATCCCACGAATACGCATGGATACCTTGGAGGGTGTCCATATTTTATTCTCTAGTGTAATACCCCTCGATACCCGACCTGAGGCTACTGAGATTTGGAGGACAGCGCATCATTTCGGCGCCAAGTGCTACATGGAGCTGTCGAGGCGAATAACGCACGTCGTCGCTGCCAAGGTAACTCGTTCATTCTACTTTCACACGCATATATTCACCTTGCTTCCCGACAGCGTGGCACACAGAAAGTTGACGCTGCGAGACGCATGGGCGGCATTAAGGTCGTCTGGGTCTCGTGGTTCACCGATTCGATAGCATTATGGCAGCGGCAGAACGAGACGCCATACCTGATGGACCCGGACCCCCCGCCCCAAGCGAGCGCTGCGAGTCCCCCTTCGGATTCTCATCAGATTTCTTCTGATCCCGAGCCAGACGCAGATGACTGGGACGTGGAGCGGGCTGCCCCAGGCAAGGAGGGCCTTGAACTCGACGAGGTGGACTGGGACGAGATCAATGACGAGGTCGAAGCGGCTATGAATGAGAGCGATGACGATGGAGCGAGTGAGAGGAGTGGTATGCGGAGTGAGAACGTGTCCGACGATGAAAACGAATGGACGGACGAGTCGAACAGCATCATCAGGTTCGTGGGCACCTTGTGTCTAAAAATGTGATGATTTTGATGCCCTCTCATTATCTTAGTAGCACAACCTCGTCTCCAAGATTGAAGCGGAAACGGTTACGAAGCATCACACCTTCAGATATTGGGTTGAACGGGGAGGTCGATCCTGATATTCTTCGTTCTCGCCTCGCGAAGCGTAAGAAGATCGCCGCTGATCGTTCAGGGACCTCCAAGTTGAAGGAGGCTATCACCGCCGCCGACCTGGTCAGCCGTGAGCCGACAGACGACGAAGGTGCTCCTAGCAAAGTATCAACGCCGGCTAGATTAGAGGAAGACGATGAGATTACTTCTGATGAGTCCGACGACGGGGACGATGCTGGTATGGAGGATGACGACGACTTCCTTACGCGCGAGCTAGGGGAAGATTGGGGATAACAATCTGCTTTCTGCTTTTATTGCCACGAACAGTAACTTTCATCGCTGCGTCTTTCGATCTTCACTGCGCATCTGCATATCTGCCTGTTCTGTGTGTAGCTGATTGTTACCCTAGCTCTCGACTAAACAAACCTTCAGCATGTAGCGATTTAGTGTATATTATGTATATCTGCAACATAGAACATCCTCCTCGTCTCACCACATGTTGTGTCGTTCGTCCTACACTCCAATCATGTGTACTCCTGTGCTCTGCATGTCAATCACACGACCCCTCGTGTCTCCAGATCGAGTCTGTACAGCCGCCAGAGATCTTGTATGCTACTACCCGTCAGGTCCTGGAAGACGGCGTCGCTGTACTGCCGATCCTCGAGTCCCAGATTGAGATTACGAATGGTGCCCCGCCCGCTCTGAGCCTCGATCCAGCTCAGAAAGTACGCGGTTGACTCATAGCCCGCATCCCACTTTCTCCCACGTCCTTCTTTCCAGTGTGGCGGGCCAAGTCCTGCATTAAGACGAACCCAATCTGTGTCATCCACCGAACCACAAATATGGTCGTCAGTATTTCGAGGTCCCACAGTAGCGGTGACGGCGAATTTGGCGTACCCGCGATCCCCTCGATCAGGCCGCCGGGACACGTCCCCTTAGCATTGTACTGGAAGCAGTGCACCATCTCGTGTGTCAGCACACCCCGGATCTCATCTCGTGCGCGGGTGGCGCTATTCTCGATGTGGCTGAGGGCGAAGTGAATTTCCTTGTGTGTGTAGGAACCGGTGGTGTAGGCGACGCCTGGCATGTTCCTGAGGACGAGGCGGACATTTTGTACGCTGTGCAATGGTCGGTCAGAACGTGTTGCTTGCTTCGTACTGAAGGCATTCAACAAAGAGGGATAATGACTGATGGCGCAATCACGCTGCGGATCTCAGCCAAGAATGTCGGTGGAGCGGTGCCAGAGTGTGTAAGATTCTCCTGCCGAGACAGAGACGTAATAGGATGCTCACTTCAGGGGGACATCTTGAAGGGTAAACAACCAGCTGCAAACCGATACCACGGCCTCCCTGAGAGCCTCCTCGGGATTCACATTGGCGAAGAAGATACGCGTCCCAGGGTGAGACAAGTCCTCGACTCTGAGCTCGAAGTTTGGCATCAGCCATGTCGTGAGCGGCATGCGCAAATAGACCGGAGCATAAAGAGTCTCGTCGGCCGTGTTGTCGTTCTTGTCGTCGGACTCTAGGAGGACAGCCATATTGAGTCGTTGCAGTGTTCGTCTCAGCACTGGAGGTAAGCGCATGCAAACGCCGACGTAGGCCGGCGGGGGTACAATAGATGGCGGGTGGGATGGTCAGAGCGTGTAGCCATTAATCTCGGTGACGGTAACCACAACGGTTGCCATATCAGGATGTGCTGTGCGAATCTCAGATCGCTGTGCGCAAGCTCGTGAAAACTACCCCGCACCACCGATCGAGAGGCATGTGGGGAACGTGATATAGCTAGATCAACCCATGGATGACAGAGCAGACTCCAGTATTATTAGCAGCGCAGAATACAAGTATACACAGAATAGTCGGCAACGAATAGTATACAGCATAACCAATGTCCATGTCAAGTTCAGCTTTCAGTCCTCCTCGCACTTTCCTCATGGATGTCGAATCCCCGCGGCCCCCTCGACCTTCACAACCTCTTGTACCAACGCATCTCTCCCCTCTTCCAAGAAACGGATGTATTCCCTCGCCTTGAACAGGATGCCGCTTTTGCCTTTGCTCCCTCGCCCCCGGCCGCCGCTTCCCTTCGGCCGTCCTCGTGTGGGCATGCCAGTGCCTGGTGGTGCGCCTGCAGGCGCGAGCAGGGTCGTCAGCTGCATGTATCCATCGCGAATCGCATTTCGGCGCTTTTGCTCGGAGAGAATATGGTTCACTCTCTTTTGGTTGCCAGAGAGCAGCGGCTTCGGTCGTGCGACTGCGGTCGCTGATGATGCATTTGGCGGGACGGGTGTCTGCACTGAAGAAGACGATTCCGACGGGGATACAGACGGGGCTTTATTGCGGGATACGCTTGTTGTGGGGTCTATCTGCCGCTGCCCCATTGGCTGATGCTCGCCGACACCATCAGCGAGAGATGTCGCGGGCTGTTGCGGAGGAGCTGGCACCTGTAGTGCATCAAGGTAGGTGACACTGGGATCGACATCGAACTCCCAGCTAAAGTTCTCGAGGAACCCGAAGAAATCTGTCGCCTCGGATGGCGAGAACAGGTCTGCGGATGGAGGGAGCGGCGGGGGCGGGGGGAAAAGGTCGTTGGAGAGGAACGGCGGGGGGTTGAAGAACTGGACATCATCGAAGGCGAAGGACGGCGGGTGGTCGTCGGGGTGTGCCATGGTGCAGGGGGAGGAGAGCCCGGCAGGGACAGGACCGGAGGCCGAGCGAGTGGGAAATGGGGCGCCCGAGACGGGCCGAGAGCGGGAGGGGGAAGTGGGAAAATGCCCGGCAGAGGCCGGCGGGCGGAGGCGGCAGGATGGTCATAAGCCGTGGTGCCCGCTGCGCCAGCCCTGCCGCTCCGAAGCACCGCCCATCACCTCCATGTCGGCCCTCAGCGAGGCCTCCACGCCGGCCCAGGATACGGCCCCTCCGTCCATCGACACCCAGCAGCTCCAGCAAGCACACCTCGCCAACGACCTCCACTCTCAGGCCCAGGGCCTCTCCTCCGGCCCCAGCGCCGCCAGCGACAGCGGCCGCAAACGTGTGTAGCCTCCGTCCGCCGTTCTCCCGCCCGACGCTAACGTCTGTTTCGCAGCCAAGGCGCCGTCAGTCCGCCGGGCATGCACAGCTTGCCACTCCGGCAAGACCAGGTGCAGCGAGGTCCTCCCTTGCCAAGTACGTACTATCTCTCGCCATCGCGACGACGCTTGCCGATTGCGAGGCCCGCTGCAGAGCTGCCTGAAGCGCGGACTGGGTGATACCTGCGCGTACCCAGATCCGGACGCCGATCACGTTCAGCAGCAGCAGCAGCAGCCACCGCGTACGTCGCTCCCGCGATCACTATCTTACTACCGTAACCAGTGCCCCTCAGTTCATTCAGCCCAGGTCCCCTTCGTCGCGCCCCCAATGCCCTACCCTCCACCGCCGATGCACGGCCTCAACCATCCCAACTACTATGATTATAACAACGCATTCACTGGAGCATCAACTTCCACGTTCCGTCCCAGCAAACGACCACGGAATCTGACCGAGGAAGAGGCCGCCGCTATCACCCGAAACTTCACCCGCGGCGACTTTTTTGTCGGCACCAGCGCCCCCGTGCGCATCGACCCCCGCCTGCCCGTCAGGCTCACGCTAGCCGAGGGCGACCAGGTCCATTTCTCCATTGGAGAAGCTATCGTCTAGGACACTGTCTGTATCATAGTCACTCGCGTCTGTGGGTTCCATGTATTTTTGTGTCTTGCATGTGTGTTTTGCTTTGTTTTGCCAAATGGTGTTGATTCTCCTGTATGATTCATGGCGTCTATCTTGACACATGGAAACGGACGTCCCCGACTTTTGGTCCCCCCCTTGGTTCCGTGAACAAAATGAATGTTGTTTAATACCATGAGGTACACTCCATGACTTCACGACTCTATTTCGACGACGGCGATCGAGAACTTGATCAATCGAGGGCTGTAAGTCACTGAAACCTGATGACATGAGCTGCTAATAAGCATGTGCAGGATTTTAGCACATTCCTCAAATTTATCGGTCTCGTTAGAACAAGTACACTCAGGCCCCGGTCTTCAGGCTAGTAGTGGCACACGACTGACGGTGATCACAGACAACCTTCGAAGGCTCACGGATTCGAAGATCGGGCTAACGCGGTCTATACCATTGGTGTCCGTGTTGCGTGATTTGCCCCAGTGAGCTCCCCATCCTCAGAGTCAAAACCCTCAGCTTTCCGGCCTCGGAGCCCATAAAGCTAAGCTGCGCTCGTCCCCGACTTGTCCGTATTTTGTGCCGTATTTTGAGCACGGCGGCTCGAATGATACTCAGACATTTCCATCCAACTCGGAACCATGCCCGTACGCTACAGTATCCACTTGGGGGTATATTAGTCCGGGGTCCGTCTGGTGTTCCTCATTTGCTCTGTCCCTCGACAACATGATTGAATCCTTCGAGAGGGCGACCTTGATGGATTTGTTGTCCGAGTCACTGTCCTCTCACTCTCACATTCGCCCCCGTTGCCCCATATTTGGTCGGCGTGCTCGTATCATGGTTTTTATCCACGCTAATCTGGTGGACATCAGAAAGTACAGCGCTGTCACCTTACTGACTGCTCTAGGGGCTCGCTTGCTCATGGAGCCCACCCCCTTGCGCTTCTCAGTAGGCTCATTGTTGCTCGCGACAAAAGCACAAGTTCTCTCCGAGACCGCCGCTTTTTTTCTGCTCCTGTTATCCGCTTAATGCGTTCGACAGAGGACAGCCTCATTCGCGGTCGAATTCTGTAAATCGTCGAGGAGCCTGATAGAATGTCTAAGGAGTCTTGTGGTGGACTCACCAAGTCTTCCAATCATCTGGAAGGAGCCATCACCGAGTATGACGATGACGATACGGAGGATAACGGCGACGAGACGCAGAGGCACTCTTCTGACAGGAAGTGTGAATGCCTCGTAAGCCTTGACCTTGTACAACCTTATAAAACTGCAACAGCTATCGCTGTGCTTATCGAAGCCAAGTGGGACTGAGACCCTTATCCTGTAGTTCGTGTTTACTCATTCCGTAGTGGGAGGTGCAAGTATGTGTATTAGAGACCGTGTAACTGTTGAAATCATACTTGTATCATTTGGGTCACGCCAACGACAATTTCACACATCCCGGATTTCTTGCGCTGTTATTATTACTTATCCTTCATCTAATGCCCATGCTGCTCTATTATGACTTAACAAGTACTATGTGCCACTAGCACACGACGAGTGTTCTTCTTGTGTTGCAGTATAGGACCTTGGCAAGAGCAAAAAAACTCGTGCGACTTGTGATTGAAGCTTTACAAAAAAGTAGCGGCGTGGTGGGGGATGATGAGAGTGGGATTCGAACCCACGCCCTTTCGGACCAGATTGCACAATCAACCCAGGTTTGAGTCTATGCCTTAGTCTGGCGCCTTAGACCGCTCGGCCATCTCACCATGTTGTTATTGCAGACCAGTTACATCAGTATCACCAGAGCGGGCACGAGGATAGCCGCAACGTACCTGAATATATGCGATTTCCTCGAGGGATCGCTATGCAAAGAGGGAGGAGGCGGAGTCGTCGCAGGCAAGCCTGGGCTGCACAGCTCTGTGGAATAGCAAACTTTTGCAGGACCCACAACTCTTCCGGCTTATCGATCACTTAAGGGCAGACTTGACCATTTAACATCACGTGCGCGCCTCGAGACGCGTCTCTGACTCTCCGTCGGCTTCACGCTCCGCGAAATTGTGTAAAGGCCAGCCTGATTTCTGTTAGACGTGCTTTTCTTAGTCGTTCTCAGTTGTTCTCGCGCGGCGACACTTGCCGCTGGTTTCTTACGCGACTGCTGGGCATATTTCTTCTTCTATATCGACAATGTCCGTACACCAGCCGCTGCTGCCGCGTACATCCGGTCCTGAAGGACTTCCCATGGGCGGCCCCGTTGAACCCATCTTTTTGATATAGTATTGACAGAGCGCAGTTGACTCGCTCTGACTCGACCTCAAACTATTTATACTGCTTGCTACCTGGCGACCCTATCATCAATGTCTCATTCCCAACTGCATCCTCTACAGGTGAACCCTGCCACGGGCGAACCATATTTACGCCTGGGAAGCCCTCTCGAGAACATCATTCTTACACCGCAGCGGCCGAGTGATGTTGCATACAACGTGCCTATTCTGAACAACCCCGACGTTGTCAGGTGGCTGGAAGGCCTGCCGTACCCGTATACCCCATCGCATGCCGAAAGCTGGGTGTCCAGCGTCATAGAGGAGTCGGACGCGATCCTGCGTGAGCTCCGTGAGGCGAGCGCGAAGGATCCGGAGGCGCCTCTCAAGATTGTTGGAGGCTGTCCGGTGCGGATTTTGAGAGAGATTAAGGAGGATGGCAGTGAAGTTTATCTTGGCGACATCGCTTTCCGCAGGTGCGAATACCTGCACGTGGCTCACGAGGAGCGACTACGACTCTCAGAGGAGAATGCGCGGAGACAAGTAGGCGATCCTGCGCTGGTCTGGTGCATAGGGTGTATGTAGAAGATCACTCTCTGTGTCACTGTATTATCTGACCGTACGACGACCAGATTACCTTGCGAGTTCGCATCACGGCAGGGGCATCATGACGATGGCTCTACGCACGCTGCTGTCTGCCTGGGCGATCCCGAGGATGGGGGTTCGACGAATCCGTGCAGAAGTGTTCATGGGCAACATTGGGAGTGTACGCGTATTCGAGAAGAATGGGTTCGTACTGGATAGGACTCTGGAGATAGAATCTCCAAACTGCTTGGGGGAGATGATGCCTGGGTGTTACATTCTCTGGTGGGAGCATCCGTAGAGTCTAGAATTGGTATTTCTTCGCCGGTTTGGGAAGGTGACCGTGACTATATGTGCAGATGTTCTGCAGTGCGATCGGCCAGAGGGAGCCGATCATCGGGCCCTTAGTACAAACATGCAAAACGCCACGAGGTTAGGAACTTTCCGACGTAAACCGCCAGGACGCAAAAAAATCTAAACGCTGAGCTCTTGCTGTGCGTTTGTGTCTTGCGCTATGCACTCTGACAGAGCGTTTGGAGACAGGAATGGGGTCTGTTTTGCTCACCTGGCACTCCGTTACGATGTAGCGTGACGCCCTCTTGCATGCTCACATACTAAAGTCGAAGAGCTCGTTGCGAGATCCTACCCGTCAACACGCCTACTGTTTGGAAACTATGTATCTCTGACCCTCGTTGCTATAAAGCCTTCATCTTTCACAACCCTGCACTCTTTTGTTCTGTCGACACTTGTTGGCAGAATATGTAGAAGTGTCGAGTGCTTCCTGGTCGTTCTTGCATTACATTAATGCGTCCAGCAGATATCGACACCGTATGGAGTAGTCAGTCGATGAAATATTGTAATACAACCCTAGTGGGTAGCCATAATAACTCGGGTGGCATCAATCTGGCGCCTCACATGTCGCTAGTGGTCCTAGCTGACTTTCTCGTTGAGCTCCATGCACTGTAAGGCTCACGAACCATCTGTCCATTTGTCAGATGCAAATAGGCTTTGCTGTTGTTATCACCTACCAAGCGTGCAATGACAGGCGATTTTTTCCACGCAGGATTGTTCTCCCCCAGTGTGAATTCGACAACGGTAGAGAATCCGCAGCTCTGGTAAAACTCGGTATTGAGGACGTTCGACGAAAGTAAGGCCGTGACACAGCCGATGGAGTCCGCCTTTTTATGGGTCAGGAATGTTAAGTATTTGCAAAGGTTGCGTACCTTTGTAGTGACAGATGTTGCCAATGCAGTCCCATAACCATTTCCTTGCTTCTTAGGTGCTGTGGCCAGAATATATAGATGCATCATCTCCTCGGAGCGATTACCGAAAGCCTCCTTTTGCGCTTTCATCCATTTATCTCCGAGTTCCTTCTTACGCTGAAGCGATATTAGCAGCACGTCAGGGTATCGTAGATGATGTCGACGTAGGGGTACAATCCTAGAACGTTAACGTGCCTTGTTTTGTTCGGGGGTTGCACAGCCCATGTTGACCCTGCGCCAAAAGGCGAAGAGAAATTTGTGAAGCTTATCTTCTGGGCCTGGAAACTGACTGGAAAGGTCATGTCCGACTTCAGGACTTATAAGGGAGTCCCGGCGAGCAGAGAAACTCACATTGAAGCGACAGCATCACCGCCGTGTACAGTCAACGCACCGCGCACTCTGATGTCAGCGACGAGTTGCAAAGCGATTTCGACGCAGTGTAAGAGTTTCCGCCAAGTAGGCTTCCTCGTGTCAATCAAGAGCAGTTTTCCAAAGGCATAGCCGATCAACTCACTAGAGGACCTTGCACGTACGACACAATTGGGTCCGTAGCAAAGGCATCCTCTATATTCTTGACTGCTATAGGAATTTCGTCTGTCACGCCATAAGGTCAGCGCAATCTAACCAGACTTCATCACGGTGAATACCTACAGTATTTTAAAGGACGAACATCAGCGCCAGTGACTCGGATGTCTGAGCTCAGACGCGGCTGGGAAGCGACCTGCATGTCAATCACGGCTACGAGAGCTGGCTGCCACCTCCTGCTCGGACTAAATGTTTTTAAGAACACAGAATGGTTGCGGTTGGGCCTGTACTTATAACAATTGAGTCACCTTTCGTATTGCGGGTCCGACAGTATGCGCACGAAGCGCCCAATTGACAGTGCTCTCGAACTGATAGCTATTTACAGTACAGATCACACAGCATATATGAATGTCGTGACAGAGGCGCCCTCGTGGGAGTCGGCCCCTGATCCATGCCGTCATGGCAACGCGGAATTTAATCGTCGCCGAACATGATTCGAAGATTTTCTACGCTCTCCGGATCACCTTCACCCTTGCCGCGGAAGGCTTCCTTCACAATGGCGGCCTTCCTCTTCTGAATTTGTAGGATACGTCCCTCGATAGTCCCGGAGATCTGCAAAATTATTAGCGTCGAATCCCATTGTATACACGTATCATACTGACGATGAAATGTTTCACATATACTGGTCTCTCTTGTCCGATTCGGTGGACTCGATCAATTGCTGGAGGCGAGACAATGAGCATTCGTGATGCGGGCGACTGTCAACAGCATACCTTGATTTTCTGTGGCTGCGTTCCACCAACAATCCATCTGTACCGATTCAGCACAAGCCTTGCACACAAGATGGTTATAAGAATACCATGAATACGTGATTGGCATTTGTGAGCTATGTGGTAAAAAAGCTTCAGCAAACGTCATCTCAAAGCACGAGAATATTCACGTTAAGACCAACACCACCAGCTTTCAAGCTCACGATCAGAACCTTTGGTTGCTTTGAGGGTTCCTTGAACTCAGAAACCGCCTCATTTCTCTTCTTTATATCCATTGAGCCATCGAAGCGAAACCAAGGTAGGTGTTCCCGTTCCAAGACAGTCTGTATCAGATCCAGAAAGCTGGTGAACTGTGAGAACACGACTGCTCTGAAGCACGGATCCTGTTCTCTCAGGTGACCTACTGATATTCAGAAAACGTGGGAGCAGACTGCGAAGTCGTGAATTCTTACGTAGGTTCTGCAGCAACGCTTCCAACTTGGTCGACGAGCGGAAGTCGTTCCGGCGAAGGATAATCGTAGGAGGTGAGGACTGTCCTGCAGCGGAACCATCCTCTGGAAGCTCCTGCTTAGTCCGTACAACCTCGAGAAGGTCGCCCTCCTGAGGCGATGTTTGACCAGATTAGCACCTCATAGCGGCAGCGAACATACCTTCACCGGCCCCCGCGCGCAAGTGGGGCACCTGCCATCTTCACCTTTTCCCCTGCAGGTCTCGATGTATGCAACGATGCAGTCTTTGCAACTTATTGGCGAAGAAATACGGTTGGTGCAATGGTGAGTTTCACAGCATGAGAAAACTTACCATTGATGCATGCAGTTAGGGATGATAGTTGGTGTGTCCATTACGTCGAAGCATATGGGACATTCCCGCTCTTCTTCCTCGTCCAAGTTCGCGAGTACGCCCTCTGCGAAGACCTTGTTGTCACCCGCAGAGTCGTCACCCTCACCAAAGCGCTTAATCAAAGTTTGGACGTTCACTTCGCCATCGCCTGACGGCTGCTTGAGATCAGATGCTGTTGTCAGTACTAGGTTTGGATGCAAGACAGCTCGACGCAATCTACGAACGATCACGTTAGTTCCGCTACACATCGAGGCAAGGCGCTTGAGATCCGCACCGCATAAGCATAGCTAGAATATGTGTGTAGTTCCGGCTGATGAGCCCCTTCTCGTTCAATTGTTCGAAGTTCTTCTTTGCATCCGAGTACAATGAGTCATAGATCTTCCGTTCTAAGGGGGAGAACTCAAGGCTCTCGACAACAATCTGACTCCTGGTCAGCAAGACTCTTACGCAAGATGACTGGATCTGCACCTCTTTTGATGGGAGTTCCACAATCTTCTTGCCATCCGTGTCTCGCATATCCTTAGTGCGCCTCAGTAGGACACTCTCGAGTATGATTTGGACCACTTCAACAGCTTTGGGGTCCCGTGCCAGAAACGGTAGCGTGATAAATCTGAGTTTCGCCACTATGAGCAAATCCCGACGGCTCTACAGGCTTCGAATACTCACGAACGAAAGAAGGTATAGTTTGACCAAGGTGTAAAATCAAGGAATTTACTGAATGGGGAGCACGGTGAGATGGACATCAACGAAAGGGCAAAGCTGACTGACAGCAGCGAATACAAGTCTTCCAGTCGATTGACGATCGGTGTGCCTGTCGTAAAATGGAATCAAAATACAACTCGCTGATATCCGATGTTTACTTACCTGTAACAGCCCATCTCCGCCTAGCACGTAATGCATATACTGCGCGAGCAGTTTTGCTCTGCCGAGATTTGCAGTGATGCGCTTCATCCAGGATGACCCCTGTAAGCGTGTGATAGGAGATGTGTACAAGAGGGTGCAGCGGATGATGACTTACGTAGCCATTCGGCTGGAAACGCACGAATGTGATCCAGTAAGTTAACATCGCGAAATCTGCATATGATTTGATGTCGTACTTTCAAAGACGGGTGGCATCACACCACCGCCTGATTTTTCAGACTTCGAATGCTCTGAGACTAAGGTACCATAGGACGTGATAACGACATCGACTGGATCGTCGCAGTCAAGGATTGTGTCGAGATCTATCCGATTTTGGCTGTGCCACACGAGCACCTTGAGTGTCCCTGGCTTGCTCGATCTCCCTAACTCTTCGGACCATTGCGAGAGGAGAGAAGTTGGCGCGACAATAAGTGTAGCCGATGGACCCCTTCGCGGACGCTTTTCAACTTTGTTCGTCGCCTGGAATGCATTGTTCAGCTTTAACTGTCGCTTTTTGGATATTCGACCTGTGTCGGGCTCGGGAGTAGGTTCTTCTGGACCACACGCGGTTTGAATGAGAGCTGAAAGCATAATGGTTTTTCCCATGCCCACTGCGAGTGGATATGTCAGCTTCCAACTTGCCACACGTACAAGGGCACACGCACTTTCTACAGTTCGGAAGATTGCGGACACGAGTCAGTACAATGATAATCACACTAGGAGACTAGGCACTTCACCATCCCTAGCAATCTGCTCAGACGACGAAATTCATAGACATACACTGTGGCTCACGCAAGGATTCCACTCCGACACTTTCTTTCCGCCTTCGGAAATTCCAAGCTCAGTTCACCGGAGTATTCATTGAAGTAAAAAGCTTTCTCATCGGCAGTCAGGTCGATGATGCCGTCCTTCGGTTCCAACGGAAAGACATATCTACACAGCGTCAGTGTAGGAACACGGACATATGAGCTGCACGGGCACTTACTCCTTCCAGAGAGGATGCAATGAACTCCCTTCTCTTGCAGATGTGGCACCCGTCTCAATAGAATGCATCCACCTTTTGGAAGCTTGATATTGAGTAAATCATAACCCACAAGCTAAGCTCTCTTACAGCAATGCTTGCTTCTGATAAGGCCGAAGATTAAGCGTAAAACTGTTGGCTGGATCCATTTCACCAAGCTTCTGGTCGTTCTCCTGCGCTCTGTGGAAGGTCACTAACCGTCCGGCAAGTCCACGTATCAACACGGTACCTTTTATAGATGAGACTCAGCTCATTCTCCGATAGGTCCTCGCCATCCGCTTCCACTTCTACTTCTTCTCCATCACCTACTATTTCTTTTCTCATGACTTTTTTCTCGTTAGTAGAAGCCCGCCTCTGGGTCAAAACCTCGAGGTCTTTCCCGTCCAGCTCTCCGTGTGGCTTTCGAGTGAAACTGCTGCCTCTGCGCGGTTTCAGGTCAAGAACGTCAAACAGACTCAGCAATGAGTGTTTTCGCTCGCGCAGCATTTGTTCAGATGCTGTTTCTTGGCCTTCGTTGAACATGACTCGGGCCTTCTCATCAGACGAAGTGCGGAGAACTTGGAAAGCCGAAGCTTTAATGTAGACAGAAAGCGACACGATGATATCAGCTCCGGAGTGGAGTGTGGTCGAACAGTCGACAACAGTGCTTCCGCGGAAATCCACGATATCTGCGGGATGTAAGACTCAAGTTTAATGGCGCGTGAAGAAGACACACCCATGTCCAAGAGCTTGGATGCCCAAGACGCGACGTCTTGAGGCAGCCTACCAAACTCTGACCGTACCATAAGAGGTGCACACGCGAGCGGGATCCAGACACTCACCAAATCCTCTCGTGTTCGTAAGGCGTACAACGGTATCTTGCTTCTTCTTGGAAGGTTTCGCAGGTTGAGGCTTGAACATGGTTGCGATCGAGAGCTGCTTCTTGCCGCTCTTTCCCTTTACGTCCTTCGATTTGGTTCTCTTGGATTCAGGCGGAGTCGGGTCCTCAGGAGTGTCTCGTTCAATACGTATCTCATCTCCAGCCTTCACATAGCCAGAGCCTCTGACAGTGCTCCAAGCATTTGCCACCAGGAAAGAACCCAAATATACAGACGTGAAAGCAGCTGGTGATGGCACTTTAGGCTCGGACGACAATCTGCGCTTTTTTGTCGGGCGCTCAGCAGAATTTACAGAGGGGACTGGGGAAGAAGTTCTGGGCTCATTGGTAGAATATGTACTGGACACGCTGGATGCCCTAGGTGCGTCATTGAAGTCTGGAATCGACACATCGTCTGCCTCATCCACAGATACAGCGGCAAGTAGATCATCTCCAGCGAAGGATACCTGGGGTAGTGTCGCGTCGCCAGCATCCTCGTCGTCACTGTCAGCGAAGAACAGTGCTTGGTCGTTGACAGGTGGACCCGGCTTGGGAAGGCTAGACCGTTCTTCCGTGTCCATTGTGACATCGTTATCAGGCTCGTCTTCATCAGAGCCTGTAAAGAAGGCGGAAGGGCGGGGCCCAGACATTAGAACCAGGACACAGTAGGACGCGCGCAAGAAGCAGCAAGACGCGTCGCTTGACAGATCTTCAGCCACCAACGCGTCGCCGGCCAAACAAGCGTCAATCGAGTGCTATTACGCTTGTTTTCGACTTGTATTCGCGTATTCGCTCGCTTTCATTACGGACACAAAATGCAGCGCGGTCTTCCTATGGTGAGTCTGGTATCCATCTGGGTGTTGCTAGAGACAATACCAAAGCCAATGCCCGTAGCAACCGACCGTGGTTCTCCTTAAGGAGGGCACGGATACATCGCAGGGCAAGGGACAACTGCTATCCAATATTTCGGCATGTCTTGCCATCTCCGAGACACTTTCCAGCACGCTTGGACCTCGGGGCATGGACAAACTCATAGTCAATGAAAGGGGGGACGCTCAGATCACGAACGATGGCGCGACTATCCTGAAGTTGCTTGATATTGTTCACCCTGCCGCCAGGACTCTCGTCGACATCGCGCGAGCCCAAGATGCCGAGGTGGGAGATGGAACAACAAGTGTGGTCCTTCTTGCCGCGCAGCTACTAAAGGAGGTCCGAGGCTACATCGAAGAAGGTGTCAGTCCGCAGATAATCATGAAAGGTTTCCGTCAGGCGGCGCAGTTGGTGAGTTGCCTGCATACTGCTTGCATGCATCACGCTCTGAAGAGTGTTGTAGGCACTCGACCGTATAAAAGCCATTCAGGTCACAGTCGACAAGTCAAATCCAGAGTAAGAGACGATCTTGCGTCGTACATACATCTCAAAACTTAACAAATCGATGACAGACACTTCCGCTCTCTCCTACTCAAATGCGCGTCAACGTCGATGTCCTCAAAACTCATTCATTCCGAAAAGCCTTTCTTCTCCAACATGGTTGTTGATGCTGTACTATGTCTCGATCAAGATGACCTGGATGAAAACCTCATCGGCGTCAAGAAGATTGCTGGTGGAGGCATGCAGGACTCCCTCTTGGTCAACGGCGTTGCATTCAAGAAGACCTTCACATACGCCGGAGCCGAGCAGCAGCCCAAGTCCTTCCGCGATCCTCTCGTCCTCAGCTTGAACGTCGAGCTGGAGCTGAAGGCAGAGAAGGACAACGCTGAGGTTCGTGTGGAGGCCGTGTCAGACTACCAGGCGATCGTCGATGCAGAATGGGAAATCATTTACCGGAAACTTGAGGCCATCGAGAAAACTGGTGCCAAGATTGTGCTTAGCAAGCTCCCAATCGGAGACCTTGCTACTCAGTGGTTTGCGGACCGTGACATTTTCTGTGCAGGTCGCGTGCCTGCCACGGACTTGCAGAGAGTGGTGCAAGCTGTCGGCGGCTCCATTCAGTCAACGTGCTCGGACATCCGCCGTGAACATTTAGGCACTTGCGGGCGTTTCGAAGAACGACAGTTCGGCGGCGAGCGATACAACATCTTCGAAGAATGCCCGAAGGCGAAGACATGTACTCTGCTGCTTCGTGGAGGTGCGGAGCAGTTCATAGAAGAGGTTGAACGCAGTCTGCATGACGCGATCATGGTGGTGAAGAGGGCAGTCAAGAATGGTGACGTCGTTGCAGGCGGAGGCGCCATCGAGGTACAGGATACATTCGTGCTCTCCCGTAAAACTTGCTCATATCGTTATCTGCAGATGGATCTGTCGGCGCACATCCGGAAGCACGCTTTGTCGATACCTGGGAAGCTGCAGCTCGTGATGATCGCGTTCGCCAAGGCGCTCGAAATCATCCCGCGTCAGATCTGCGACAATGCCGGTCTCGACTCCACAGACATCTTGAACAAGCTTCGAATGAAGCATGCCACCGGCGAGACATGGTCTGGCGTGGACGTTGATGGTTCCGAAGGCGTTCGCAACAACATGGAAGCATTCGTTTGGGAGCCGAGCCTGGTGAAGGTGAACGCTATTAGTAGCGCGACCGAGGCTGCCTGCTTGATTCTCAGTGTCGATGAGACCGTCCGGGGACCTCAAAGCGAGGGGGTGCGTCATTTAGCTCGCTTATTGCTTTGCTCGTCATCTAACGTATACTTCGTAGGCGAATCCGGGTCCGAAAGCACCTCCAGGCACAGCACAGCGTGCCTTGCGAGGCCGGGGCAGGGGAATGCCAAGGCGGTGAAAAGAATAGTAGATGAATCCCATTGTATCAATATCGTTAGTCCTTTACTAGTGGCTATTACTTACTGACACCGGGCATTCCTACTTCCGTTTGCAAGGATACTGTCACGTGCTCAAACGCCATGGCGGAGTATCGCCATCAGGAATCTGAAAACGCAATTCACGCCATACGTTGCGACTCACAGAAAGCGCATAGTGTGGAATCCAAATACTTATCACCCTGTTCGTGCGTTATCTCAGAATTGGTCACTGTCTTGGCCTCTGGCCGTATAAGAGCGCTGCCCGCGATAGACGGAGCGGAGTCCCTCTCGAGCTCGCTCTCCTCTCCGCCAATATGGCTACCATCCTGCGTACTGTGCAGTTGAAACCAGATTCGGATTCAGACAAGTATGACAAGGATGGGGACGAGCTCAGTCCGACAGATAGCCTGGAGCGGGTGCCCTCGCTAGGCGCTCCGATCAACCAGGAGGGTTCACGCTTCTTCTTCAGGCGACCAAAGTTCGATCTGGATAGCGTCGCGACGCAGCCATCCGTGTTTGACGATCCGGCTACTTTGGAGGTGTACCGCCCACGGCCGACCTATGAGAATGTGCACCGGTTCGATCCTTCCGCACGCTGGACCTGGCGTGAAGAAATTGTGAGTACACTATCCTATAGTATTTGAACATCATGCAAACTGGCTTGAATAGCGCCTAGTTCGCAAGATCGACTGGCTAATCATGATTTGGGCTTTCATAATGTTCTTCAGCTTGGACCTCGATCGTTCGAACATCTCGCAAGCGAACACGGACAACTTCCTTACTGATCTACATATGAACACCGACGATTTCAATCTGGGGAATTCGCTTTTTAAGGTAGGGCTGATCGTTCACTTCGGACGGCAATCTGGAGATTGACGCAAAAGTAGTTGTGCTTCTTAATCGCCGAGCTTCCTTCACAGCTCGTGTCGAAAAGAATCGGACCCGACATCTGGATTCCAAGCCAAGTCCGCAAATCTATCCTCGTTCAGCGTCTATACATAACCTCACGCACGGTAGATGATCCTTTGGAGCTTCGTTTCTCTCGGACAATTTTGGCTCACAAGCCGCGGATCCTTTCTCGCCACAAGGTGAATTGGACTCCGCGATCACGGGAACTGTAGTAACGAAGATTTAATAGGTGTCTGCTGGGTTTCATGCAAGGCGGATTCATACCCGACGTCATCCTGTATTTATCGTATTTCTACACAACGACCGAGCGTAGGTCGTCATGCTTCTGACGCTGGCATCCCGATGCTAACGTTCTACCAGTGCCAATTCGACTTGCATGGTTCTGGGTATCGAACTACACCGCATCTCTCGTCGGAGCCTTTCTTGCAACCGGAATTCTCCGCCTAGATGGAGTCAATGGCAAGGCGGGATGGAGATATCTGTTCCTAATCGAGGGTGGATTGACTCTTCTAGTGGGCATAGCATCGTACTTCATGATGCCGCCTAGCCCCACTCAGACGAAGGCATGGTACCGACCCAACGGTTGGTTCACGGAACGGTGAGATATCGATTTCATGAGCGTCACGACTTATTCATATACAAATTGCAGGGAAGAAATCATCATGGTGAATCGGGTCCTCCGGGATGATCCTGCGAAGTCGGACATGCACAACCGCGAAGGCCTGACGCCCATGAAAATATTCCAAATCCTGAAGGATTGGAGAATGTGGCCGATCTACATTCTGGGTTTGACGCATTTGAGTACGCCTGTTTGCTCATAGACAGCGAAAACGTACTCAGCCTTTTTTCCAGTTCCTGTGACTCCCCCACAAACGTACCTCACGTTGTCGCTGCGGGAGCTCGGCTTCGACACGACGCAGTCGAATCTGCTCAGTATTCCATCGATCGTCCTCGGCATCATTACTCTTCTCATCTCATGCTATCTGAGTGAGATCATTGATAGTCGAGTTGGCGCATGTGTCATCCTGCAATTTTGGGCACTCCCTCTTCTCATTGCTCTGCACACGTTCACTGATGCAACCTCGCCCTGGGTGTACTTCGCCGTTGTAACCCTCATTACTGGCTTCCCCTATGTACACCCGGTCCAAGTTGCATGGGCGTCGACAAACTCATACGGTGTCGGGACAAGAACAGTGTCGGCGTCGGTATATAACATGTTCGTCCAAGCTGGCGGTATTGTGGCCGTAAGTATTCTTGCCCGTGGTATATTGGCATAGCTAAAAGGAAACCGTATGCAATAGGCTAATATCTATCGGTCAAACGACGCGGTACGTTCTCAGCTAGATCATAAAATGTATAGCAACTCACGGAAGGGGTCGACATTTGGCAGCCATTATGTAAGTCCCTGTATGAGACACATCAAACATGCTACTGAACGATGTTTGTCAGACAAGCGCGGGAACACTGACCTGATCGCCATCTGTGTCATGAACGTTTTCTTATACATCCTTACTTATATCTTCTACCGTTCATTGAACAACTGGCGTGACAAGAAATGGAAGGCGATGACCCCAGATGTGAGTGTCTACAGACAGGCCGATTGATTCCGCACAAATTGAGGCTGACATACCCTATGCAGGAGCAACAGCAATACCTAGATACCACCACGGATAAGGTGCATCACAGCGTCCACGGTCAGAATGCATCATACTCATCTGCAAATACAGGGAAACGAGAAGCTAAACTTCCGCTTCGCATATTAATGTAATCATGTAGACCTTCAGCATGTTGGCGTAGACGCAATGTCATCAGAGATTCGCGCGTCCCGGATTCCTTTTGAACGCTTGAACGATAGAATGAAACCGCGCGAGCTTCAATCCCTAAAGTGTCTTTTATGCTCCACTCTACCTCCTCAAGCGGAGCAAGTAGATCCGGTCAATATCGGGTAGTTACCTCCTTGGGGTTTTTCGGACTACCCGATGCTTCTTTGACTTTGCTATCAGCCCGGCCCGACCCTTCTCTTCCTATTCTCTGCCTGCAAATGACCGGCCCGCGCCGATGAAGTAGATTCCGCAACCAATCAGAGCGCCCGCTCTCATCGAGAGAATGCCACACATAACGCGATGAAGAGCAATACCGTTGAGTAGCGCCTTTGCTTTGGATATCTTATTCGTTATGTTCTAGTATGCCGTCGGTACGTCTTACCTCCGCTTTTCTGATGCTTTCTATCGCTAAGCTAGGATATAAAGATCTAGCAGCAGGGCAATGCTAACTGGTTCAGTTCTCCTGCGTGCCTTCTTCGATGTCGACCGTCCCACGCACCGCTTGTCCATTAGCTGCCGATGAGTCGTTCAAGGACGCTGACAGGAACAGTTTCTCGATCAGCTTGGAACGACTGGCGCCCCTAGGCGCCCCGGTGAAGCGACATGGACGCAGACTACTTTGGCAACGTCGGCCTAAAGAGCATCTGGACAGTATAGCGACGCAAGCGTCGGTCTTTGATGATTCATCTACGCTCGAGTTGTACAAACCTCCAGCAGACTATGAGAATGCTCACCGATTCGACCCGACTGCAAGATGGACATGGCGTGAAGAATATGTAAGTTTGCCCTCCCACATGGACCTCATCAGTGACATTTCGGCAGCACCTAGTCCGGAAGATTGACCGTCTCATTATGATATGGACTGTCGTCATGTTCTTCTGCTTGGACCTTGACCGCTCGAACCTCTCTCAGGCGAACACGGACAATTTTCTCCAAGACTTGCACATGACGACAGACGACTTCAACCTCGGCAACACGCTATTCCGAGTGAGATTGAATCTAGTGCGGCTTTTGTCCGCGTGCGAAGCTGATGCCCTGAAAAGCTATGTTTCTTGCTCTCAGAACTTCCGGCCCAGCTCATCTCCAAGAAGATCGGACCAGATATCTGGATTCCATGTCAGGTATACTATATCTTCGGTTCACGCTATAAGCTACTCCTGATGTTAATTGTCGTCGACATTTAGATGGTACTATGGAGCCTTGTAGGCCTTGGTCAATTCTGGCTGTCCAACAGAAGCTCATTCTTGGCGACGAGGTTCGTTGTGAATCCCTGAGTGTGGCGGAGATCAGGAGATCATGACCATGGGCAGATGCCTGCTCGGGATGATGCAAGGCGGGTTTGTGCCCGACATTATCCTCTACCTGTCGTACTTTTACACACGAGCTGAACGTGAGTGATCATCATTTAACTTAAAATGTGGACAAATCATACTCATATTTCTGGTCGACAGTACCCATACGATTAGCTTGGTTCTACATTTCCAACTACCTTGCTCAGGTTGTAGGCGCCTTCCTTGCTACAGGTATTCTGCGTCTCGACGGCGTAGCAGGCATGGCAAGCTGGCGGTACCTCTTCCTCATTGAAGGGGTGTTGACCTTGCTAGTCGGCATTGCTTCTTTCTTCTTGATGCCGGCAGGACCCACTCAAACGAAGGCATGGTACCGACCCAACGGTTGGTTCACCGAGCGGTGCGCTCTTTCATAGCTATCGCTTCCATAACTTCCCTGCTGATCCCATCTACAGTGAAGAAGTGATAATGGTCAATCGAGTCTTGCGTGACGATCCATCGAAGTCGGACATGCACAACCGTCAAGGCCTGACATTCGTTAAACTCATGCAGGTCCTCAAGGACTGGCGTCTATGGCCTCTGTATGTCCTAGCCCTCACGCATCAAAGTACGTCTGGTAGTATCACAGTTACTCACGAACGGCGAACCAATCAATTGGCGCAAAGTCCCCGTGACTCCTCCACAGACGTATCTGACTTTGTCGCTCCGCAAATTGGGCTTCAGCACAACTCAGTCCAATTTACTAAGCATCCCGTCAGTGGTGCTGGGCATGTTCACCCTGCTGCTGTCGTCCTACCTCAGCGAGTTCATCGACAGCCGCATCTGCGCAACAGTCATCCTGCAATTCTGGGCGCTACCGCTGCTCATCGCGCTCGAGACGTTTACGAAGCACACCTCGTCCTGGGTTACATACGCCGTGGTTACTCTAATCACCGGCTATCCCTACGTGATTCCGATTCAAGTTGCTTGGACTTCCGCGAACTCCAACAGTGTCGGCACTCGAACGGTCTCCGCCTCCTTGCTTAATATGGGTTTTAATGCGGGTGTTATTGTATCGGTGGGTATATAAGAATGTTTTACTGCTTGTCGCGAATGCTCAACTCATTTGCATAATGACACAGGCTAATATATACCAAGCTGATGACGCAGTTCGTTATGTTATTTTGCTTTTACCCATACGTACTCACGCGTCTATAATCTGATGAAAGCCACTATGTATGTATTGTTGGAGTTCATCGCGACCGAGCACTAATGATATTCGGTACAGACAAACGCGGAAACAGAGATCTTATCATTATAACAGCGATGAACATCATCCTATACATGTTCACATTCTTCTTCTACCGCTCCATCAACAAGCAAAGAGACCGAAAGTGGAGCAAAATGTCTCTAATGGTGCGTTGCCCCAAGTGATACGCTATGAGAGCGTACATATAGTAATACTGCACGCTCAGGAGCAAGAAGAGTATCTCAGAACGACTCACGACCAGGTGCGCCGAATGAAATGCTGCAGATGTACCGACTCCAACACAGTACATTACTTGCAGGGCAACGCGAAACTCAACTTCCGTTTCTTGTACTAAAAATGATAGGCTTCACTCTGTCGAGTAGTGGTCCATCTCAAAGATTACGGCGTGCAATGACAAGTCCATTATTAGCGTAGAATGATGACGGGTTGACATCCAGAGCACGAGGACACGAAAGGACTATGAATGTAACGTATGGAACTACGCAGTAGCAGCGAGCGACTGCACCTGCTGGTCGCCAGGCGCAACTGCCTCTTTACGCTGTCGCCGTCGCACTTTGAGTTTAGACCTCCGCTCGCTTTCCTTGAGCCTCCGCACTCGGTCATTGACGTCCACAAATTTACCACCAACGTCGACGAACTTCCAGGACGGACGACCAGGGATATGGAGCCCGTGCTCGTCATGCTTCTTAGGTGGTATACCTGCATGTGCAGCCTTATACTCTTCCTCAGCTCGGACCTTCTCGCGCGCTTCAATACGCGCACGCTCCAGATTGGAGCCCATAATGGGATCCTTGCAGGCCATCAGCGACGCGCAGAGGCCTGGAGTCTTGGCAAACACACCTGGCCCTCAACAACAGGCTCCCAGAATAAACGCTGATAGCGTTCACGAGCACGGTTCTTACTCTCCACGTCCATCTGAACTTGCGCATCGGCCTGCCAAGCGTCTTCGCCCAGTTCCATATGGGCTTGCGCCGAGGAAGTCATACTCGAGTTGTTCCACTTTCGGCGCTCCACTACGCCAAGGTATTCTTCCATACCCATAAGGAAACCAGTTTGCAAAGATTTGTTCTATTTACAATTGTCAGCTAAACAATCTCATGAAGTGAGGGTATAAAGAGTCGGATGGGGTTGAAATTGTTATAGCCACACTCTGGGCGATGTAAGGCACCCAATGGTCCTTCATTTCGCGAATGAATGTACGTCTCATCATAGCACAAAAAAACTGATAAGATATAACTCACCTCCTGCTTAGTCGGGAAATATCAAGGCATAGATCAGCACAAATCATCCATGCTACATAGTGATCATACTACCTGGAAACCTTGTATTAGCGTGCTGGACAATAGTCATTCGATGAATAGCACAAAAATCAGAAAGCCATGCATGTAAATTCTTTAACCATGGATATTATGTCTTAAAGACTAATCAATTGACTCATCATTGTGATTGCGCCGCTGGTGAACGCGAGTGAAACGTTGACAATATCAAACTGACCTTTCGCCAATGTTCCTCTAGGCCCTTCAATCGTAGAATCGCGTCGATTCGCGCTATGCTGAGGCCATAACGCTCCGAGAGCTTACGCAAAGTGTAAACAGCAGGATTCGACATGTACTCATGGTAGAGATCATTGCGAAGCCGGTCTGAGATCGGCGGCTGCGGCTTGAAGGATGGATTCAATGGGAAGGGCTTTGGTCACAGAATAAGCGCTAGGACAACGAGAGTGGAAAGAGATATACTCAACCACTGCTCCTCCTAACCAATTGCATGGCCTGTGAGGTTCCTTGTACTTCAGGCCCTCGGTCTCCAACCAACGCTCGAATTCAGGCTCGTGTGAGGTGCCTGCATTCACAGGCGCGTCCTCGTCGACGTTGTCCTCCTCTGCATCAACCTCACTCCTGCGACGGACAGCCGTAGAAGAAAGACAACGTTTATTATGAAGTTTTGCAGGCCATGGAGAGGAGACACGACGAAGATGGACGTTGCGCAAGTGAGCGAGCATTTGAGCAACGCTGGCGGGAAATGCTGAAAAGTCTGTGTGTAGTCACGTGCGGGTTTAGGGCAAGTCGTTTCGCATCGCGATCGACGCCGCGACGCGCCCACCTACACACTCGGACTTCTCCACTCATCCCTCCGACCCCACTTGGCGCTGTGCTTCATGTCGGACAATAAACACAAGCATTCAGATGACCTCCGTCGTGTTATAATCGAATTCGCCTCTTTGGGCTCACCTCGATCGCCGCGACTGTCACCAGATGTAACATTCCAAGAGCTACATGACTTCCTGCTCCATGGGATTCTCTTGAACCCTCATTTTGCAAGATATCCGCCCGCAAGGACATATTGCATCTCCTTCTGGAAGTGGGCTATACAAAACCTTGAAGGGCTTGCTGCTGGGGAGGTATGCTACAATATTTGGCCTGTGGATGGAAAATAAAGGCTTATTGAGGTTATTTGAGGATGTCGAAATCGACGAACGAGTGTATGCCCATCTAATATCTCTCATGCCTGATTCCTCGTATGTTGTATACCGTGCGCCTAGTTGCAATAAGATTAATTTAACTCAGCGAGTCTGTGTCTGGAGTTGTTCCTCCAGACGAGAGCTACATCACCTACCTGTGGAGGACGCAGCAACCGATCAATAGCGCCGTTTATCCTGGGCTCGAAAATGTGACATTGTTTGAGTCCCGCACTTTGATAGAGAGTGGAACCACGGGCCTCAAGACATGGGGGGCAAGCTTCGTCCTCGCTGAGTATCTCATCGCTCATTCAGGTAAGTGTGCAGTGTCGTCACATTCCCGGCAAGATCTAACAACGAGCAGAAATCGTGCGTAAGAAACGTGTCCTGGAGCTGGGCTGTGGATCGGGCTTTCTCGGCATCGTGATGGCCTCTCTTCAATTGCAGGACGAGCTCTCTGGTCCAAGTGCAGGGGTTGATCTGCAAACTGCTATGTGGCTCACAGATATTAACGGCGCGGTTTTGAAAAGATGTCAAGACAACGTGAAGTTGCCCTGTAGTATGATTTCCGGTTTCCCATCTTATGCCTTGTCTCATTGAAGAATTAAGATGCATCGTCCCACCATCCATATGTTCGTTGTCAAACTTTGGATTGGTTAGACTCACGAGATCCTGGAGGCGCGTCTCCGTTGAATTCCTTGTTATGCGAGATAGGGGCGGACGTGGTTGTCGGCGCTGATATCGTAAGTCACCCTTATGGACAGTGCTGTCCCACGGCCCATTCAAAGGTTGTCACCATAGGTCTACGACCCTACTATTATCCCCGATCTAATCACCACTCTTCGCCTTGCTTTGGCTACCCGCAAGGAATCTTCAGATGCAGCTCCATACGCACTTGTCGCGCTAACCGTGAGAAACGAGCATACTTTGCAAGAATTCGTGAGCAAAGCTGGTAGGTTTTATAAACGTGGTCTTTTTTAATTTCACCCATCGCTCAGATGCGTTGTGTCAGCACAATTACTGCAAATATATGAAATCCAGATGGGCACAGAAGTGGGGGCACGACCGTCCATAGCGGCGAAAAATGGGTATCAAGAGGTAAAGATCTACAAGATCACCACGTAGCCATCAAATTATCCATCCACGTCGAATGGCAGTCAGTCCGTCTCCGCAAACTAACTCTGGTTCTTGATGCTACCGCAAAATTGACAACTCCAGAACTCACTCGGCATGCCGGTCTCTCCGCACATCATGCAGGACCACGTTGAGTCAGGACTCTCCTGTCGTGCAATCGGCCGGGTGAAGTCGCAGACCTCACACCGTTGAGTCTGCGGCTCGTTGAGAAGAGTGCATTGAGGGCACGGCCATTGCTGCGATGCAGGGGTTGCCTGCTTTACGAGTGTAGCTGACGACGACCCAACCGCGTGACTTGCGGCACCCCTCGACGACGATCCAACCGCAGACCGTGCGGGACGACTACCATTAGACCTGGCAGCAATTTCCGATGGCCCACCCAGGGTGCCGTTTTCGGGCTCCGAGTCCGACTCGTTGGTCAGGTCAATAACCTTGTTCTCGACACTCTCCTTAGCAGCTTTATCTGCCTCTCGCTGAGCGACTGCACCCAATGCACATGCCTTCTCGTCTCGGGCCCGTCTTTCTGCAGCCTGCGAAGCCGGTGAACTAGAGATCGATACCCTCGCATCAAAACAGTCTGTACCTCTGCAGCAAGCTCTCGTGGCAATTTGTGAACCCGCGTCCGAACGTTCGGGCCACCTAGACGGCCTCCACCGCTCATGATGAGATTGACTTGCCTGCGTTTCTCGGCCGCTTCCAGGGCCTTCTGCCGTGCAAGGTGCGGAGGTAGGTTGTGCGACACATTGTAACCAAGCTTTTGCCCGGGTGAGAAGAACCCTTCTCCCGCGTAGCCAGATCGCTTCAGCGTATCGTACTCATCCTCCAATTCCGAGAGAAATTTGTAGAATTTCTCGTCGTGAGGTCCGTGTTCGTTGTGCGTGAGCTGAAGCTGTTAGTCAAGGATCACAAAACGGAATGCTAGGTCACCTACCTCATGCAGCATGGTTTTCACAACAAACTCCTCGTCATAAAATGTATCTGGAGCATGCGCTGGGCGAAGCCGCAGAAGGATCCTCTGGCCGCCGTTTATGTCTGCCGATTTACGATTAAAGCCCGTGCTACGCGTGTAGGTTCCTACTTACTTAGTCCTGTGTAGTAGTAGCTTAAACCTCTTTTATCGATGCCTGCCATCAGATCACGCACCTAGTAGATTTGGGCTTTCAGGAAAGAATTCGGCAAGCACAGGCAGTACCCAACCGTGCTTGCGCATAATCGGCTTGACCAGCGAAGCGATGCGCTGCAGTAGCGGTAAAGCTCTGTCAGCCTTTGGCCTGTCCTTCAGATGTGTGAAGGATTTAACGAAGACGGTCGACATAGTGAGCGGGTGGAAAGGCGTGTACGGCACGTTCTGAGACGAAGCGCGACACGAGACGCGACTTTATATACGGTCACGTTGGACGCGTCAACCTTCGCTGACCAAGCCAGCTGACGCGTTCCCCGAGTTCCTCTTACACATCAATTCCAAATTGAAGGTACATGCCTGTGCATGCTGTAGTTCATTGGGGGAGAGCTGAAGTCGACCTTCACACCAAGTCGGATTACTTCCGAAAACATAATCGATCATTGCAAATTCATGTGGACATCTATGAGACCGGTACAAATACGAGGAGCAGGTCAAATCGTAGCAATTGTATATCATGAGACGGACGGAAACGGGCATAAACAATGTTAACGAGTGTGTGGATAGCCTGGAGAGCAAGCACAAATGCGATGAGAGACAAGATCTGCAATCATGAAGAAAACGTGGGCAGTGGCGAGCCATGGTCCGCCTTGACGGCGGACCATACGCGAAATGTCCGGACTTTGGTCAGCTCTTTCAATTCGTCGTCTGAAAGCTGGCCTTGTGGGCTGAAAGATGGAGCGGAAGATGAGCGCCCTCGAGTGGGAGAAAGCGTCGGAGAAACATTCGCTGTGCGTCGAAGGAAAGAAGTCAAGGTAGACTGTTCCACTTGCTCTTCTTCCATTTGCAGACCTGGCGGATCACTGGGCAAGTTGAAGCGTTGCCGTCTGAATCTGTAGGACAAGGCAATGTCACACAAAGAAAGGAGGTAGTGCATCTGAACTTACCGTTCGTAGTCCCAGAGGTATTCTTGTATCTGATCCTCCGACAGCAGAGGCTGTCCGTTTGTGTCTTTTTTGCCCAGCATAAAGTCCGTGAGCGAATCGCCACAGGACAAGAGTGTTTGAATGTTCTTGCACACGTGCATTTCCATCTCCGAAGGGGAGAAGGGGAGAAAGGCACCTGTCGACATTAGCACAAGTCCTGGCGGCTGGAACCGTTTGGAGGAGCGCGAGGACCGCAGCGATTCATTGCCAGAGAATATCTGCGTCACTTTCGGGCTCAGCGGGGCGCTTACGAATTGGACGGGCTCGCTGTTCTTCCGTCGCGCCGGTGGCCGTGCAGTGTCCGCGCTCTCCATGTATGCCTCCGAAGGTATCGCCAAGGTGATTTCATGCAGCTTCTTCACGCCTTCGCCGAATCTTGACCTGAGCAGGCCATCGAAGTGTTCATGAGGCCGTAGCAGAAGATCGTACCTCTCTACAAGCATATTGTTGAAGATTGTCTCCAGATCCTTGCAGGTGGCAACATTCTCCTCGTACTCGGACACCGCCTGAGGAACCGTACGCGTGTGACCCGGCCATATGGTAGAGTGATCGTGCTCAGCCACTTCGACTTCTTCAGGGGCAGCCCCAATGATGACACAGTGCCTGTTCATGGACTTCTGAAGGCGTGGCACAGACAATGGCGGTGGCGCAATTGCAGGGAAGGCCAGGTCGTCATCGATGAGCTCGAGCCGGCCGCCAGGCGCAAGGACGCGCCACACTTCACTGAACACGAATTCCCAACGTTGCCGAGGGATGCAGAGACTCAAGTTGGCCATTCTTACAAGATCAAAGGAATCTTCCGCGTACGGCAACGGATCTTTCGCGCTGTAACAGGTGAGCCAACGCGGTAACGACGGACTGAACAAGCACTCACAAATTGCTCCTGTCCCATTCGACATTGTGGACCTCCTCCGACGGTGACTCCGGAGAATGTGGCTCCTTGCCGCACATGTTGTAAACGTCAATCAGATCAAGGCCGGTCACCTTCGTATTTTTCCATGACCTGGCCGCGTTCAGCACCCAGTACCCTTTCCCGCAGCCGAGGTCGAGGACCCGAGACGGCGGGTTCTTGCCGTAGTTATGAAATGATGGCGAGCAATTTGGGTTAAGGCGGCGGAGCAGTTCGTATGTCCGCAATTCGCTGTGGCCGCGACGTGAATTATGCGCCTAGATGTCAATGATGCTACTTACCTGTCTAAGGATACACGGCTATATGATTGCATGTACGGAGCCTCTTCACGGCGGTGGCAGTGATGCGGCATACCACGTCTAGTCACCATCCGATTGCGATTGTGAAATCCATCCGCGGTGCCTTGTTGGCGCCTCAGACCTGCTTCGAAAGAGGTGTCCTCATGTAAGGAAGGTGCGTCCGAGTCGGCATTTGAGCGAATGGATGAAACGGCCCGTGGTAGAGACACGGTTGAAGATAGGCCGGGCTGTGTGGGTTGCTCCACGAGAATGGGTTTCCATCCCTTCTTTGGATTCTGTCCAGACCATACAATTTTAAACTTGATGCTGCTGTTCGAGAACTTGAAATGACCCAGAGCACGGAAGGAGCCGTTGTGCCGTTCTCTACGCATCGTTATGAGATCTGAGTAGGCCGAGTGGCACGAGTTGTCCAGACCAGCTGCGGCAGGTGACAGGCTTGCAGAGCGACTTGAGGCGCTATCTGCATCGGCAGGGCTCGGGGCGGACGAATGGGGCGTCCGGTAGGGAAATTCGTTGTCGAGCGATCTTCGTGGAGTGACTGGCAATTTAAACGTGGATGGATCCACGCTGCGCTTTGACGCTGCCATACTGACAGGAGCTTAATCTAGAAACTTGGCCGCTTTGCAAGCGGTAATAGTTCCGTGCTTCCGTAAGTGGCGTGGTGCTTTGTGACCTAGGAGACAAAGGCCCAAATGCACGAGGCACGCTGAGACTGCACGTCCAAAGTGAGACAAGCTATACCGCCAGAAGGGAAAGCGCTCCGCTGAAGAGGCAAGGGAGGATGGTCCAAGGGCAGAAGCTGGGCATCATTGGTATTGAGGCTCACAGATATGGTGTCGGCTGACAAGACGCCACAGAGGCGCCTATTCCGCCACAGAACCACTGGCCGTGCCTCTCGTGCACGGTACACGTAAGCTTATGCATTGGACGGAGAAGGGAGCCACTGGGGTGGTGGCACGGTCCAAGCTGGGCAACCATGACAGCCACACATGTCGGGCGTCTGTTGTCCGATCATCGCTGATGACCCTTGCCCGTGGCACCGTGCTGCCTCGAACTCCTGCACACTTCCGTGGACCAAGCTGAAACGCAAAAGCTAGGTGTCTATATGCGTGTCACATATGCAATGATTCTATTGGCGAGCTAGAGGACGTGCATACATTCGTAGGCGGTATTATGACCCCTCCACTGCCATGGATCAACGCTTTGTCCTGGGAATGGAAGCATCAACTACCTATGACACCACTACACATCCGCCACAGACAGTCTTCTTAATCGTCCTTGGCAGGAGGAGGACCGCAGGGCTGGAGCATACGCTGTTCAGGCGGTCATCAGAACGACTATTGGGCTACGAAAATAGACGACGTGCCTCAGTCATCTCGAACCTGACTCTTCCAATTGCCTCGCCATCGGCAATAGCTAAGTATGAAGCTAGCGATGGGTGGCCGACAATTGAGGCCAACGTGTCCCGGTGCTGGTGGGTGAGCCATTCGCTGCGAATGTATGAGCCTCACCACAACGACTACAACGAGGAGTGGCTCACTATTTGGTCAAGTCGGCATGGCCTATACACACAATTCAGCAAGTACATCGTGGAGGCCTGTCACCAGAGTATGTGCTTACCAGTACCGGTGTAACGAGCATGTACTAGAGGTGGTTGTTAGTGTCAGTACGTAGTCGTGAAGTCGTGTAGACAGAGGAAACTTACGATGTTCGAGCTGTGTATTCGCGGTATACCTAAGCTCGGAAGACTGCGGTTACATTGATAAGTGCAGCTCATACACCTTCAGACGGGCAGAGGATGACTGACCATGGCGGAGGGGTGTTTGCGTGTATTGACGCCCAATACCGCTGCTGTGGATCGAGTATCACAGATCTCGATCTCACGAAAACTGGACCTCAGGCGCCTGTTGCACCGCGCATCCTCTGGTTCATCAACTCGCAGCGCTTGCTTGCCGCCAGACTTCAGGCATGTCTACCGACACGAGCAGACTGCACTCAAAACTTGACACATTGAGCGATGCTCTCGACGACCTAGAGACAAAACTCGAGCCTCTGTTCACCCAGACGCTACCCGAGACTGTGGTCGGCCTCGAGACAATACAGCAGGCGAAGCTGCAAGTCGCGCTGCCATATCTTGTTTACGATCTGATATTTAGTACGCTTCATGCTTGCTCAAGCAGCAAAGCTCATCTTAATGTGCCATCGCAGTCTATCTAAAGACCCGGGGCATCGACCCAAAGACACACCCCGTTGTGGCCGAGTTGGTATGAGGTCATGGCCCGTCGGTCTCACACGACCCTCATCATTGACATCCAGGACCGCATCAGGCAGTACTTTGACAAGATCAAGAACGCCGAAGACCCAGCCAAACGTGCGTCGAATTCCGCGTAGTCCATCCGTCTCTGCGTACTATGCTCCCCCTCTTTTGCAGGCACAGCCACTGTTGACAAGGACGCGGCCAACCGCTTCATCAAGCACGCAATCGCACAAGTGAAGGCACAGCGTCCGCCTGGCGACGGCGAGGGCCCCTCCAACATCCGCTTCACCGATAGCGGCGAGGCCGTGCGCGTCCCCGTCAAGGTGACGAGCAAGATGGCCGCACGGGCGCAGTACGAGAAGGAGCTGGCTGAGCTCGGCAGTGAGGAAGAGGGCGAGCTCGAGGTGATCGATGACGCAGGGGACGCGGATGATGAGGCCGCGTCGAGTGAGCCTCGGCAGGACAAGGGCAAGGGCAAGGCCGTCGACTCTGCAGATGCCGGTGAGCAAATGCCAGGGCGCAAACGGAGACGCGCACCCATGGACCCATTCGCAGGTACGTGGATATACATTCCCTCCCTCGTCCTAGTAACAACTATCTTGTCCGGCAGGTCATGGAGACGATACAACAGCGCAGACAGTCAAAAAGAGCAGAGCCAGCGCCGTCGCTGCCGACGCGGAAAAGGTCAACTCAACACCGGACAGCAGCGGGCGAAGTACACCGTCGTCTTCAGCCGAGGCTGCGAAGAAAGAGAGGAAAGCTGCCAAGAAAGCGAGGAAGAAGGCGAAACGAGGGGAGTCTACGGACTAAAAGTAGCCATGACCCTCTGATGTCGCTTTGAGGCCCCTGTTAGCATTGCTTTGGCTTATGATCATGTCATTTGTTTTGGATATAAGTATACAGATGAGGGCATTTCATTTACTGGCAGAAATAATATGTACAGCGTCAGGACGTGCGACGATCTAGGCAAATATACACGAACGAATATAATACACAAAATGTACAACAAAACACAGAAATGTACAGCAGCAACGATGGCACAATAATACTACAACATCGAACATCAAGAATACAGAATATCCTACATGATAGCACATCCTTCTCTGTCATTACTCATGTCCATGACAACGGGCGAAGGCATCCCGGACGACCGTCGGCCACTGGGAGACCACCAGTGGGCGCGCCCCGCAGAGGCACCCGCGGAGTCCTCCATACTGCTGCTCGACACGTTTGCAGTGCGACGCGACGCCTTGCGCTTCTTGTCCCGCGCCGCGCGCACAGCGTCGACCGTCTGCCACGAGTAGAACGTCTTGAGCGCGACGCGCGCGGGATCGCACTCGTCCTGCCCGACGCCAAGCTCCTCCTCGTCGCGCGCGTCGAGGAAGCCGAGCCGCCGCACGTCGAACGCGCACCAGCCAATGCGCGGCCGCGTGCGGTCCGCGAGGTCCCGCACGGTCTGCTCGCCCACGCCGCGGCAGTCGACGGCGACGACCTGCGCGTCGAGAACGTGGCGCTCACGCGCGAGCCGCACGAACTCGCGCACGACGTGTCCCGACATGCGCGTGTTGTCTGCCTCGAAGCGGCGCAGACGCGGACAATACGCTATGAGATCAAGCATCGCCTGGGCTGTCACTTCCGACGCGTAGGAAATGACGAGGTGTTCTAGGGCGTGTCCTGGCTGTGGAGGGGGCGGGATGCGTGTCGGGCGTGCTGGTTCTTCGACCGGGTCCGGGGTGATAGCGAAGAGAGCATCGTCGGTGATCTCAGATGCATCCTCGAGGTCAAGCCGCCGAATATACGGCGTAGTGTTCAGCAGGCGCACGAGCCCACTGTCCCGTAACTCAGTGCCGATACCGGCCAGTTCGAGAAGTTCGAGCTTCGGGACAGCATGCGCGAGATGGGAGCACGCGTGGTCCGTCAACATGATGCACGATGACAGAGAGAGATGCCGCAAGCGCGTAACGCGCCGCCAGTACATCTCTGGGTCAGTCGGGTCGCGCCCCGCCTCGCGCGCAGTGAGCTGCACCGCTTCCACCGTAGCAGAGTCCGGCGCCGAGCAAGCCACGAAGGCCTCCACCCCCGAGTTGTGCAGGTCCCGCGCGTAGCTAAGGTCCAACACCTCCAAGTATGGTGCAGCCTTCCCGAGCACTCGCATCATGTCGTCGCTGACACGCCGTAGTCCACAGAGTCGCAGTTCCTTAAGTGCAAGCGGCTCCTTGCGGGCTAGTGCAGCGGTTGCAAGGAAATAGATGCCGTCCCCGGTCATATTCCTGCACCTGCTCAGATCAAGGGAGACGATTTGAGGACAGAACTCTGCAAGAACGTCGCAGGTGGTGTTTGTGACAGCAGTCAGGCCCTTGAGACACAGAGAGCGCAAGGAGGGCGAACGTCTAAGGAGGTAGTGCACGGAATGTGTAGTGAGTGCTGAGCAGCCGTGCAGATTGATACTTGTGAGATGCGTATTGGCGAGACCGTCGCCAGGCACAGGCGCAACGCAGAGATTTGGTGTGGTTTCTAGGAGTGTCTCGGCAGAAAGATCAGCATGCCCGGTGAAGTCAATATGTCTAATGAAGCTGCCCGCGACTTCGGAGAGCTGCACCAGCACGGCTGGTGGTACCATGGGGAATGAGCGGAGATCCAGCTTCGCCCACAACTGGCCGTCGAAGACCAGCGTTCGCCAGGACTTGGACACCTGCAATGACGGACTGTCATTGGACCTGCCCCCATGAAGCATGGTATATACCCACCCTGCTAAGCTTGAACAGCTCTCGCACACCCCTGTCCCGGCCAACCCATCTATTCTTTGACGATGTAGCCTTGCGCAGGTTCCACTTGCCGTCTCGGACCTGCCTATCATGATCGGCCTCATGGAGCTCAACGAGGGAAACAAAGACATGCAGCTTGAGCTCTTCTGGCAACTTCTCGTCGAAACGATTAGGAGTAGGAAGGAGGATGGGGCTGAAGATGTCAGCAGTACTGATTACAGGTACAAGGTCGAGGGTCGTCGGAAGGGGAAGAGGAGATGAATAGGAGCGGCCCTTAGTCCGGAGCAAAGTATTGTCAGACGGACGACCGACGACGTAAAAGGAGGGTTGTTCCGGTAGCTTGTCGAGTTTGAAATCAATGTCGAGAACAGGAATGGCTACAGAACTCGTCCGCGGCTTATTATCGCATGTCCACGGAGTGAAGCAACTCGCCTGCCCGATCTCCGCGCATCCGGGCACGTCCTGGTCAACGACTACGTCCGCAGAAGGGGTTGTGGGGCTGTCTGGCACATCACGCTTCTTGAAGAGCAGCTTGCGAGCGAGATTCCCCGGAGCCTTCGCATCCACGGGCTTCGCTTTCGGCTTCGTGAGAGACATTGCGGAGATCGAGCGTCGCGAATGTACGGAGAGGTTGGACATCGATCGTCGGCGTGAGGGGATGCGTGCGATCGTGATAGAATCCTCGGCTGGCACGGGGAAGGCACTTATGTGCTCTTCCGAAGCTGCGCTCCCGCCCGGGCTGGGCTGAGGATCCTGGACAGAGCCAAATCCCGAGTTGTACGATGAAGGTCCAGGAACCGATGTCGATATGTCGAATACCGGCCAATCAGAGCTTTCATAATTTAGCTCGGTGGTGACGAAGGATAATGGAGGCAAGGTGGGAGGCAACTCGCGACCCTTGCCCTTGCCCTGCATCTGCACGGCATCTGAGCCTGCTGAAGGTTCATCTAGATCTGCATCCTGATGTTGTATGGAGTCGGTCATCGGCGTTCCGGTTGGCTGGTGGTCATGGAGTGAAGGGACAGAAGGGAATGAGTGCAGGGCGGGGTCGTGTGCAACTGTACCGAGAGACATAGAGAAGAGGTCGTCCTCGGGCGAACCGACGTCGAGTACTTCTCGAGATGTGATATCCACCGGCCTGGAGATACCTTTGCCCTTCGCGTCGGTCATCGTCGCATGCTCCATTGTGCTGGACGAGCGAACAGAGAAAGTCAAAGACGGACCAGATGGTGGATTTAAAGCGGATAACTGGGCGGAGAGGACTGCAATGCACGAGGGGGAGGATGGCAGGGTCCTCGCCTGGTCCTCGAGGTGATCGCGAGCCTCTGCGTCTTCATAAGAGTCGAACTGAAAGAGGGGCTCATGCTCCCGGTTATCGATGTCGTGCATGCGGCTCATGGCGAGAGCCTGCAGGTCTAAGTGCGGGCGCGAAGCGTGATAACAGATACAGTACTAGATAGAAAGCTGATTGCGATGAGAAAGCAGAGGATTAGAGCGAGAAAGGAGGCCTCGGGACGAGAGCTGGGACGGCGCCGAGCAGCATGAGCGCAGGATGGAGACGACTCGGAACGGAGTCGGGAGTCATGCGCCCAGAGCTCCCTCGATCGGAGTCAGGTTATCTTATCACAACTTAGATGTTCGCAGCCCACTGGGGTCCCCGTGATGCGCGCGACTGAATGTGTTTTTACTGAGGCAAGCTCAACGAGGCGAGCCAAGGTTCGGTGGGCAACAGCGTAGTGTGAGGGTGGTGAATAAGTACGCACAGTAGCTGGTGAGGGGTGCACGAGGACTGGGGAAGAGAGAAAAACTCTGTGCTGTGTCGATTTCCCTGGTATTTTTATGGCATTAGTGGCAGGCTAAGGATCCACGAGATGAATGAATTATAACTATACCAGAGAACCTCTGGCAGGAGTCAAGGGTGAATCACTGTATCAGAAACGGAAATATTGATGCCATAAATGGTACCACGCGAAGATGGACCCCAGAACCAACGGGCGCTTGTACCGATCAGTGACGCATGTCGGTGCTGGCCTGTCTCGGAAGCTGTTGTCTCGGCCACTTCCTTGGGATGTGCTGCGAGCTGGCGAAACACACAATGCGCAGTGGGGACAATATCACAATATCAGTAACGTAACATACATGGGACGCCCTATGGTAAGCAGTCGGAGAGCGCGCTGGACACGACCGGGTGACGCAAAGAAGCATTACGGGGTGGAGAAGTGTAGATGAAGGGGGCCAAGAGGATTACACGGCGAGCAGAACATACACCTGTCATCATGTCGAGCTGCGCAGGAGGGAACGGTTACGACGGTCACCGAGAGCAAGCCGGGCATGTTCGACAGGCTGCACACACCCCATGTCTCACCGCCACAACGACAGGCGAGGCTGGAGTGAGCACGGCGGTGGCTTACTTCTCTTTCTGCTTGTTCCAGTTCTCGATGACCTGTTTGAACCTGCGCCGCAACGCCGTCGGCATGAGCCCGTGGTGAGAGTGTCTGTGGCCACGCACCTCTCCTTATGTGGCAAGTCCGGGTCCTGTTCCTTCAACCGCGCGACCTCAGTCTGCATGAATTTGTTGAACCCGGTGAGTTTCTTCTTCCCTCCGGTGGATTTCTCTGCAGCACATCCGCTTAGTCACGAAAACACAATATCAACGAGGAGCAACTCACTGCGCTTGGCAGCGGCGGACCGCTTCGCAGTGTCGTTGTTGGCTGTGACGACCATGACTGCGGGAGCCACACGACTGTTGAGCGCACAGCGGGGGAGGCTCGACGCTGCAGCACTCACCGACAATTTCAGTGTGCAGGGGGCGGGCGTCCGGGTACTCTCGGGGGGGTGCGCAAAAATCTGGAGGAGGGGAGGGGGGAAGAAGGGAAGATACGTTGTGGCATGGGGGGGCTTAAGTATAGTGGCCCAGAAAATGCGGTGACAGGGTTAGTATTGTTGGGCACGCTTCGCGATGTCGCCCACCCCCAGCCACTCCGCGCGTCCTCCGTCGCTTCTTTCGAACGCGGAGCCCAGATGCAGCTGCTCACGTTCCCCTCCTGATGTCGCCCCCTGCGCGCCCGGGTGCCGCCCCTTGGCACCTGATTTCAGCCGGCTGTCCTCGTGGGGCGGGGTGCTGGCCATCGTCGAGCTGCATGAGCAGCTCTCGACTGTCCCGAGGCCTCGCTGGGCGTGTGCGTTACACAGAGTGCGCAGTTAGCGTTCATTAGCATTAGCTCTGCGATGCGGTGTATCGCGCGAAGATCCATGCCCCGAGGTGTGCACGGGGTCCTGATCGTCATGCCGCTGCTGCAAAGGAGGTCGCGTCACTGCTGGTCAGCGGTTCGCTCGCCAGCCTAGCCCTCTTATACCAACACTAGCCCCCTCGCCGGTGAGAATTACCGGCGATCTGCGTACCATCCATTTGGCCTCCACATACATATATAGCCGGCGGGTTACACCCTCTCACGTAGCATAGAGCCTGTACGTCACCACACAGCGACGCCCCTCACGACAAACCAGCATCTTTCGACAACGCCCCCGCCTGCTCGACGCCCGCAATGCTCTCAACCAGGCTCGCCCCGCTCACAATGCCCGTGGTCGCAATCAAGAATTTCCGACCTGGCTGACATCAGCCACTGTACCTGTTAGACACGCGCAAAGTTATGCTTACCTCGGCTTTGCCGGCCAACCCATCTGAGCGCTGCAATTTCCGTGTATGTGCAGCCGCCCAAGAAGAAAACCGCCGTGGTGGTGGGCTGTTCCCTCTGCATGACTGCACATCGCTGTCAAATGGGGTCCTCGTGGCTGGAAGCATGCATCACTCACTTGACGAAGGACCAGATGCCCCAGCCAATGCTGTCGGCACAATATCCACCGTTGCCCCTGGAATGCTGGCTACCGCGTCCTCGAAGCCCTTCCACCCCACAATTGGGTGTGCTTGCACGACGGACGAGCCTTTTGCCTTGCTCGCGGCACTGCCATCCTTTGCCTTCTTGTCCTTCTCCGACGCAGGATTGCTTAGAATTCCGCTCTTTTGCGCAACGCACTGCACAAGCCGCACGCTGATGGGCGCATACCCGGAGTACACGTAGCTGATGTCGTTCTCAATATCATCCACGTTGTCGGGGTCCTCGATCAGCAGGCGGAGCGACTTGCGGAGCGAATTGTAGGGATATTTCGACGCGGCAACAGAAGCGGGCGTCGAGGCCGGGAGAGGATTCGGAAGTAGAACATTCAAAGGTGGCGCAGATAAAGAGAGAAGCAGAGGAAGAAGGCTATAGCCATATGCCTGGGACATATTATCAGGCACAGACTACCAAAATATGGAAGAGCAACTGACTTGTAGAATCTCCCGCTTCAGAGCCTCGAGGGTTTTACTCCTGATGCCCCCGTTGATAATACTTGTCAGACAAAGCAGCCGAACGACCATCTGCATGTCAGCTCCCTGAGCAATCATCTCTTCAATGGCGGCCAGCTGTGCCGGTATGTCGTAAGAAGCGAGGAGGTCTAAATAGAACGATTAATACTATCTCCGCACTGAGGTTGAAGTAGACTCGCTTTGCTGTATCTCCAGAGACTTGTTGAACTCATCTGTCCTTGTCAATGGAACCAGCAACTCGGACAGGCCGGTGTCTGCATTCGATCAGTCTACGGCACACGACCCCCGGAGTGATGGCACTCACGCAGCCGCAGCGCCTGGTGTTCAGACTGCAGTCCTCCGAGCTTACCCACAAAGTCCCGCAGCTGTGCGACCGTCTTCGCTTGATGCCTGAGCTGTTTCGGGCATGAGCGCGAAGCCGCAACAACGCCGTACACACCCTGACCTTGTAGTCATCGTCGAGCCGCCGCGCGACTTGGTTCAGCTTCCGGCCCACAGACGAGAAGTTGAGGTCGCGCAGCTCGCCTAAAAGCGGGTCGGTCGTCGGCGAGAGGTGATGCTTCTTCCGCTTCTCTTTCGTCAGCGACGAAGCGGGTGCGGCGGTGCTCGACGACGCTTCCGTATTCTCCTGACCGGGAACAGCGGGCGCAGCAAGCAGCGACACCGGCACCTCGACGTGGGCTGGCGTACAATGAGAACATAGAACTAGCAGCCACGTGTGAGAGACGTACAATGGCGGATACCGATCATCTCGTCGATGAGGCCCTTATAAGTGAGCTGTGTCAGTAAGGGTGTGATCATGTCGACTCCTCGGTCAATGATGATCAACGAGTCGAATGGCGCATTAGGTACGCCAGAGCTGCTTTCCGAGCCGGATTGAGGTGGATGCCGGGTCAACAGCGTGGCTAATTTCTAATACTTTGTCGTTCAGCAGCACCACGACGACAGGAGTCGCGCTTACCTGAGCAAAGTCGCCCTTCCCCAGCACGCGAGGGAACGGCCCATACAGTCTCTGGAGCGTCATGAGCGCCTGCATGGAGTTGTAGATGACTGTCTCGTCGCCATCCTGTGGGCCTTGTGAATCAGAGGGTACAGTCTTCACGGACCATGAGGTATACGCACCGTATACAACTCCTTGAATGCGCTCTCGTTCTCCAAAGATACAATGTCTTCTGCTACAGGGATGAACTGCAGATTGTACGAGGATATAGTGATGTCTCCGAGTACACCCTCCTCCTCAAGTATCCGAGAGACAAGGGTCGAGATTCTGGGGACCAAAAGCAAGGTATAGGTGTGTTTACTGGGTTCCCGCGCAAGCCTCTTCAGTTGATCTGCATGCAGACCATTGAGTGAGGACCGACGGCACTGACGCCATGAGCACTGACCAGCAATGATCTTGATCCACTTCACGAGAGGCCGGCATAGATATATGATGTTCGTCGTGGTAGCGGACAGCGGACCTGATTCAAGCCAGAACATCTTGTCCACACCATGGTGCTAATACCCATGGTTTCAGCATTGTGAAGTACACGAGAGCGGTTCACGTACCTTGAGAAGCGCCACCTCCGTGACGAGCCCCAGAGGACCTGCAAGAGAGGGATCTAACACCAGTGTCTTTGCACCGTTCACCTGGCATCGCAGCATTCGTGAGACCAGCGCGCGCGTGTGCACGGCCCTATGTACATACTGAATTCAGGGCATCCACCAGGCCTTTCCTCGCGAGCTCCTTTAAAGCCGAGACATCCAAGGCTGGTTCGGCTTCGCCGTTCGACTTTGAGTGGTTTGAATGGTCATGAGAGGTCGACGTAGAGGAGGTAGCCATAGCCGCCACCGGCGAACGGTCGTGACGCGATGGTCAACGCGTCGCGTGAGGCGCGTCACGATCGGTCGCGCGCCATTGGCGAGGCTATTACACGCGTCTATCTTCGCTCGTATACCCAAATATTTGTTGGTAGGCATCCGATTGAGATGTTGATATAATGTACAGTGGTTCGTGTAGACGATCAGTGCAGGCATTCATGAGTCCGCGAAACACTCCAATGTCCGATATAATCAATTATATAGAGTTCCGGCGGGCACTCTTCCCCCTCGTCTTGCCCGCTGCAGAGGCTTTGATATCCCCAACGTACGCCGAGGGAAGTCTGCCTTCCTCGTCCCACTTCTCCAGAAAGTTTCTTGCCGCCTCGTATCCTTTCTTCTGGATTTCCTCGAATTTGCCAAATTGCAAGGTGCCGAACTGTTAAACCGTTCAGCACCCATCGCCGGAGAAGCGCAGCGAGATGTCAACCTACCTCTTGAACAGGCATTCCCATGTACAGAGTACCAGGAGCAACTTTGGCCTCCTCCAGAGTCTTCACGCTCGAAACACTAGACGATCATGAGCATGATAGGCCGAAAGCCACAGTAGCAAAAGTTTCTTACTAGGCAAGCCGGCTTTGCAGTTCTGTAATAGCTGGAATACTCCTGGCATTGGAGAAGGGATTCCAGCGATTGATTAGGAGCCACCATCCTGAGACCGAGTCTCCAAAATTCCGAGGCGAGTTATCGTCAATCTGTCAAGCAATTGTAAGAGTCAGCTACTTGTATGGTGGACGCTATAACTCACGGAGCCGACGTCGGATGCAATGACGGCACTAGCTCCCATGGCCATCATAGTAGAGACCTAGGATGGGTGAGTTGCAAGCATGGTGTGGGCAACGGAGAGACGTACTGGTAGATTGTCAACTGCGCAGATGACAAATTAGTTTTCAGCTTCTTGGATTTCTGATAAACAGTCCGCCTACTATAACCGCCGTCCACAAGCATGTTACCGTTGTCGCAAAGCGGTGGAAGCAATCCAACAAGAGTCATCGATCCACCTACCATCATTTTTAGATTGAGAGCCTGCAGTATCGCCCACGGCCACTTACGAATGAACCTCCAAGCGAAGCCTGTCTCGTGGATCTCCATCCGAGACGTATTGATATTTGTCGTATTACAAAAGTATGGGAGCCACATGTCCTCGATATGAAGGTCATAGAAGGCCTGTGGGAGGCGTTACACTTTCAAAAGCGACGAATCAGTCATATTCCGTACCTTGTATATCGAGCGATTAAATTCGTGTCCCTACAGAGAATGATTGGTGAGTGAACGGACACAGCTTGAAATGAACACACTGTAGTGTAAGCCACGATCGGGTACGTCACATCAGACAACATTCTCCAAATGTTGCCCATCCGGCCGCTGAATTGCTTGGTACGGCCGGCACTTGAGATTACATCACCCTCTCGGGCGTACAGACCTCCGACAAATGCACCCATGCTTGTTCCTATCCGAAAGGGATGTGAATTTCGCATCAAATATAGCGGTAAAATAGTGCATACCGCCTATGATGTCGATCGGAATCCCATAGTCTTCCAGAGCCTGCAAAACACCCTATGCTTCGGTGTTAGTATACCACGAATGCGCCCATGAAGGCAGCCCCACAAGATGTGATATTCCTCGAGCGCCACCTCCTCCAAGTACAATCCCGATAGACTTGCCACAGATCTTCCGGGCTAGCCGTGCGAAATCACTAGAATGTGGATCACGTTGTGGGCGAGGCTCGGTGGCACCGCCACGATACTTCCTAATCTCGCTCTGGACTCTGTCCTTGAGATTCCTCAAGGCCGTCACGGCTGCCGGATCTTGTGGTACAGCGACTGCTCGTGGCACCGCGGCCACTAACCCCTTTGGGATCAATGTCAGAGGGGACACCGTACTGGGAATGGCACTAGCGCCTACAGGAAGTTCGACGTGAATGTGACGATGCACCCATGGACGGTTCTGCAATAAGATAGGTAAGTAGGATATTTCCTTAGCAATAAAATAGACTCGACTTTGAGCCATTCGCGCGTAGACCCGGGTACTACGGAGCGATCGGGATGTAAGAGAACAAGCTCCTTCCGGGCTGTGGTCTTCAAAGAAAGCAGGAGTCGTTCGTACTCCCCAATTGTCGGATCGTCTCCCATGCCGACAACCATGACACAATCTGCCTGTCAAATCCTGAGCATGACGTGGCCCGCCTCAAATGTGCAACATACCTGTCGAATGCATGTCTGTGTCCAGGAGCTGCTTACCGCCGAGTCCGCCACGTATAGCACAATTCTGTACTTCTGCTCCTGTTCCGCCAACCAACCAGCCGCCTTGAGCTTTCCCATACGAGTGAATGCATGCCGACCCAGATGGTTTGAAATGGACGCTTGATTGAGAAAAGAGGTTGGAGCACCTATGCCCTCGAGCGCCGAATGTAGCTTGCGTGCAAATGCATCTATGGGAACATTCCGCGATACCGGCAGCACCGCGACTGTTTTCAAGTTCGTGTTGCTGCGAGATAGCTCCGTTGGGAGTTTTCTTGTAGATGAGTCGATCTCCGTCCTGACCCGGGATGCAATCATCTGCAGAATTCTGACCAGGCCTGGTCAGGCGTACGTAGACCGTGGTCGTTTGTATAACTACTTACTGAGCAGTTGTTCTCGGATTCCTGTTGAGTAACCCAATTGATCAGTTGTCAATCAAAGTACGATGCAAGAATAGCCTACCGGGAAGAGATAGCGTTGAACAAAGTTCGAGGCATCCTGATCAGCTCAGTGTCACGGATAGCGTGCAAAGTATTTCTACGGGGCGATCCAGTTATGACCTCAAGCTCTCCCACAGTGTCGCCCTGGCCGTATTCGCCAACAATACTGATGCCACCGTCCACTTTGTCCATGATAGCCCGCAGACGTCCGTTGATGACTATGTAGAAGCTGTCACTGGCATCGTCCGGACGCCAGAGCACTTGACCCGCATTGACTTGTACCCAGTCCAAGGATCCGTCAATGTGTAAGACTGTTAAATAGTGAGAGGGTTACATAAGAGGTCCGTGTGTCAATGCATACCGATAGGTGATAGCAATGATATCAATCGTTTGGCAAGCGTAAGCAATACAATCGGTCGCTTCTCTAAGAGACGGTCGAGCGCCGGGGATGGGAGGAATCCGACATAGGTATCCGTCTTGGCCACAATATCGACATAAGAGGCGATCTGACAGAGAGAGGCTGATGAACGTTACTTTGATGTGCCCCTCCTGCGGCTCACGGACTCACATAAGTAGCCGGCGATGCCACCTGGTCGGACGGTAAACAGTGGTTTTTGCGTGTGTTCTGCCTTGTCGCGAGGAGGGTATTGTCTAGGTTCGTCGAAGCTATCCGATCGGCCGTGAGTTGGTAATGGAGTATTGCCGCCCACAAATGGTGATTCATCGGCATCATTGAGTGGGGGAGGTTTCGGTCTTGTCTCCTCAGCCTTCCCCTCGGAAGGAAGTAAGATGTCGAGGAAACCATCGATGACATAGAAGAGGCCTGAAATTGTTCATCAGAGTCATCGTAACTGACTGGTGAACGAGTATACCTGTATTCCTCTCGCCCGCTCTTGCGAGAATAGAGCCAGCAGGGAAGAAGAGGATTTCAACCTCGTTATCCAAACCACTCATATAACCGTCGTTGGCGACAGACGAGGCAGTTACGCTTGACGCGCCATCGTCGCCCATCTCCAGCAATGATAGAGAACCGAAAGAGGACCTGAACAGGTCAGGGCGCGATTCACTGGGAGGGATACCTGGAGATGCTTCTACAGACTCGTCTCCACTGATTGGCGGCTGTATCAGACCGATCGACTTAGCAATACACGACATGACCTCCTCGCGAAGATCGAAGTCATCAGAGGGTATTCGTCTCGCGCCGCGGAGGTCTTCGGGCACCTTAGCTGGCGAGGAATCTTGTCGCTGTGCAGCTGGCCGTGTCCCGTAAACAGTGCTGACAGATCGAACGACAGGCCTTGCAATATTTCCGGTATGGGCTGTGGAGGTGTGTAGATCACCGGCCTGCACTGTCTGACGAGGTGTCTGCCCTTTGAACGGCGTGGCGGGAGATGCGTACATGGCTTTCGGGCTATCTGTAAGCTTCCCCTTCGATCGACTTCCCAAGAACGTGGTTTTCTGTGGGTTCTGTGTCGACGTATTCACGCTAAAATAGTCACTGTCAGTGTCGGAGTCGCTGGCAAGCCCAACGCCATCAAATCGTTGCCGAAGATGCTTCAGCCCGCTCTCGTAGAAAGCCGGTGGTAACGGATGACAGGCAATATCATTGATTGCCTTCTCTGTGCGGAGGACTTCCGTGGTCAAGCCGAGATAGTTGTGAGCAGCGTTGAAAGTTACTCGAGAAAACCGAGTTAGAATCACTTAGCATAATGTCAGCCAGCGTACCCATGACATACTTATCACATCGATCACACACCTTGAACGATGTGCGCAGTCGCCTTTGGGAATTTTTTTGTGAGTCTGCGGAATGCTTCGGCGGGAATCACGGCAAGACTGCTATCTTCAGTAGCCCTAGCGACGACGCTGTAGTGGTGTTCTGGTTCCGTGGATATACTAGCGTTAGGCTGGCTGAGAGACGCAATCCCAGATGAGAAGCTCCTCGGAAAAGGCCTGTCGCGTGAGAAAGATCGGCCCCTAGGAGAAGTCACATCCTCTTGGTGAACAGTGGATCCAGAAGAAGAGACAGAAGGTCGACGCCCAGTAGACCTTGCCGATGGTAGATCAAGAGACGAGACGTCTGAGTCTGAACGCCGTGTGCGAGTTCGCAATGGGGTTTGCATAGAAGAAGGTATCTGGACTGAGTCAATATCACTAGATCTGTCGCCATCCTGCCAACTAAGCTTGACGTTCTCCGTGAAGAGGCTAAGGATTGTAAAAAGACTGGATAACATCCCTCCTGTTCCGACTTGGTTCAGTAGTTGATAACCGTTCATATCATCGTCGTCCAATGCGCCACTCTCGTTCTCCCGCGTAGGCTGCCCTGTCTGGGCATATACTTGGACCGTGCCTTCAATAACACAGTAGAAACTTTTGTCTTCATCCAGCGACAGAGTATCACCAGCGATGAGCCTTCTTGTTTGTAAATGTCTTGCCAGCTCGTGGAACACCTATCATGATCAGTACAGAGCCTTAGCCGTCCTAACGGATATCCTGTAAACGACCGAGACATACGGGCTTCTCGAGGAATCCAAACACCCTGATTGCTTGGAGGAATTCATCCAGATAGTTATGGAGAGCAGGCATTTGCTCCGGGGTATTGACGTCGGGATTTAACTCCTGGGCATCTGCCTTTGGCAGCGGTGGCTCTTTAAGTTTGGTGTAGACATTCAGGTAGCGGAACTTGATCCAATAATTAACAGCAACGGCAAAAAGTCCGAAAATGATAGCAAAAGACCAGAAATTGAGCTATGGGGGCGTCAGAACTGTAGTGGCGACACAGGAAGCAGATTCCGCACCGTAAGTGTCATTGAATAGGATAATGCAGCATAGATCCATGTCGGAAGAGTGATCGTTGCAAACGCTACAAGTGCTTTTGCCCATGAGAGAAGATATACTGGTCTCCTTTCAGGAAAGTGCTTTGCTAAAAATAAATGTACGAACGTACATATCATCCAGAAGAACGCCGAAAGCAGCATGAACACCGGATGCCGGTTGTATTCTGCCGCAGAGGCATCTGGCACCTCCATCTTGACAAGCCTACAAGTCCGAGTAAGTTTGAAAACCGCAGACTGAGGCTGGAGGACGTCGCTAAAGCTTGAGGTTCATGGCATCCGCACCGACAGACATGCGCTCGATCAAGCGACGTGACAAGCGCCCAATATCGTTACACGCGTTTTAGCACGTGCAACGCGACACGATACACCGTCTCATTATATTATTTGGCGTAGTACATTCAAAGGCCAAGGAGATGCATATACATGAGCAGCCAAGAAATCCGAACAAAGGGTATCTACAGAAGTACAGAAGTACCGAACACATCCGCCCTGGACCATCTAACGAACAAGCGAAGATACAACCCCAAGTCAGATAGGACAGAATACAAGTATTTGGGCGGCCAATCTCATTCACTCAAAAGCCGAATAGCCGGAAGATGAGGTACAGAGTCGAGCAGACGAAGCGAATAGCAGATAGGCCAGCACTGAGCGAGCACAATGTGATGAGACATTCACGCGAAGCAGAGACAGACCACTCACAGGCAAATAAATAAGAAGCTGAGGTATGGATTGAATGTGCCGCCGCTTGAAGTTGCGACATGCTCCTCGATCCAGGTGGTGAACAAACTGGAGGTGAAAACCAAGATCATGACCCTGGTGTGTGGTTTTAGAAGCCGTCTCTGCAAAGTCTCGGGGATACGCACATGTTGGTCCCAACCCAAGCGAGGACCACGTTGGTCCTGCTGTTGCGATCGTGGTCTGCCTGCTTCGTGGCTGCGTCACGATGTTCTTTTTCTTCAGCAGGTTTGACTGAAAGGGCATAGCGAGAGGCATTCCAGAGCTGGTCGACGTCTTCGCGTGCGGTAGGCACTTCGACTTCTAGAACTTCCTTGCCATCTTTCCCTTGCACTTTCTTCGCGCCACCAAGGTCCTTTGCGGATCCGTTATCACCCTTTGTTCCCCTAATTCCCAGTTTAAGTTCCACGTCACATTCGGACTAAAACCCACTAACCATGTAACGTCATGCAAGTTGCACATGGCGTACATCACTAGAAAACGCTCATGAGGTATTGACTTGAAGAAAGAGAAACTGGGCTCGACTTACTCAGGATGTTGACGTCTGAAGGACAATGTAAGCAATCTATCTATGGAGATGAGACGGTAAAAACTTACAGCTAGGAAGCAGGAACATGTACTGGAGGAACGAGGTGAACATGTGCCAGGGCTCGAGGTGAATGAACGAGGCGAAGAAGTAGAGACCATAAGTAGCTGCCAGAGATATGACAATGTCACGGAAGGTGGAGTTGGTCTTGACAAGCCTTGGGTAAGTCTTGTCAGCGACATGGCAACAACCACATTGGATGAAGACCTACTCGGGGAAGTCCTCCCAGCCTGCAACGGTGTGGGGAACGGCAAGGTAGACGGTGTAGCCGGCGCACCACAATGTGATACAATTACAGAAACCGAAGAGTACTATGCAAATGCAGTAGATCCATTTGGAACCCTTCGCGCCAATTAGTCGTGCTGGATTGCAAGCTCAGGAACGAGAAGTCGCACCTGCGGACGGTTTCCTAGAGAACACACGGTGACCACAAAGAGGAGTGCAATATACAGCTGCAAGACGCTGTTAGTATATTACGACAAGCCAAGTTGTTAACGAACGTACCTTCAGGAACACCTCGAACACATCCTTGCCAGCTCCCTTGCTGAGGAAGTTAAATGCATCTTGGGAGCCGGTTGTCGCGGAAGAAACCAGCTAAGATTGACGATGGTTCATAATCCGCTTATCACATCTACGAGGGGACGTACGAAGAAGAAGGCCAAATAGAAGTTTGCCAAAGATGTCCAGGTGAACATGAGCTGCACAGCGTTGTAGATGAACTCAAACTGTAGGGTGACGTCAGCACGCCGTTACAATTATGGTAAGCAGCACAGACCTGCAGCAGCAGCATCCGGAAAGGATTCTGTCCAGACGTCCAGATCCTCCAAAAGAATACAGTAGAGTGGATGGTCGCGAAGAGAGAGCCATTCAACCAGCGCCGGCGCTGCGAGATGAACTCAGGGACCTGCACGATTGGTCAACACCAGCATCTCTGCGCGAGGGTTCGCGGCCGTTCTCACAGTAGTAGGGACATCAGTCGACGCTTTGGCACTCTTGACGTATTTGAGACTGGGAGGATCGTCAGAATTTGTCTGATTGAGACACGGCGCATATGACGTACACCCAGCCTTCTCGCTTCTTCGTGACGATTTCGAAGCACAAGATACGATCCTCGGCAAGGTACATGTTCCTCTCTGAGTTGGTGGACGCTGGTTAGGACACAGTCACGAGAACAGCGCGCAAGCCTACCGAACAGCCCTGCACCGCTGCTACCTCCATGCATTGTCTCGCCCTTGAAGTACGAAGCAAGAGGACCCTTTCCATCAGGACCGTTCTGCAACGCTTTGTACCTGTACGCGCTGAAGGCTCCAGGCAACACACTGATGTATCCAAAGATGCTCTACATTCAGAGGTTTACATTTCCGTAAGATCTTCAGGATTCGCCAGGACATGGAACCTACCTCTAGGGGCTTGTCGAGGATATTTGACATCTTATACTGTATGTCCACGAGGGAGATTAGCGGTACAATTCTCGTCCCACGACGTAGTGAACATACCTCGAAGTTCTGCGAAGCCGCTAGAGGACTCTTAAAGATCTGCCAGCATGCTTTGCCAGTGTCGACGCAGATCCTGATGAAGGCGTTTAGCAGGGACACGACATAGAATGCAAATCAGGGTACGCACTCGCCACACGCCCCGCCGACGTTCGAATGTCTGTCGAAACCTGTGACATCGCGTCAATTGCGTCACTCTGCCCCACATGCCGTTCCAACTCACATTTCCACAGGTCGTAGATGGAGGTGCCTGTGGGTTTGGTTCCGACATCAAGAAGGACGCAGACTATGCGCTCAGCGCGTGAGTTCCGCGGCATCTGGAAAGAAAACATATAATATACCATGGGGACGAACAAGCGGGCCAAATGCGTTGAAGAACCACCGGTGACTGTAGTCGAATCAATAATGATGACTACCGGTATATACGAAGCGGAATACCTGTTGAGCTTCTTCTTGTTCTGCTCCTTCAAGCAGAAGATGATCTGAACAGGGCAAGCGCTCTTGGAAATCTCCCCCTTATCCGAAACGACGACGTTTGAAGTGAACCTAGATAGCAGACATGAGCCAGATGGACAATTGATAATCAGGCACGACTGACTCGAAAATGTGCGCAGTCACATCTTTACCTCCAATCGTGTCCTTGGCGACACCCTCTTGGTAGCAACCCATCTGGGAGATATCATCGTGAGGCGCGTTTCACCATAACATACGCGTGATACTCACCAGAGTCAAGACTTGCAGGGTGCGCTTGTTGACTTTGTTACGACCGTCAGATACCACACAGACCACTACCTTCTGCCAGCCGTTCGGGCCCCACATCTTTGATCGGCTACGGGAGCATAGATGTGCGATATTCTTGATGACGCTGTAGTGCAAACTGCTTTCAGCACACGTTGATGCGAATGCAGCTCGAGAGGTCGGAACCGAATGGCATTCAGCAAGCCCCGACGGCCCATTTGCCGTAGAGTGTCCTAGGTCTTTGTCGGGGATACATCACCGCGACCAAGCCCCAGTACCATGCGGCGGCCCTCACTGCAAGCACAGGCCAGCAGCGGAAGGTGTCACGGTGGCTGTGCATTATCCGGATCCGGCCTATCGAGCCATGGTACCACAGAAGATGTTACGCACGCGTTCATAGTGCGGACGAACAACACTTCGTCCTCATTGTACATAGTCATAACAATAAATAGCTCGGTATGGCGGTTGAGCAGGTACGGGCGCAAGGAATACTTGTTGCGCATGAAATCGTCCGGGTCGCATGTCGCGGCGGTGTAGCGCAGCTTGGTCATCTCATCGATGTGTTCCATGCCCTTGGGGACAATGAACGAAGGTGCCTGCATGTCCAGCACCAGGTTGCCCTGCTGCAGCTCGACCTGCTTGACCGCGCGCTGCTTGAGCAGCTTCTCGCGCGCGTCCGACCATCCGATACCAGGCCGCATCTGCTGCATCGGCGGGTAGTTCAGCGGGTGCTGCTGGTACGGTAGCGGCGGTACGGGGGGCGCGTTGTGCAGGGAGACTTGGCTCATCTCGTAGCCCGTGTTGAGGTGGGCCTGGGAGCCGGCGTAGCTGGATTGATACGACTTGGTGGACTTGGCGTCCCACTGGGAATGAGCATCGTATTCCTGCTTGGGGTAGTTGTTGTAGCCGGGCGAGGCATAGTGCTGCTGCGGGGGCGCAGGAGGGTAGTCTGGCGTGAGGCTGGTAGTGCTCGTGGGAGGGTAGTCAGGGTAGACCGAGTTGCCTGAGTGGGGGCTGTAGGGATCGTGGTGCGCCTGTGTGCGGTAGGCCATTGCGAGATACGACAGTGAAGAGAGAACGTGGGGGATAAATGAAAGATAACCCGGATACACCGACAGAGGCAGAGGGGGGTATCAGTGTTGCCAGCGACACTAGGCGGCGGTGTTTGAGTTGGATGAGAGACCGTATGGGACCTCATCGTTGCCATATGCGGTAGCTGATCGACTGCAACTCCCAGGCACATGTGATACGGCTATGGCACTGGGTGCAAGGATTGAATCTTTTTGTGCAAACCAAATAAAGATAGGATGACAAGAACTGCCAATGTCCAGACATCTTAGCACCATGATGCACCTATAAGCCATCGGTGCTCAAGTAAGCCGTACGCTGCAGACTCAGGAGCTCCACGAAAGCTCGATAGCATATATTGCATAGGACGTCACTAAATAATACATAATATCAAGGATGTCCGATTACGACAGTGAATGCCATGGCGGACGCTCCGACGTACGAAGGAAGTTTGTGGCCTATGTGATCCACATTCGAACGCGGCAGGCCGCCTACATGATCCCCTGAGCAGGATGACACAGCAGAAGACCAGAGATTACCAGTGTCCAGAAAGTCCTAGCCACTGTACGATTAGTGACGCCTCGCGTCGAGCGACATGGTCTGGAAACTGATGAAATGAATGCCTATGTATGAGCTACGCCTTGTTCATGAAAGACAGGAAGCAATATAACGAGCACAAATCACGCAGACTGTACAGAGTCCTGTCGGTGATCACGTACGCATGTGCGGATTTTTATGCTCCGATGTGAGGAACGTGTGCGAGACACCCTTGCCCCGTGCCCACCGAGATGTAGATATCACAGTGGAGAAGGCCTCTGTGATATTCATCCCAAGAACAGCGCGAGGGTCAATCCCCCCAAAACGTCGCAGAAGCACAAGGGAATAGGAAGCCGCTGCCCGTTACATTGCCGCGGGCGTCCAGGACTTGCATGATCCGCGATAGATGTCGTCCGATTCGAACATCTCCCAGTGGGCCTCCACTCACCGCTCGGAGTGCTGGGAGCGGACCTCGTCCTCTTCTGAATTCAGCTATACGGATAGCACCTGCGGGCTGGTCCCGGAGAGAAGTCGGACACAGAAAGCGATTATCACCTTGATGTGCACTGGCTGTGAGGGGCCATGTCAGCCTATAGGGCTCCTTACATATTGCGCGTCTCGGGGTGTGCGCTACAATTGCTGTATCGGGATGTGTTCGTCCGCACAGCCGCCGCCGATCCTCGAATGTCCCGGACGCCTCTAGAGCAGAACAGCTCTGGTGATATGGCGTCGAGTGAAGACTGGGGGGAAGGCCAGCGGGCGTGTTCCAAACAATACTCACAACGAGGGAACAAGCCAACAAGAGGCTGAGCGCTGGGTATCTTCAGGCGCCAGCCATCGATCGAAGTCACCAGTGGCGCGTGAGCCGAGATGTTTGTGTCCGAAATAAGCCCCTTTTCCCACGGTGCCCAGTCCGCCACATTGCCTCCATCCTCCCGCTGTGCCCTTTCATCCTTGTACCCGACTCTCATCCTCGTTTTCAACCTACTTTTCCCTATCCTTTCCCTCGACTCCCATCCCTTTCAGTCTCTTCATTGTACGGTGAGTATTCATTGCCATGTTCATCCTCGCAAAAGTCAACCAGGGATCGGATAATCTCTGTCGCAACGCCTCGAGGACACCTCACCTCTCTTCCTTGGCGTCGCCTCGGTGGCATGTCTAGAGACGTAACAAACACGTACTCGATTATGCTTATAGGCAGCATGAAGGGAGCGGACGTGGCGTTCAAGCGGGTGGACTGCTGCGTCGTTGGGCGTTCCCAGGCTGTTGCTGACAGCAGGTTCTGCCCGTTAACTACCACGCTCACCAGCAGCCATTGTTCCCTTCCGTCTCCTCCTCTACGTCCTCTTGGAACGTATTGTCTCATTTTCATCTTCCAGACCTTCAGATTGAGTACTTCACGACATGGCCGACGCATCCTCCCATAGACTTGATTTGCGAGTTGGTGGGAAATACAGGCTAGGCAAGAAGATTGGGTCAGGCTCGTTCGGTGAGTCACAACAAGACCCTGCATTCACACGGGTTCACTTATACTCTGTTCAGGCGATATCTACCTGGGGATCAACGTGATCTCGGGCGAAGAGGTGGCCATCAAGCTTGAGTCCGTCAAGGCAAAGCACCCGCAGCTCGAGTATGAATCCAAGGTTTACAAGACGTTGGCTGGCGGTGTTGGTGTTCCCTTCGTTCGATGGTTCGGAACAGAATGTGATTACAACGCTATGGTCATCGACCTCCTTGGGCCCTCCTTGGAGGACCTGTTCAACTTCTGCAACCGTCGCTTCAGCCTGAAGACTGTCCTATTGCTGGCTGATCAGCTGGTAAGCTGCATATGACATGTGTATCCCTACTTTAACTAAACCTTCAATTGTCAGATCTCGCGGATCGAGTACATTCACTCCCGCAACTTCATTCATCGCGATATCAAACCTGACAACTTCCTTATGGGCATTGGCAAGCGTGGCAACCAGGTTAACGTCATCGACTTTGGTCTTGCGAAGAAGTACCGCGACCCGAAGACTCACTTGCACATCCCGTACAGGGAGAACAAGAACCTCACGGGTACCGCTCGGTACACCTCGATCAATACTCACTTGGGTGTTGAGCAGGCACGCCGCGATGATCTGGAGTCACTCGCATATGTGCTCATGTATTTCCTCCGTGGGTCGCTGCCGTGGCAAGGTTTGAAGGCCGCGACAAAGAAGCAGAAATACGATAGGATCATGGAAAAGAAGATGACTACCCCGACGGACCTCCTCTGCCGTGGCTTCCCGAATGAGTTTGGGATTTTCCTCAACTACACCCGTGCCCTCCGCTTTGACGACAAGCCCGATTACTCCTACCTTCGCAAGCTCTTCCGCGACCTCTTCGTTCGCGAGGGATATCAGTACGACTACGTCTTCGACTGGAGCGTGCACCGCGACCAGGGAGAAGGTGCCAGCTCTAGCGTCAAGGCGGGTGGCCGCCGCAAGATTGTGCAAGAAGAGGAGGACACTCAGCCGCGCATGCCGGACCGCATGTGTGTTGTTCCCTTGCTTGCAAATTGCCCCTTACTGACTGCTCGTGCAGGCTTCGCTCTCACACCCGTCAGCAGCAACAGGCGGCTGCCGGTGCAATTGGTCAGCAGCGCATTCAGCGAGGTGACTGGTAAATGACCCTGCACACAGGGTCGGGGTCCCAGGTCTTCTGAACGCGTCCGGAGTTGGCCGAGCATGGGGGCGGAGGGTAGGGGTTTGAGAGTGGCTCGGTTTTGGATTGGGTCACCCGTCGTGATGTGGCGCCAATATTGTAAAGATCTCGTCAAGGCGCGCGTGGGAGGCGGACAGGATGTGTGGTCAAGATCGATATAGGATCTCTCGTGGGAGCACGCCCGGCGCGTCGAGTTCATTCACTTCATGCTCGACTGATTCCTCCTTTCCCACTGGGATGCCGACTCCGTCCTCATTCTTGCCAACGATAATATCCTCGCCCGCCATCAAGAGGTCCTCCCCGCGCACGTCTTCCCCCCCAGTAGAGCCTCCGAGTAGGGCCCTGACACCGCTTGTTGGATGCGATATGAAGGTAGCTGCTATTTGTTCCCGTACGGACGCTTTTTATGTTCACGTTGTCCTCGCGCGGTCTCTTCAGGGAGGTTGCCGTGAGGCAACGTTCTCTTCCTCTCGCCATGTATGACACTCCCCTCGCGCCGTACGTTCGTGATGACTGTTCGCGCTAGCTAATTTTTCATCACCACCCCGCAATCCACATGATCCCCTTGTGCATAGTGAATCATCTCCACTTCCATTCCTTTAGTGTCGTTTCATTTCTTCGCAGGTTATTTCTCTCCATCCTCACTCCTCGTTGTCGTCACTTGCTTGATCTTGTTGTCCTCTTGTCTCCCACCTCTCTGGAACCCCGCGATGGCTGGTTCGTTTCCGGAGGGGGCGTGCGGGATGAGAGAGGGCGCCGCGCTTGGTTGGTTGGCGGGTCGTGTTGGTCAGGGAAGGGGTTGAAAGGTGTCGTCGACGAATGGACATGCAACTCAAGCTCAGGAAGCTCTATGCCTACTACAAATCATCCATTCATTCGCCGCCGCTTTGTCGACGCCTCCACCTTCTGCCGGACTGCGACGATCAGGCGCGTGTTCCGGTTCTTGTACTGTGCACTCCACTCGCGTGTCGCTTCGATGATAGTATCCACGTCCTTGTCGTTCTAGTATACATGCCGTTGTCATAATATATATGATGATCGTTGTACGCATTGCGCTCTGTCGGTTTTGAAAGAGACAATCACAGTCCTACAGGAATCTTATCGAGTCAACAAACCTTCCTAGCATACTTTTTACAAGTCTCCACAATCTCAAGCAGGGAGGAAGTCGCAGGACCGTCGCTCATCGATGTCACACTGTAGAACAAGCCCACGAAGCAAAGCGAGCAGCATCCGGCCATGACGAGCGCCAATGCTTACCACAACGACGTACAGGATACGATCTGCCTGCTAAGAGTTGCGCTCCAGTGATTCGCCAAATAGTACATGGGATTGATTTCCTGCTAGAAATCTCAATAAAATTCAACCAAATCTCGTACTGCAAAGTCTACCGGCACTGAATGATACTGATATCATGATCTCTATCCGCGACTTGGATTTTGAAAGACACGGGTTATGAATGAGTATTCGGGAAACTCAGCGTCCGGTCCTGCCACAACATCTAAAGATAATGTCCGGTGTAAGATAAATCAATACGTAGGAACAGATATCAAACGGCACCGCTTGTGCCTTGGTGCGCGGTTGACTTCGCCCTAGTAAGGGCACACCTAATTGTGCCGTATCGTCTCGGCAATGGACGATAGCAACTGACGCACTGCTTCAGTAGTCCTGCAGTAGGAGAGACCTGATATCGGTAACATTGGCCATGGATCTGGCACCGTCGCTGGGAGTATGGCCTCTGAGACCGGCCTTCTGGCATTGAAGCATAAATGAAGACAGTCCTGAACGACGACTACCATTCGGTGTAAATGCAGCATGGCAACGCGCCGTCAGCTGTGCAGGCAGTTCTGTAGATGATTATCTCATCGTGATAATAAATGTAACAGGAGAGATTAGGGGAAGTGAATGGCTCGGTTGTGGCGTAGGAGTGAGAACAGCGGCATATAGCTGCAGGATCCCATGTGAAGGCATTCTGACGGATGACCATCGACAGAGATTCCCTTCTACGTCTTGATGTAATCTCCCATCGCTTGAGGATGCAGGTATAGGCCATAGAGTCGGCACATATCCTCGACTGCCGACTGATCTTGAGACTTGATCATAGCATCAACGCTCACCTCTTTGACGGGGTTCTCCTTAGGCACCCAGTCCAGCCTCTACATTCAGGAAGTTCGCCATTTTGTACACGCCGCCAGATAGAGACAGCGGCAAACTATCAACTTGAGTACAGTAGATGATGATCACTGTCAGGGTGAGAGTGGGCGAATGTTCCCGCGTTGAAATTTGTGTACATGGAGGAAACATATATTCAAGCGCAAGAGCTCATCATGGCATGGTCGTGACACAGACACAAGATTCTCGCTCAAACGAGATAGAAAGATGCTTCAGGAATCCAGTGTGAGCGAGCGATGGGAGGATGAATACTTGCGATCTGAGATGCTGTCTCGCGGATCTGGACACGGGGTTAGGGTCAGGGCCTAATCACATTAGGGCGATCAATATTTATGTTGCAACTAATACAACAGTCCTTCGCGACTGGGTTCACATCTCCTCCCCCGCCATCCGCCATCTGCTCCTTGACGAATCTGACGGTCGCGTTGGATATATGCGCGTCTGTCCTAGGTCATCTGTTCCAGTGAACCCAGCAAACGTCTCTGGGTACCGTGGACCGAGTATGCCGTTTTCCTAGACTCCCCGTATACCGCTGATAATAAGCTTATTCTCAGGCCGATGCGGAGACCCTGACACCTCCCGCCCGTGAACAAGTTTTCATTACGACCACCATGCCAGGAACATCTGCTTCAGACCGCTCGTCGCACCATGACTCCCCCAGCTCTGCAGCGTCAGCGCCTTCGTGGGCCCCCCCACGCGCCCCGCTACCCCCGCACCGACTTGCGAAGCTAGCGAACGCGTTGGGCGTACCTACCCCTCTCACGACTGCGCACTTCTACAGCTCCTCACTCACTGTCTCATCCCCTCCACTCTCTTCCAGCTCCCCTTCCCTTTCTGACCACTTCCGACGCTCGCCCACGCCCTCTGCAGCATCCGCGCAAACGTATACAACCACAGCTTCGTCCAGCAAATACCTCCTCCACGTCTTACCGCCGGAGCACCTTCCCCATGAGTCGCAGCACTACGACGACCCTGAATTGTTGCCGCCTCCGCCGGGTGCGTCTGGGTATCACACACAGTTTCGCCGCGGCGTCCTGGTGCCTGTGTATCCTACGCTTTCAAGCCAGCTCGCTGCCATAGCAAAGGAATATGCACTCCCGAGTACGGTCGGTCTCATTCTCTACCTTGTAATCACCACTGCGGTCAATACTAGCGGCCCCGAGCTAGACGAGCCAGGTCCTCGAATATCAGACGACATCTGGCGACACATCTGGCTACGGGTAGTGCGGTCGGAGAGAGACGATAGTCTTCTCGCTGCTCCGCGACCAATGGGCTTGGGGCTCGGGACCCCCTCGCCTGCGCAGTCGTCGTTCCTACATGATGCTACGTCGCCCGCTCTGAGACCGCTCATATCTCCTGGCCGCATAGAAATACCGCAACCGCAGCTCCCGATGACGCCGTCACCTTCCACCGCATCACAGTCTGTCTTTTCTTCACAGTCTGAATTCGAGCCGCCAGAGTCTATGTCCTCTGTGTCTGCAGGACCTACGGACCCAGACGACCTGCCGCTGCCAGGCCTGATTTCCCCCGCACTGGTGCCTGTTTTGGCAAAGGTCGAATTCGATATTGATCGACGGAGAGCTGCATGGTACGAACCGTGGCTACGAAGCAGGCGCGTCAACCACGCTAAGAGAGCAGAAAGCAGGCTTGGCATGCGAAAACGAGCCGAGTCTAAAGACGAGGATGGCGAAGTTGAGGGCGAAGAGGGCCCCAAGAGGGCTCCCATGGACTTGAGGCTCGTGGGACGGCTGCGTAACGACAGCTCTGTCCCAAGGTTCCTCCAGACGGCAGAGGAGTTCGTAGACGAATTTGACGTCGGCTACGCACAACTGCCCGAAGACGACGAAGAGGTGCACGACGACGATGCTACGGCGCGCTTGGGTGCACCTGTTGGCGACCCGCTCGCAGACGTGTTCGGAACGGATGCGGAAACGTGGGCCGACCTCCACGCTGAAGTAGAGTCCGGAGAGCGAAAACGTCAGACAAACCCGAACGTGGTCGATCTCGCGCTGGATGGTGCCGCGCTTTCGGCGATTTCTAACGCTCCGGAGGACCAGGCCGCGAATGACACCGACGAGGAGGAGGTGAAGGCGCTGTGGAACCATCACTCGCGGCCGTCGTTGGTGGTATCGATCCCTTCTCCGCCATCGACCAAGCGCCGATCGTCGCCTACGACAGCTGGGACGGTAACGAGCAAGCGGCCACCCCCGCCGCCTCTGAACCTTGTACCGTCGCTCCCGTCCAGTGAGGGCTTGGCGGTGCAGGGAAGCCCTAGCGCGCCCAGCAGCCTCGGGAGTGCGCGTCTGCCGTACCTGGAGGATGCGACGCCGTCCACGTCGTCTGAGCACGGAGGCGGGGCGGTCCAGGACGAGGCGGGGCACGATCGGAGGATGTCGAGGAGTCCGTTGGAGGAGAAGCGCGAGGGGGCGTTCTTTGAGGATCTAGATCTGGGGCTGAGCATTGACGACGACACGGTCGAGGTAGGCATTTCCGTTCAGTCCCACCGTTCTAGCATTCTGACGACAACATGTCTCAGTACGACGAGAGCGATCCGCATGACCGCCGACGAAGTCAGCTCCTCATGAAAGCGCAATTGGATGAGATCGAACGAGTGAGGAGCTTCCCTTGTATTCAATTACTATCTACTAATCATATGCTGCACAGAATCTCATCCAACTCTCGCCGCGCCGGCTGAACACGGAGTCTATCGACGAGGGCAGCCCTCGCCGTACTCCGTACTCGACAACACTCTCGCCGCCGCCCCAGTGGGGAGGTTCGCCTCTCAAGCCAGCTGCATCTCCGAGAGAGAGGTCAGCGGACCGCCGTTTATGACCCTCGGTCTGGTCTGACGAGTCTTACAGTGCACCGCCGCTACCCGAGGAAGGCGCCTCCTGGCCTGCGGTTCCGTACTCGTCTTTTACCGGCGCCAACGGGCATCACCCGTCCGAGTCGCATTCACGGGCAGGATCAAGTTCCAAGAGCCGCCCTCCATCACCCCCTCGCATCGCCTTCAATGGCGTCTCGACCGAGCCACCGAAAGGCGCGCTCGGAAACAGGTCGCGCTCTGGCACGATCTCCAACGAGACGCTTGCGCGCCAGCGCGAGCTGCAAGAGGAGCTATACCCACCACTTACGCCCCCCATGCTCAACAACCGCCATGGCGGGGATTCACCTATTATACCACTATCACCAGACCCGTTCGGCAGGTTCCCCTCTGAAGCTGAGGCTAATAGATTAACTGAGGAGCGGCATGAAGACGAGCGACTGCTGCCAACAGTGACTCGGCGCCCGCCAGCGTCAAGGAAAGGCTCCATGGGACCGTACGATCAGTTCGACCCAGAAGATCGGGTGGCCACGCATACACCGTCTAGTCGCTTCTCACTCGATTCGATCACTTCAGATGATGCGGGTAAGAGCTCGAAGGCCCCGTCCCTCGTAAGCATGAAGAGCATCAAGAAGTTGTGGAGGAAGACCAACAGCAAGCTGTCGATATCAGGGGCCGGAAACTCAGGGCTAGAGTCTGGCCGGTCGTCGCCAAACTATCCTAATGGCCTTGAGCAGCCCTCGGGTCGTCGTTCGTCAAGATCAGTGTCCAAGTCACCCCAGCCGGAGTATGCATTGTCTGAGGCGCCTCAGCCGAAAGCGAGACGGAAAGCCTCGATACCCAGCATGCAGTTCATGCAAGATCCCCGAAGCTCCCTTGTGCCTGCGCGCACGCCCCCTCTGGACTCGCGCCAGCCGTCTCCGGCATTGCCTCCTTTGCCCTCGACCACCCCGTCGCCGTCCACCTCACCACAATTCGCGCACGTCCCCATTTCCGAGAAGAACGGCAGTGTGCGCAAGTCAATCCTCAAATCGTGGAAATCCGCCTCTGGGAGCCTCTCAGTGAACACAGCGACGCCGTCCTCGTCGAGTACACCGCGGTCTAGCACGGAGCTTCTCGGCGACGCGCAAGTCAAACGACGCCGGCCAAGCGTGCTCGACGGCTCCGCGCCCTCGAAGCGCGGTTCGACTGTGTCCGCGGCGACAACGCTTGTCGACCTCCCGCCAAGCCCTGCGATTCCCGACGAGTTTGCATTCGCACAGTCGCGGAAGCGCAGCAGTCAGTCGAACTTGCTAAGCAACGGTGCGCGGCGCGCCTCAGGGCGCCCGCGGCCGAGCCCGAGCATGTCTTCCTCGTCAACGTTGTCGTCGTCCTCTCCGCCGCGCCCAAGCCGATTGACGCCAACGGGCTCTCCGCCGAAGAACGGACGGCTGTCACGCGCATCTGATATGTCTGACGAGCGGCCGAGCTTCGACGTGTCGCAGTTCGAGATTGTGTCGCCGAAAATGGGGGCGTCTCCGCTGGAGACCACGCTCTCGTACCCTTATCATACGCTGGACCACTCGATGACCTCTGCGGAGTGAGATGGCGTTGGCGTTGGCTTTCGGTACGACTCGGGGTCCTGCCTCTACGCTTCCAATTTCCGACTTGACGATGGCTAATATGCTGGACATAATACGCACGTATGACGGCTTGCACACTGGTGTGCTGACTTCCCATGACCCTGATCACCCTGCTCGCTCCTCACGCACGCCCCTGACTCTTCACGCACCTGCACCGACTCTCCTGTACGGCGTTACTAATACAACCATCTTGTTGTCATTCCTCTCTCTCAAAATCACTGCATGTGTAGATACCTTCGCTTTCAGTTGCCATATCGTTTATAATTATACGTAGGTATCGAGGATACATTGTCTCCTGTAATACAACATGCATTGCCGGCTCTGGCCGCAGGCGTCCTCTCCACCAGCTGGTCATCGAATGGTGCTTGGAACCGGACTCTCCTATTAGGCAAGCCGCCAGAGCGTCGCATGTCTGTGACGCTCTCCATCGTCGCCCATGACGTCATTGCTGCCTCACAGAGTCCTATAAACGCAGGCTCTCCTAGCCTGTGTCCGCAAACAACAACACCGTTCGACCACGACATTCCACGCCTTTGACGACCCCAGCAATATACGATTTTCTTATTACGAACAGTTACAAAATGTGGATTGCGCACTATGCTTCAGGTGCGTTAGCGAGGTTCACTATACACACCAGACTGACCTGGCACTGGTAGGTCTGATTGCGAAGCCATTCGCACCAGGCATCCCGTTATCCGTCTTATGCCTCGCAGGCGCTGCAGCAGATGCATTGTTCTTCTTACTCAATTTCATCGGCCTCGAGTCGTTCAACTTCGACGCTTCGATTGCAGGAGGATGCTTCCCGTATACCAACGACTACCCATACTCGCACTCACTGGTGGGGATGGGCGTCTCGGGGTTGCTGGTCGCCGCTGCCTACAAGGCAGCGAGGCCGGACGCACGGGTATCCTCGACAGATCTGTTGGTAATAGTGGCGGCAGGACTCAGCCATTTCCTGTTGGAGTGGCCATCGCACCGGCACGGTGTGTAGCAAATGTCTCCATTATAATGCGAACTTGCCTGACATATGTTCAACCGCAGACGTCAAGCTCACACCGCATGATGCGCACGCGTTCGGAGTAGGGCTGTTTAACTACCCCACGTTGAACCTGTTGGCGGAGACGGCTATCTTCCTCGCGGGTCTCTGGGTGTACGCGACCTTCGCGCCCAAAGTCACGAAGACGGGATACCTGACGCACAAGAATCGTCTCGGGATGATTGTTGCCTTCATGCTCGTACAGCAGGCACACTTCTGTTATGGAGCCGCGCCGACGGCGGAGACACGCTGGGTTCATGCACCTATCTTCTTAGGCGAAATCTTTGGAAGCTGCTGGGTGCTGGGCAAGCTGGAGGGTTGAATGTATTGAATATCCCTGTAATCAAACAACGATGTAACATAGCCAAAGAAAGAATGTAGTGTCGACGTGTGACTGTGACGACAGCTGGGCGTCGTGCCATATTGCCTATAATCTCACGCTCAACGCCTCTTTGAACGGACTTCCTGATGCATCGACGTGAAGAACATTGTCATAACGTAGCATGTCTGATCAGAACGAATGTTCCGTCGAGTCCTTGCCCACCGCTGATGTGCTCGATGAGCCCGCAGAGACTGTCGTGAGGATGCGGTCGATGTAATTCGCGCCGCTCCTGCAAGAATTAGAGGTGAGCAAAGAGGGCAACATTCATGAAAGGCGAGCGGAACCTACCACTTCTGGTGGGTGAGCACATCGCACCCGAGCTCCTTCTCCTTGCGCTGAACAAGCTCGACGTACGCGAGCATGCCATCGGTTTTATAGCGCTGCGCAAGCTCGGCTAGAAGTACGCAATCGTTGTCACCACGCTTGAAGGGACTAATGAGAGTACTGTACTCACCTGTGGCGGTTGCGTTCAAATGCAGGCCTGCGAGCGAGATGAGCTGCAGAACAAAGCTATGTACCGCAATGTTAATAGGAGATAGGGAGTCATGAAGCGATTGCCGCACCCTTCCTTTGCCAAATCCCAGACAAAGTTCTTCAAGTCCGTATCTATCAAGGATAGACCGTTCATGGCTCCATGGCAAAGGAAAATGGAGAGAATGCAGGCGCACCTGAGAAGCCCTGTGCCGACCAGTTGAAGCTCGGGCTCAAATTATACACGAACAATCTAGCGACGCAGAACTCGTTGATATTACCACAGTCTGATCACGTAGTGACACGTACTTCTCAGGGAATTGTTCTCGAATGCTGCGAGCGAAGCTTTGCGCTTGTGCAAGGTCTGGTCGCTTCGTTTCAACCCAAAGTAGGTCCGCATACGGTGCGAACGCTCGTGCACGTCGCGTCGCGGCCTCAAGCCCGCCTGTGAAATGGTAGTATCCCTCACGCGTTTTCGGCACTGTTTACACGTCAACCTGGTATTCGATGACATCGAATAGGGGGACGGACTACTCACGATCCCAGTCCCAGCTCACAGGCACGCCCAGAATGTCTTGCGCAATGTCGCGCGCGTCCGTGTTCGATTTGCCCGCGGACGCCGAGCGGAACTCGGCGAGCGCAGCATCCTTGTGCTGGAGCGAAGACCGTTCAATCGTACGCTCGACGGCTATATGCGTGAATATGCATGAGCAAAAGCGAAGGGATATGTGCAGCAGCGGCGTACGTACCTTGCTCAAAGGTGCACAATTTGTTCCGCTCGAGCCACTCCACCTCGACGCGCCCGACATCCTCTGCACTGGCGCCACGGGCCTCTGCCTCCTCTACTGCCTCCGCGAGAGGCTTCTCCCGCCGTCCCGCATCGAGATGAACACCAAGCATGAATGGGTGATCGCGCACGTCAACAGTGGACGAAATGAGACGTGCACTCTCCGCATCCGTACGCGCGATGAGGAGCATCGGGTGCAGGAGAAGGTCGAGCTGGAAACGCGCCGCGACGAGCCGTGAGATGTGCGTCGAGGTGGGGACGAGCACCTTGCCCGAGAGATGCCCGCACTTCTTGCCTCCGACGAGTTGGTCCTCGAGATGTACTGCTGCAGCGCCCTATCGGAGGTCCGCGGCGGGTGAGTGGGGCGGAATATGAGAATGAAAGGAATGCATACAGCCTCAGCAAACAGCTTCATGAGCTTCATCACAGTCGAGTTGCCACCATGTCTGGGGAATATAAATTAGCATAGGTGCGCATATAGGGACAGGGGATGGAGACGAAGGGGCTGGGACGAACAATATTTACCCCATGTCCGCGTCGGCAATGATGGGGCGGAGGTAGTCGATGTAAGGGGTGCGAGCGCGAGCCTCAGAGCCTATGGCAATGCGTTCATCGTAGTGCTTGCGGTCGTGCAACTGCTGTGCGCGGAAGAGGCGTTCGACCTGGTTCGGTACGGTTGTGTATGGGTAGTCTCTGAAACAGGCGCGCGGTCAATCCACGAAGAAAAGAATATAGTTCGTGGTCGTGTTACTCACCCGATATCAGGGCCGACCTCGTTCCGAGCAGTAGTGAGCAGGCTGCTGGCAGCCCATCCGCTCACATAGAGAACCTCCTGCCAGCGAGCCATCTGGGTCATCTGAACGGGGTCGACGGCGCCCATGGTGTGGACCGGTGCCCGCTCTGCAGCGCGCGCCTGGAACAGTCGCCAGAGCTTGTCGGCGGTCAGAGCGGAGGGAAGCGGCAGTGGGGGAACGGTGCCCTGCTTCGAGGCGACATCGTGCGCGGAATACGGGCGCGAGAGGCCCGCGAAGCGGGGAAGGGAGAAGAAAGACTCGAGCGCAGCGACACGGTCGGTGAGGCCGGCATCTTCCTCGGCGAGAGAGGGTGGGTCGAGCGGAAGTGGCGGAAGGGAGGCGTAGGACAGCGTGTGCATCGCACGGGGGCGCAGAACAGTGCGGGCCGCGCGCAGGATGTGGGGCATGATGTACCCACTGTGCTCGTCAACGAGAGCAGCGACGAGGGTATACAATATTAATGTTAGTGACGGCGACCTCAATGGCCGGTGAGGGTCAGCGATCGAAGATTCAAGAAGCGGGGAACGGACTCAGGACCCCCGAATATAGGGGGGGAACCCTGATCCCAATTTCTCAAAAGTTGGTCGATTTGTACGGCAGAAATTTCCGATTTTCGGCCTGATATGTCCGGAAAAAATCAGGCTGCCGCCTGATTTGGGCCAAAATGTCCGGAATTTGTATCTTTTTGGACCAGGGTGTCGAAAATCAGCGATTTGTCCGGAAATGATGGATCAGGGTTCCCAGAAACACAATTTCGCCCCCGACTTCGATTCTGACATTGTAATGCAGACTGGACACTCGTACTTGTGCTATGTAGCGTCGCAATATGAACTCTGTGCAAGCACCTTTGTCTCCTGGACCTGTGTGATTTTAGAGGTGGCCACTTTCTTTGTCTTCTTGCGTGCAGCACTAAGCATTTTCACTGCCATGATACGAGATAGGCAGCTTGGGGTGCTCAGAAAAAGTGGCATTGTCGAGTTTGAGAATGCGCTCATCCGTAGTTATGTGATGTGAACTACATAGATGGCAAAAAAAACAATCTGACGAAATGTGAGCAAACGAGAGGCACTTAGAATACCGGCCGCTAATGAGCCCACATTTTGACACTATAAGTAGACATGTACAGGTTGCAGAAATGCTAACATTCAATATATTATCCTCGAGCACGACATGACGCGATGTCGTGGGATCGTCCGCATGCATGTCACATGACAGCGGACATTCAAACCTGGCCAGGCATAAGCGCGGAGCAGGCTTGTCCGTCTTCGGATCAGGCTTCCAGCATTGGCCGGAGTATGTCCGGAAATCGTACCAGGGATGAGGGTTATGACAGACTGGTTTTGTCCGGGAAAATATCAGGGATCAGGGTCCAAAATCGCCCAGATTTGTCCGGAATGGGATCATGGTTCCTCCCCAATATTCGGGGGTCCTACGGACTCCCCCACATTTGATAGACGCCCACGATCATTGTCCGATATCCCGATGCTACCAGATCGGGTAATTCACCTGCCCTGAGAGGAAAAGAAAATGAAGATCGTTGTTACAATACTTTGTTAATATCCAAGGTCCCTGCCTAACGAGCATTAACTATCCCCGCAGCCAAAATGGCGGTCGATTATGATTAACATGGAAAGGGGCTCAGATGGCGGAGCTAGCACTGTCGGGCTCCAGTTCCGAGTGCCGTCCAGCGATCTCCCGTAATTACACCGTCTGTATTGCTTCATTATGAGGCAGGTAATTGATTTGACTACGGAGTGTAACAGAAGGAGCTCGTCGGACGAAGTAGAAGGCGCTCATCGTGCTGCTGACTCCCTCCGAAATCGCCGATCTACCCCACAGGATCTCGAGAAGGCCTTGAATTACTAAGACAGACAAACTACATACAGTCAATGTAAAGTACTTCATCCCAATATGCAGATGCATGTTTGATGCTTACTGAAACGACAATGCGAATGGGGCTGCGGGAGTACAGCCCGGGCCGACAGAACAAGAGTGGAGCGTTACTAATCATGCACGGAGCGAAGGGGTGGAGCACAAATAACGAATAACGAATAGATAACGATACGGACGGTCGGGACTTACAGTATGACAATGTGTACTATGGATGGACAACAGGGGTGTAACGTAACGGAGGCACACCGATTATAAATCGACCAATGAACAGACACTATGCGGATGGAGGCAGACGAGACCGATGATATGACAGGGGTGCAAGTATCGCACACAAATTGTGGAGAATCTGCAACCTCATCAATACACAGCCAGACAACCCGTCTCAAGGAGTTGAGACTCACAGCAGTGCACTTTTCTTGCTGTGCTCAATGAACATGGGGATTGTTGTGGAAACTCAGCAACAACAGCGCATCCTCTACCCTGACACCTGTGTCGACGGGCGACATTACGTTGCTCCCAACCGTGTCACGGGTAACAACGGTCCTGCCGACGCTCACCGCAGTTAACACTTTCTGCTTCGTGAGGTTGTACGTCTCAGGAACGCTGACCGACGGCGGGGGCGACGACTCCGGGCTCGGCGTCACAGCCTCCTGGTATTCCTCCTCGCTAGCCATATGCGAGTCAACGTCATCTGAGTGACCGTGCGACAGTCCACTGCTGCTAGATGACTGCATGCTGGGGCGTGGATACGATCGCGACTGCATATGTGCAGGACGGGAATGCGATCCCTCTCCGCTGAGCCGCGAAGGTAACGGCGGAGGTGGCGGGGTGTATCTGGGGACGTCGCGCATATAAACCTCATCGTAACCGTAGGGCTGTGGGTGCCTGGCGAAGATGAGAGGCGAGGGCTCCGACGAGGCAGACATGGCAGAATGCAAGGGCGTGCCCGCGCGCGATACGCTGCGGGAGTGAACGTCGTAGGTTGCGATGCTGACGTTGTCGGCATCGACGTCCATATCCATGTCGTGGTCAACACTGCCGTCGTCTCCATAAATTTCCCCTTCTTCAAGCTCGTCTTCCTCGCCATCTTCGCCGACCTGCCGGGCACGAGCGCGCTTGCGAGCCGTCTGCCTCAGGTTCCTGAACCAGTTCGTCACCTTGCCGACATCCATACCAATCACCATTGCGAGCGCACTGCGCTCCTCGATGCTCGGCGTCGGGGTCCGACGGAAGAGTTTTTTAAGAGCCTCAAGCTGGTGCGGCTCGGGGCGTGTGCGGCGGGGACGGTGCTCCCGTGAGACATGGCGATCAGATGGTGGTGTCCGATACGGTGCAACACGCGGGGAAGTTGGTCGAGAAGCGGAAGGATGGAATGTATGCGGGTGGTTTGGAACCCTGCCGGACGGAGCAGCACTGGAAGATCTCCGTGCACGGGGTACAGAGACGGTTGCAGAAACGGAGTGCGGGAGTGGAAAGGCGAGCGATGGGTGCCCGGTTGCAGGTGGAACAGAGAGTGAAGGATGGGCGGCGCTCGCCGTGGGCGGGAACGGAGAGAACGTGCGAGCCCTCGACGACGCACCGGAGTGCGAAACAGATGCGACGGCAGCAGCGAGATCTTCCTCCTTACGTTTCTTCGCAATGCTACGCTGGTTCTGGAACCAATTGGTGACAGACTGATATCGCCTATAAAGGGAAGGCCAGTAAATTAGCACTCGGGGTCTGAGACGCGAAGTCCGAAAGAAGACACTAGACGCCCATATAAAGGCCCGGGTAGGAAAGTTTGCCGTACACAGCATCGAACAAATGATGAATGATATGCATGAACGGACGTCAAACTCACATGCCAATTCTGTCGCCCAGGTCTTCGCGTTCTTCCTTCGTGGGATGCGGGTTAACGTCGTATACTTTCCGCAGCTCCTCTGTCTGGTACGCCGTTGGTCGTGTACGGCCCTTCCTTTGCGCATTTCGTTCGGCCTCGTATAAATGCTGATGCCCGGGGTTGCCGGCATAAAACAAAGACTGCTGTTGCGGGTGTTGTAACCGCGAAAAGTGCTCATCTTCTGAAAAGTCCTCGTACTCGTGAGGAGCGAGAGGGAGTGAGCCGTGGCCCGGAGGGGGCGGGACGGATGCAATGAGCGCAGAGATAGGGGGAAGCTCCACGGAGCTACTCTTCTTTGAGCTATTGCTGGAACTGGCGCCGGCGTTGGTTCCAGCATTGGCGGCCGTCGACGGTCCTCTAGTCCGCTTCTTGGATGAAGCACGCTTGTTTTGGAACCATGAGTTAACAGTCTTGGTCTCCCTGAAGTATGCATGAGCAACAATAGAGGGACAACGGCGTTGACGGGCAAATGAACAACGCAGCGACGACGGTGCTCACATTCTAAGACGCTCTGCAAGGGAGGTTCGCTCCTCGAGCGAAGGATGCTCATTTTTCTCGTACATCTCATTCAAAGCGGCGAGCTGGAAGGGGAGATGTCGGTGTCGGGGCTTCTTTGGTTGGTCTTGACCGCTCATGGCTGCTGAGGATGCTCTGCCCGACTTTGCGGGAGGATGTGCAGCAAGTTGTTCAGAGGGGTGGGCCCACGCGGGGAGCGAGGGCTGCATGAAGGGAGGAGGGAGAGAAAGGCAAAAGGCGATGGAGGAGGAGCGGTGACAAAGCGCGAGCTATAGGGGTGGGCAGTTCGGCTCTTAAGAAAATTAAGCAGGTGGACACTTATACAGCAGGCGTCCGAGTTGAGCAAATGTCCCACGGCACTTGCAGAGGCATACGACCGCTCATCCGGTGTCGGCCGTCCTTCGCTCTCATCCGCCCGGATGAAAATCCCTCTCTGTACATTTTCCGGCTCATTGTGCTATCGATCCCGGTGCCCCCGCTCCCATCGATGCTCGCGCCGCCGCCAGCACCGACGGCAGATGCAAGCACTGCGAACAGAAGGACGAGGTCGGACGAGGAATCACACCACGGCTAGCCGACAAGCCCAAATCATTTCTCGTGCCTGTGTGTTCATGAATGACCATGGTTGCTCTCCGCGCACGTGGCGCTCTTATTCTTGATACGCCTTATGGGCGCTTACGCCTAATGACCCCGCCCCATTCGATATCCAACTATCCAGCTTATCGCCTTCTTCCCACCTATACAGCCCCAGCATACTGCACGCTGTCATACCACCTTCTCTATTTCCGCAGCCCGACCGCGGAGTGCTGCTTGTCCCGCCTGTGTCTGTTTACTTGCTGTGCATCGGCGCAACGGTGTGGTGGTGCCAGAGACGAAAATAAGCGATCTGATATCATCTCGGATATGCTACTCAGCTCGATGACGTGATGTCGACCCGATCATGCTGTCGGGTTCTGCTCAGACCACGACCACTCCCGGCTCGCTCCATCCTCGAGCATGAACCCCACGCCGCCCACTGTAATGCAGATGCTGTCGCACGCTGCATACATGTATCAGCAGCATGAGACGCCTGCAGCCTTTTTGAGCTAGATATTCTTGGATTGCTGTGCAGTGGACCGAGGTGCCGGAGCATAAAATAAACGCGACCATGATTTCACATCATTGATATAGCTACAGTAGTACTGCTTTACAGCACGCCGTGCTGCAATGTCATGGATGCTTAGCAGTAGCCAAATGCGGGCCGACTATTACGCGTTCCAGACGAGTCCATATGCATGTCGATAGATTGCAATTTGCAGGATATAACGTATGATGGATACTATACATACACATAGTAGTGCTCGGTGACTCCCTGCATAAACGACCTTCGCGCGTCCAATCAGTCCACATTCTGGCAGAACCCTGCTTGACATGCGAACTTATTATGATGATGCTTCTTCCTGCCCTTCTTCTCCAATGTTCTTGATCCATGCACCAATCGCACCGCTGGGAACGGGAACCACCTCTATAAGCGACTTGACCCTCGATATCCACAATCGGACACCACTCACAGAAAGCCTTCATGCCGTAGAAACAATGCCCGCTTCGTGCCCTTGCTCCAGAACCGGATAGCGTATGAGAGCGTGCTGATAGTTGCCGCATGGCCTGGCCAAGCATTTGACCGGTCAGATGGCGATGAGGGCGGCCAGCAGGCGGGGCGATGACGTACCTCGGATATAGAATCCTCCAAAGTAGATGCGGTCGAGATTGTACTTCTCCGCATTCATATACCTGCCATCAGCCGTCCACTTCAGCATATACCACTTGACGGCGCAGATGATATCTGCAGTGACAGGTGACCCACGCTATCTGCCCTATGTTGTTCGACACGGCATAGAGAAGGCTTTTGCTGATGTCTTCTGGAGTGAACGAGCCCTTCTTGTCTCGCTTCTTGAACACCTTCCCGAAGGAGCTCGCGATCATGGTAGACTTCAGCCCGAACTTGCTGTAGTCTTGCCCATAAATGTCGCCAACGAGCATGTCCACTTTGTTGTTGTCGCCCTTCTCCGACAGCTCCAAGATTTCTGCAGAACTTTCGCACCGTGCACGCCAGACAGCATAAAGGAAGGGCTTACCGTCAAATGTAGACGCTGGCGTCAGGAGACTCAACAATCCCCATAATGTTCCCCCGCCCAGACTCGTACCGCTGACACGCTCAAATGATCCGTCCTCGTCCACTTTGATAATCGAGACACCAGAGCCGATGTTCACAAGCAGGCACGGCAGTTGTGGTGTTGGATGCTGCTCAAAAGTAACCGCGTACTTGGGCGGGTCTGGGCTGGGGCGCTCGAGCAGTGCTGGTGTCGGGTGCGAGACCGCGCTGATGAGCTCGTCCGAGAAGTAATACACCTCGTCCGGAATCAGCGTGATGAACTTGAGGCCCTCGATTAGGCACTCCATCTCGTCCTCGCGGCGCACCTCGACGAGCAGCTCGCGCCCGAAGAGCTCGTAGAACCTGTGCGCGCCGCCGCCAGTCGCCATAATCTTCACACCGCGGCGCATCTCCTCGATGGACACACCATTGAGCTTCGCGCTGCGCTCAATGAGCGCCTGGATGAACGCGATGCAGTCCTCGATGTGCTCCGTCTCGAAGCGCTCAAAGTTGAGCTGTCCGCCGGGGAAGTGCTGCACGGAGGCGCGCCGCAGGAGCGACTCGTGCAGGAAGCTGTGGTCGATGGCGGAGGGCACCTCGGTCGGCATTGCGATGGCATGGCCATTCTGTGGGTCGAGCACGGCCGGTGTGAGCGCGCCGTTGAACTTGGAGTTGGACCGGCTCGCGGTGGGCGGTGAGGACGAAACAGGGGTATCTCGTGGGGGAGACGACGACAGCGGCGAGGCGAGGTCGCTGACGACGCTGGAGCCCCTCGTCGCTGCTATTGACGGCGAGCGCGGTGGGTCCGGGGAACGAGTAAAGTAAACGACTTTCGCGAGAGAGCCGCCGATCTAGATGGGGAGGCGATCAGCACAAGAGAAGGATGGCGTGCTGCAGCGCGGATCTCACGTCTACCGCAATGTGTGAGACGGGCTCGATGTAATTGGGCAGGTAGATCCCTCTGCTGTCCCGGGTCTGCCGCAGCGTCAGTCGCGCGGCACTAGGTGTCTGTGGGCAGGACGCACCTCAGGTGACTCCTCGTCGAGGATCACCGCACCCCGTGTCTCGACATGAATGGCCTTCGCGGTGGGTAATGATGGCCCCGACGACATCTCAGAAGCTGAGCAAACAGACTTGCGCGATAGGTGTATTGAGTGGCTTAGGCGAACAGTACGTTGGGTGCGTTATTCCGAGGAGAAGTCAGTGAGTCAATGTGATTGGCGTTGGGGAGAGTTTGGCGAGCGGCCGCAAATATGACTGTGTGGGGAGGCTCGTACGATACCACACAAACAGAGCGTTGAAACGCAGAGGGCGACAGGTGTACCTGAGCGGGCCCGAGGAAGTACACATGGTGTGCTTTTGTGAATGGACGGTGGCACGACCCCAAGCAGCCACAGGCGCAGACCGCAGTGGCCGACTACTCCGATCAGCAGCGGGGAGGCATTTCTCACTGTCCTCCTCGTCGAGACCTCGTCCTGTGAGAAGCGGACCTTTGTATTCTCCTTTACAACAGCCAGCACTCTCATGCACAAATAGATAATGGGAATACGCCAACAACCACCCGAGCTTGAACAGTTGTTCGCACACGACACTGCGTCTATGCACACCAACAAGTCCACGCGCACAAATGGAGGTATCCACAGCCCAGTCTCAACCACCGATAGCAGCTACGACCAGGCTGCACGCCTGTTCCTGCTCTGCACGCACGCCTAGCTCCAGCGTCACACCCTGTGCCTTCGAGAAAGTCATCCGACACCGAACCAGCACCTTGCCGCCGCCGCCAACGACCATCCCGGATAGCTGCAGCGTGTGTACAGTTGCTGACTGCGGGTCCGCCGTCCCTCCGAGTGGCGTCATGTTGAGAATCTCGATAATCGAGTCGCACGCAGCTGTGAGCCCAGGGGTCAGTCAACATCCGGATAGCAAAAGCCATTCACGCACCCTTCATGGAGTCCATGCTCGAGAGCGAAAATGTTTCTGTTGCGGAAGCGCCGCCGCGCATGCGATCCCATTCCGATGCGAACGTCACGTAGCTGGGGATGACATAGTCCGCGACAGCTAGCTCCGTCTCCTCCAGCTGGTACTCGTCCTCGTAGCCCTCTTCCTCCGGCTCACCAGTTGATGGGTCCACTTCCTTGCTTACGAACTTGAGAAGGCACTGGAAAGAAGCCATCGCGTATTCGCCGGGGTTCTCGCGTGTGAAAGAGACATAGATGATTCCTGGCGAATTTGCTGTCGATAGGCTCGGGTATGGAATGATGAAGTCTTCCGTCAGTCCAGCATCCGCCGCCGGTTGCATGACAACTGATACTTGCTCCAGGACAGTGTCGGGTATAGTATTTGATACATTGAACTGTAGTGGTCAGAGAAGCTAAGAGGTACAATTTAACGGCAGAAGGACAGGTAACTATACCTGGAATACAATGTGTTCTTTGAAGATGTGCTTGACACACGAGACCTGGTACTCGGTTTCGGGCTCAGTGAGTTGTGATGGCTTGAAACTGCTGCTGAGTACAACGCCGTACGACGCGAACTCTGGTACGTCTGCGAGCTGTTGCACGTATGCCGACTGCGTTTCTGCAGCGGTTTGTGGCGGCGGCGTGACCGCTTTTGATGTCGATGGGACGCCAATCGTGTCTAGGCTGCTCGGCCGCGCGACGTCTCTCGAGGCCTGTTCTCTGCTAACCTTGGGTATCGATGAGGCGTCGAATGGCTTCTCAACTGCCTCTGGGTCGCTGATGTAAGACACAAGCTGGGATTCGAGGGCGGAAAGAGAGAATACGGCATCTAAGCGCAGTCATTCAACGACAGGTGTGGGAGGCAAGTCTTATCGCCGCACCTTCTTTGACGTACGTCGTCGCAAGTGGTGGTTCCTCGTATACTTTCAGGTACATAGCCGCTCGATCACGAACTTCGTCGTCGACATCGTCCAGGCATCTGCGTGAGCGCGTTGGCCGTTAGCGAGTCAATATTGGATGATCGCGAATCCTACCGTCTGAGGAGAACATTGACGCTGTTGCTGAGCTTCTCGTCGAGACCATTCAGGCCGAATTTTGCCAGGCTTGCAACAGCCGCAGCACGGACAGTCGCATTCTCCAGCACCACTCGGTTGTAAATGTAGCGGATATACTTCGTAGGTTGCGGTGCTTTGGGCCCTTCCATGCCGAGCAAGTGCAGAATGCGCACAGACAACTTGGTAAACTCGCAATCCTCGATGAACTCACAAAGATGCGAGAGCGCCTGCTCCTTGCATTCCCCAATGAATTTGATCATGTCGAAAATGGCCTCGACCACAGCGCGCTTGAAGTCGTACCCGCCCTCGTCTCGCAGCACGCCAGACAGGAAGGATAACATCGATGCGTGCTTTGCAGGGAACTTGAGGCAGAGAGAGCGGATAGCATCGACGATGATGACCTTGAACTCGTCGCTGATCTCGCTCATGAACCCGGTTATCTGCTTCATGAGGCGGTCGACGGAGGCTTCGTTGCCAGTCTTCATACCTGTCAGCACTCATGTCTCTAAGTTGCTCGTAGGGCGCTCACCTTCAGCAGAGTCGTTATGGCGTAGGTTGCGACACTTCGGTTCGAATCCGAGATCAGATTCTCCAAATCCATGTTGCAAGTAGCAACACTCGTCGGGTGGGTGAGGGCAAGAGTAGCCAGAGTGCGCGTCGCAGAAAACTTCAGGGTGGATTTCGGCGACGAGAGGAACAGTTGAAGAACTATCCAAAAATCATTTAGTCCGGCTTCGCAAGTGTTCGCGATTTACGCACGTACCTGCAATAGCTCTTGTCAGCTGTGCCGGAGTGACTCCCTTCATCTCGCAGATAGCCCGCGCGGCCTCGAGGTTGACCATGTCGCTCTTGTGCCGTAACCACCCCTCCATGAGATCGAACATCTGTCTCTGCACACTATAGTGACCAGTCAGATAATCATCGAGCGTGGATGGGATTGTAACATACTTTGGGTCTTCCTCTATGACCTTGGCTGCATAGCGAATCAGCATACAGAGTGCCATAGGGTTCTTGAGCGTCGTTCCAGAGCCAGACTTTCCACCCCCAAGTTGCTGAATCATCTTCGTGACAGCCATGCGATCCTGTTGGCGAATGAAATAGAGCAATCCCAAGGCATGATACTGAGTGATGTTACTGGTCGAGGCAATGGGCTGGTATCCGTTGTTTGCAGGGGCAGACGAGCCTCCCCAGCCGAGGTAAGAGTTGGACGGGCTACCAAAGAAGGATGAAGATGACTTCGCGTTTACTGCCTCTTGTGCCTCGTTGACCCATCGCTTCACGACATCCTTCGCGGCCGGGAACAAGTGGTAGGCAGACACAAGCGCGGCAGACGAGATCGACGGGTTCTTGTCCACAATAGCCGCCTTGAAGAACCGTTCTACACCTTGTGCCATGGATGGCTAAGGATAAACGGTCATGAACGCGTCCGGGGAACATGTTCACGAGCACGTACATCTATGATCCGGCACAGAGCACGTATAGCGTTTGGCCGGTAGATGACCTCGGAGTTTGGCTGCATATCCTTCATTATGCTGCTCGTCACCATTATGACATCCTCCGCGGTGCTCGCCAGCTCCTTGATAGCCAGGTAAACCATCTGCCGCAGCGCACTCTGTATCGCGCGTCCCAAGTAAGCGCATAGTCATGGCGGCAGGCGACATATATGATACTTACGTCCTTATGTTGGAACAGCTTGGTCGTCCCGAAGAATAGCGTTGTTGCTTCCTGTGTACCGAACGTCTCCCCGACATACAGCAGGTACACAATCCGCGTGAGTAGTGCTCTGCATTTTCGAGGACTAATTGGTGAGTCATTGAAGACTCTTGCCTCCTGTATTATGGTGGTCTTGTTATTGTAATACGTGCTGAGACCATTTTCTTCGTCCTTCTTGGAAGCGAGAGACATACTGTAAGAGTTGAGCGCGACGGTGTGTACCGCCTGCTTCACCGCGACGTGTTCGTCACAACTGGCGAAAAAGGGAAAATAATATAATGTCCCGTAGTAAATCACTACACATGGCCGACTAGCTCAGTTGGTTAGAGCGTGGTGCTAATATCGTGTTACGCCAAGGTCGTCGGTTCGACCCCGGCGTTGGCCAGCCTTTTCTTTTGAGAATTTACGTTGTGGAAGTCTAAATCAAATGGGTATCACTTCCATAATGATATTGAGGCAACTAGTTGCTTCAATATTGTCTTCAATTGTTATCCCATGTTTAGAGCATAATGCCAATTAACCATTCCTTCATTTATTATGGTCCAAATCGATTCACGCTACCTTTTCTTAGGTACTTTTCTCGATCTCTGCCAACGTCATCCTCAAGACTGCAACTCATCTTCGTATATATGATGGATGTCATTGAACACAGTCGAAGGCTAGATTCCGACGATTAAAATGAGCGACAAGTGCGATGCATTCATGCTGGTGAGAGACGATGGATGTAACGCGTGGTAGTGGAATCAGCTGAGTCCCAACAGAAAATGCAAGAAAGTCCGTATAGTCCATGCGCGCCATTACAGAGATATATGGGGGTACCGAGAAGTGCTGCAGGGTCCGATGTGCGAACCACGAAATGTTCACAGTCAATAATACAACCCACAGCCTTACAGCGCGACTACGGCACCAGCGACAGCGCCGACCGCCATAACGGCCCAAGACGCGAGGCCGAGTTCGAGGCCGGCAGGGGCACCATTGAAGGGCGTATTCGAGGGGGAAGCTGCACCAGTCGATGCGCCAGAAGACGCTGGAGGTGCGCTGTTGGAAGCTGAGGACCCAGCAGAAGTCGCACTAGCCGAACCTGATCCGGAAGAGGTGATAGACAGGGAGCTTGAAAAGGTTGAGAAAGGGCATAACAACACGAATTGCGAAGACTCACGATACGGTCGAACTGCCAGACACCGTGGAGGAAGATGATGACACACTGGATGGCGTAGCCGCAATGCTGAAGTCGCCAGTCGAGCCGTAGACTGTATTGATGTCCCTATTGCCGATGCCAGTTATAACACATCTTACATTGAAAAGCGAGCATTGCTCACGTAACGTTAATCGCCTGAAGGATGTAGCCATCGCTGGAAAGGGAAATATCAGCCGCCACATATCGGAGATAAGTACGCACGCCGCTTACCCAGCCGGAACAATGGGGAGAGTAAAGCTACTGAACATTGACGTGGGGTCGACGTTCGTTGCGATACCAAACGAGTTGTGGAAGTTCGTAGGGTTTACCAACTCCAACGAAAAACGTATGTTTGTGTCGCTCGTAGACCAGCTGATGTTAGCCTGGACACCACTTGTCCATCCCTGCGGGGTCTCCAACACAATTGAAGGTGCCTGAGCCGCCACGACGGAGAGGAGGGTAGCGAATGCACTGAGATGTCGAACTTCAGGGTCAACCTGCGATTCGGACAGCTATGCTCGAGAATCACTCACGCGACCTTTGCGAACATCTTGTGCTAAGCTTCGTAGTAAGGTATTTTGGAGGTTCGGGAGGCTGCAGGGGAGTCGGTAGGAGGGGGAGGAACAGAACAGCGTCGCACGAGGAGGCGGACCTTATTCTCGCGCTTATGTACCTGTCTCAGGCGGCTTCCTTCCCACGTTGGCGAGCGAGAACCTTCGAGCTCGTGATCATGCCAGCCGCCATGCCAGCCGAGAATCTTTTAGAGCTCAATTCGGTTCGCGAATCATCGCCGCTCCGGAACATTCTCGCGCCAGACACATGTGTTCACAAGCTGTCTGCCAGCCGCACTCTCGACTCACCGAGAGCACAGCGGGTATTAAGCTACATACAGCCCCATGTACACTGCACGGCCCGCATGCAATCGAGTTCCCCGCTAAACCCGTAGCTAGCTTGCTTGGAGTCGAACACATGCAAATGATCCTGCTTGTCCGGGCGGCAGAACTAGAAGTCTTCCTGCTATCGCTTCACGTCACAAGCCTCCTTAAGATGCCAAACATAGCACGAAGACGCGCTGACACTCTGACGCTCGAAGTCTAATATATCTACAGCGTTCACACAGTCAATGGCATTCTGAGAAGATGGTTGCAGGGCGTTACCTCGTCAAAGGGTCTCGTATCGCTGAAACAACTTTCCCAGACCTCGTTGACAGCACGTTCCGCAGTCGCTTCATCTGGGCATGCCGGATTGGCACGTACAGACAATATGGCACGCCGGCGGACGCACGCCTTATTGCGTACTTCATTATAATGAGTGCTTGGGTGTGATAGCCACGACTCACTTGATGCTGCTTCGAGAATGCTACAAAGCCACGACGGAGTTCACGCGTCCACCGGCAGTCACCACTGAGACTGTTCGCCCGGATCTACATCGCGGCATTATTGAGCCGTCTGCGCGGTGAAAGGGGACAAGAGAACACATTAAGAGAAAATCCCTTACCTCGCTACATGCATGATGCCTGAGATTACTCCAGTCGACCTTGAACTTTGCATGATCATACATGTGCACGAATTCGTGCACTAGGGTGTCCTCCATATGATTCTTGCTGAAGAAACGGCCCTGACAAAGGATAACAGCACCTGCCTCAGGACTGAAGCCTCCAGCACGGGTGTAGTCACACGGGGAGCATATTATGTCTTTCGAGGATACCGAGCAACCGGACAATTTCAAATGCTTAAGCATGAATACGACCGCGGGACCTGCAACAAGTATTAGCTGCAAATCCATACTCTCAAGCAACAAATTTAGTAGCACAGAAGACACCAAAGCCTACTGACTATAGTTCATCAGCTCTCTCTTCCACTTTTCACAGGTTTGGCCGTGAAAGCGCTCCATGTCAGCCTGCCGCTCTTCGGGCGTGCCGCCAAGCCCTGTGATGACCGAGAACGTACGGCGCCATCGCTCGAATGTCGAGTCGTCGCTGCCAGGCTGGCTAGTACCGGAAGTGCTGGCGTCGTTGGGGTCGGGCATGAGATGGCAGGGAAGGAAAGCGGCGGGAGTCCACGTGATGCGCTCTGTCGAAGGCGAGATCTGCCCTGAGATGGGCTCTCCGAGATTAGATTACGATCTTACTGTACCTCCGGTGGCTTGCCGCTCGGGAATGAGGCACACCGCTATGAGGTCTCGTGACGATCATACTGGACACATTCTACATCCTCGTAAAACTTGGCCAGTCCATTCTTACACAGTAAATTTTACATGAAGTACATGATAAGACACCGACGATCCACGGCGTACTGCCATATTTCACAACTTAGCGGGGTTAGACCACACAGGTTTTCGTTTCTAACAACATTGGATCAGCATCATGGAGACTGTATTTACGTCATCATCTCACCTCCGAGAAAGCTCGAAGTCCTTCCTAATAGATGATGTTAGTCTGCGGCAATGTACACAACGGCTATGTCTACCAACCTTGATATTCTCACTGGTGAAGTGTCTGACGCTTTCCTTCGAGCGGGCATGGGCCTTGACTATGTCCTCGACGTCCGCATGCTTGTTGGTCAGAAGGAGCGCACGCTTTGTGCTCTGTACAGAGTCTGGTGAGTTGGTGGTGATCTCAACCGCCCACGCCAGCGCAGTCGACAACACTTCGGTCTTCGGGACAACTTTATTCACGCTAAGGGGTGCATACGTCAGACGTAGTAGTCACATATCACCAAATATTATCAACTAAAGGGACCTACAATCCGAACCGAGCCGCGGCCTCTGCAGCGGGAATATTCCTTCCGAGCAACAGCATCTCACTTGCGAGCTAGAACACAATTCAAGTGGGCTCAGAGTCTGATTTACCGAGTGAGCACGCATACCTGGTGACCAGCAATCCTCGCCAGCCGCGGCATACCTGGAAACGATTCCAAAGTGAGACACGGAGACCACATACAGCACATGCTGTACAGACCGCCTTGGATAGCCACGACGCCTCGCTTGACTTCGGGTAGAGCAAACGTCGCCTCTTCGCTCGCAACAACAAGATCACAGTTAACTACGATCTCTACGCCTCCACCGTAGGCCCCGCCGTTGACGGCTGCGATCATGGGCTTGGAAGAGCTGGAGCGTCGAGATATGGAGCCAAAACCGTTGACGTCGGCGATGGTCCTTTCACCTTCATCCTTTCCATCCTCGCTTCGTTGACTCTTGTTCCATCTAGACACAATCTCGGATGAACAACGTGAAGAGTACGGACTGAACCGACGTACGCGATCAAGTCCGCACCCGCACAGAACACTCGGCCCTGGCCAGTGATCACAACCACCCTGTGAATATATTAGACATTGTACAAACCAGGCGGAGCGCGTACGCTACCACAAGCTAGGTTCTTTGTCGAACCAATCCAGCAAAGTACACACATCCTGTCTCATAGTTGGCGTCATAGCATTCAGGGCTCGCGGCCGGTTAAACATCAAGAGCATCACATGGTCGCGAGGGAAAGACACCTTGACCTCCTCAGAATGAGAAGGTGGTTTCGGATTGGTACTCGAAGGGTTCTCCATATTGACGTCGGCCGTGTCTCAGGACAGTACTAGTACTAGTACTTGTCAGAGTGTGGGTATATAGCGCCAATTCGGTACTACACTTCCGCCTGTTCCTCGATCACAGCCGATCACGAGTGCGGGGAAAGTACCTGGTAAACCCTTTTTGAGGTTAGGGTTCACAAGCAGGCTGCACAACAAAGTCTTGTAGTCCTAACACTTATGCTCACTCCCAAGTATCATTAAGTATGGCCTGCAGGATTTATGCAAGCTGACGTCCAATACCAGATTTTCCAAAGGCTATTCCTTGAGACAGAATTCCCATGTGCGGTCCTCTCCACCTTCGCCAGTCTTCCCCTGTCCATGTGCTCGCTCTCCCTTTGTCATGCGGTGCTCGTATCCCCTCCAGTCTTGTTTGCGGAATACAAACGAGCGAAGCTGTATGTATCGCGGATTAGGGTTCGCCTGTGCAGAAGGTGGTGGGGGGTTCTTCGCTAATTTGGGAACATCCCTGATGAAGCGTATGAATATACAAAATACCCATAATGAAGAATCCGTCACGCTTACCAAAGGATGTATGGGGTAACGTTTCGCAGAGTAATGAGAATTGTTCCGCGCGTCTGCACATCGCAGGCAATTGTTACATCAGCATGCTCCCGCTCTGCATCCGATTTAGGGTCGTCTTCCTCATCCTCATTCCGTTTGCGTTTGCGAGAGGGCATCACAGCCGGGATGGGTCCGTCAGTGAGGAAATTGGCGGCCGAGCGGAGGAAGCCAAGAATGAGGATTTGATTAGACAAGATGTTGCGATCCTGGTCCGTTAATCCCTTCCCTATGTGCCGATGCCTGTCAAATGAAGCCCGTGCATACACCTCTGTATCAATTATAAGCTCACCTGCATGCGGGAAGTTCCACACAATCCTATCCCATTTCCTGCCCTTCAGAGGAGAGCACTTCTCCAACTTCGTAGCATCGACACCGAAGACAACTTCAACGCCCTTATCTCGTAATTCAGCGACGATCTCTGCAGCATCGGGATATTTTGCATAGCACCCATCTTCACTATCGTAAGCTGTCGCAGTTACGTTGGACGGTGGCATAAACTCCAGTGACGAGGGAGGATAGCAAACTAGAGCGCGAGTAAACGAGAAGTTCCCTTCGCCAATGCAGAGGATTCGATCGGTAGGTTTGAACGGGATTGTAGACCTTTGGGCGATCGCCTTTCCCTTCCCCTTCGGCTGCGGTCCTTTCTTGCTCTTTTCCGCGGCCTGTGCCGCTAGAGCCGCTTCTTGCTTCTTCTTTAGTCTTGACTGCTGCGACGAAAGCACCGTCTTCAGAGACGTCTTCTTCCCTTTCGCCATGATATGTTATGTTAGCTAGATGAAAGAGCCGATAACCGAAATTGATGGTGGTTGTTTGGAACGGAAGGGAAGCGGTTGGCATACAAGCCAGCACAAACAAACGCTCGATCGTGGCAGAACGTGGCAGCGACAGGCTATAGCAGCGTTTTTATACCACCGCCTTACATACCAAACACTCTACCACATCCTGCTCGATACCTGTCGCTCCTTATAATCCTTGTAACGAAGATGGTGTGTCGTCCCGCCCTACCTCTGTCTCGTCCGGAATGAGTTCACACGGGTCAATAGCCTACCGAATTCGAGCTGCGTCATCGGAATGCCCAGTTCGCTGAAAAGGCTCGCGCCGGGAAGAAGCCTACAAAGCCATCTCGCCAAGAGCTACTCGCTAAGAGAAGCCCGCTGAGTTTGTGGGCTCTGGGTGTGATTTTGTTTGTTGTGATAGGAGGAGGTGTGTACTACCACGAACGTCTCTGCAATGCGCTTACCTTACTTCACATTGTGCTCAGTTATCCTGGAGCTCCTTCGGCTCATATTTCTTTAGGTTGTTGTACTCATGATGCGTATGACGAGTGCCTTCGAGTTCGATTATTCCCCATGCTGGGACATCTGCACTGTGAGAGTTGTACAACAGATCTCGGTTTCCTATTACATTGCTCCCCGTCTGAAATGCTGATAGACATGCATGCACGCGCGCCACTGATAATGTCTGTCAGTACCCTAGCTTTCACCGTCAACCCTCTTGGAAATGTCGCTGCCGCCCTCACCAGAGGGGCCAGCATCGTCCTCGGCATCGGCAGTACTTTCTATTCCCTCCATTGGCTCCTCGAGCTCCCGCTCGTCGATTTTGACCGTGTCTCCTGCCCATACATGCATAGTCGGTTGCCAAACCATGATAATGTTGTCCTCTGACGCGCTGGTGGCCGTCCAACTCTCCGCCTCACCGGGAGCCCAGCAGAAGTCGGTAGGGCGTGATGTGTGGCCTGGATACACGTCAGCAGATCGCTCTCAGAAATATCTATAAGCGGCTTACCTCCGTGGACGAAGAGCAGCTCCGGTGGACCATCTTCCTGTTCGTCAGGTGTCTGTTCTACGCCGATTTGCGACAAGTCCCACACGTTTACCCTCCTGTCACTGGATGCAGATGCGAATATAGTAGCATTATGAGGCGACCATGCAACGTGAAGGACTTCGTCTGTGTGGGACTCAAACGTATGCAATCTCTTGGACGGAGCCCGCATATCGTGCAGTACGACTGTCTAAAAGAGAGGTCATGAGCTGTACCGAGCAACCACGAAGCGATGGGCGTACCGAATCAGCACTACCAGTGAGGAGAAGATGATCCACAGCAGGGCTGTATGCTACTGCCAAGATCTCTCGGTCGTGGGCCTGGATCTTATTTACTGGCTCAGACGATGCTCGTGTGTCCCAACTGCGTCGTATGCGTAAGTGGCATCATATGTGTGCTAGAACGGGACGAACACCATGAGCATCTTATCATCTCCGACACTGGCCAGAATGTTTTCATGTTTTGAGTTCCAGTCAACATCCTGCAGCCAACGATGTCATCTTCAGCGTGCATACTCAGGAATATCATAATACACACTCCAACGACCGAAGTGTGCCCTCTGAACACTGTTGTGGGCTCAATGGTGTTCTTCGCTTTCGTGTAGGAGTTGATGTCCCTGCCCGCACATCAATATAGACTCAGTTCACCGATAGGACACCTCACCAGTGGCACACAGTTGTATCCTCTGAGGCACCAAGAATATGGCCGGCCTTCACAGAGCTCCATGCCAGCCCAAAGCTGCTTCACATTAGCCCTCGAAATGTAAGTGCGTACACGCTGCGTATGACCCACCCTTCTTTGTTTTGCCCCACTAGTCGGATGTCTGGCTTGCAGGCGCCACCACGCTCGGGCTCGCTAGAATGTTTTGTTCGGTCAAATACGAACACCTCGCCGGAAACGGCTTTGGTCGCAATGAGATCAGGGTTCTGGGGCATATAGCGCGCTCTGTTGACTTCCCCGGTATGGTTGATCCTCTGAATGATTTGGATGCGGGGCTGGGGCGGGATGGAATGGCCGCCCAGCTCGCCCCGCTCGTCGTCATAATCGGCGCGGTCAAGTCTGTCCGCAGAGGCGCTATCGTCTCGTTTTGGAAGCTGGACAGTGGCTATCTGCAGATAATCCTGGGCTTGGCCGGAAGTGTGGGTTCCCAACAACAGTCGGTGGGTCGTATAGGGCTTGCCGGGTGGCCTATCATAAACCCCATGAGAGGGGCGCTGCCCAGACCACGAAGAGATAACGAGACGTACGATTCTTTGTCGGGGAACCACTGGCATGTTAGGCTAGGCCAATCGAGGGCATGCGTGATGACGACGTCGTATAAATAAGGCGCGTTCTTCTTCCTGCATCCGGGACGTCGTTCAACTTGTTGGGTCTGACCCTTCATCTACGTTCGGAGCACGCACCAGGTCTTGTATTCCTGAAAGTGCCACACGAGCAGACACTGCTTAGCTTCGGAAGATAGAGCCAAGGGTAAGAATACCTCATTTATCAGCTTGTTCTCCTCCTCCGCAGCGAGGTCATCTTCTACCTCCTCCTGCACCGAAGGCTTCATTGCAGCTGATATTCGGGTGGTGGTGGGAATGTCTAGTTGTTGAGGAGGAAAGACGCGTAGTAAATAGTTGTGGCGGGCGACTAATGATGAGGAGAAGCTTGGGCGTGAGGAAGCCGGGTTAGTGGAAGCTCGGACTCGGCGCGACGCGCTATGCTCGTGACCGAACGCGCATACTGTTTCCGTCACGCACTTTCCGTCACACAGGCTCTCGGACTCAGCTGAGTTCACCGCGGGTAGCTTTGGTACACTCGCTCTAAGGACACGCATTGTGTACACAAGTACAATAGTTGAGGTGTATGATTGCTCTTATCTAGCATAGCACAGGAAAAGGCAGGAGAGGCGGAGCAATCGCAGAGCGAGAACCACGCAAGTGTTCGGAGGCACGCGGACGTGCCCTCTCAGTGGCAAGGAACGGACGGAGATCAGAGAATTCTAAGCATTACGACTCGCTTTCCCACTTTGCAAAAAGCTTTTCTAGGTCGAATCTAGGATCCTCCGGGTCCGTGACAACTGGATAAGAAGGGTCGTGAACACTCATGTACATGGCGCGAGCACATTGAGAGACATAACCCCGAGATAGAGTACTCACCACCATCCTTCGAACTCTCTTGCCTCTTCTTCCATGCCTCCTTCGCTTGTGCGATCAAGTGCTCCCGCTCATGGATGGTATGATGCAGCTTTTCCTCGTCGTGTGCCTTTTGTAATGTCCGGCGGTGCGCAATGCCATAGAAGACACCGGTCAGCAGAGCTGTATACCGGACAACCTAGGACAATATCTCCCGTCAACAAATACGCACAGAAGCATTGCCAGACGAGAACGTACGTTCACTGTCGAGGAAGCCATGGGTTCGTCCGCCTATTCCGGACAACCGTACTGTAGCGAAAGGACGGTTTAGACCTGTTGAAACACAAAATTAACTCGGTGATAGCTAACATACATGTGCTGCAGGACGTACCAGGACAAGACCGCCGTGAGTTGCGTTTTAGCGTTCGCTGTAACCGTGCGGGAAGTTCAGGGAGGTGCTGACATAATCGAGATCGCCACGTGCAGCCTTTGAGCTTGGCTTCGCGTTCAAATGCACTGTGCAGCTCGAATAGAAGGCTGGGACTATTATTCTTGGTTTGTCACCTACTTTCGCCAGATATAACAGAGGGGATCGCATTTGATTTGTGGTCAGTTTTTGCTGGGTAAGTAGTGCTAGGCCAATTGGTCCCTTCGGAGCCTATACAGGGATCTCGGATTTGGTATCCTTGTTGCTAGATTGCGAACTGGATTCCCATTGGAGAAAGAGGTGGATTAATTTTTCTGCTACGTGTGTGTAGTGAGGACCTCGGAAGAAATATGTAGAGTAACGACAACATCGGGCGTCCATGCCACCACCTCGAGTTCCGTGTTATACCAACTCATATACCCAAGCCTCCCCGCACAGCTCATATCATCGTATTCGCGCCTAGCTTCCCTTGTCTATCACTACACCACGACCACATGAGCGGTGCACAGGGCGCGAGAATGACAAGTGCGAGCGACGCTCAAGATACGTTTCGGGTCTCTCCTTGGGTTACATACAATCCAATACCTGGCGACCACAACGAACCTTTAGCTCGCAGCAACGCACACTTCTACAACATGCCAGAAGATAGGGACGTCGATATGGATGCACCGCAAATATCTACTCTCCGTGAGGAGGACACACCAGAGCCGCAGCCAGCGCGTACCTCGAAGTTCAGGGTCAAGCTGTTGGTCAATGACGGGAAGCGGTCTGGTTCGTCGGGGAGTGGTCCCCAGCAACAAGTCGCTGCAGGGAGCGACGAGGAGGATGAAGAGGAGGATGAAGAGGACCAGCTCATTGACGATGACGATGACGACCTGAAACCACCTCGCCGTGCACCTATTGTGCCTCAGCTAATCCCTAGTATGAGTATGAGAGGCTCACCAGCTCGACGAGGCAGGGGCAGGGGCGGAAGACGAAAAGCTACTCGAGCGGGTGCGCCCTCACGAAACTATGACTTTGCATCTTTTGAGGTTGCCCTGCCAGAGCACAATGTCCCCCCGACCATGTCGGGCTTGCATTCGGACATTATGGATGTCACAATGCTTCCGGGCGGTGCATCTACCATGGCTCCTCAACCCACGAGAAGAGGGAGAGGTGGCCCTGGATCCAGAGGTGGTGGACAACGGGCTATCAGGAAGCGGCCCTCAAAGTCAGTGTGCAGTCCATACTCCATGTTTCAGGGTTGCTCAACTTCTCATATAGAGTAGCTAAAACAGTGGCACCTGTACCCAGAGACGAGATTGAGAGCGTCATGGGCTTGCCAGAAGGTGGGCATTCATGTTTCAATGGTTTGCGGTGTGTATTCTGATAGCTACGATAGGCTACCCTCCTACAGCGACCTCGTCACCTCTGCTGATGCCTTATGACGAACGCACTCCAGAACTTGAGATCCTTGGTCAGCCTACAATGTCAACATTGAATATTGAAGACGGTACGCTAGAAGGCGTTCCGCTGCCCATTTACCCTCTCCCTTCGAAACCATTTCCTGTACAACCACCTGCCAAGATTGGTACTGGCTTCGCATCGTCGACGTCTCTCGACAAAAGCGGCAAACCTGTAAGACGCTGGCGACAAGTCAATCGCGAAGTACGGGGCATTGCCGGCGGTCGCTGGTTCACGCGAACGTGGGTCGGCGAGAAGGAGTCCGAATTTGCTTCAGCCCAAGCTGCCGCATCGCAGGCTTTCGCCCAAGCTGCTGCTGAACGCGAGGCGGCATCGGCCGCTGCATCGGCCGCCGCGTTGGCTGCCGCTGGCATTACTTTACCCCCTAAACTTGCAGCCATATCTGCGCCTACAACCATGCCCGCTACTGCTTCTGGCAAAGGTGCCAAGAGTAGAGCCAGCAAGGCGGAAGCAGCAGCTTCAAACGTCCCGTCACGTTCGGATTCCATGATGCCCGAGAGCGCCTCTGCCCACCGACCGAAGAAGCGCGGCAGTGCAGCAGCAAGACAACCTGCAGACATCTCAGCCGACCCCCTTCCAGCTTCTTAGCTATTTCCTAGATGCGTTGTTTTCTCTATCGCTTACGCATACGCTTTCTTGTTGTAGTTATCGTCTTTACTGTCCACAATGTATGTAACAATTAATCACTGCACACATTAGGAATATGTCGACATCATGGGCACGCAGTTGCACGACGAAACATGAAATGACCGTTGCGGTACATCTACATCTACGGTTGAGATCTCCGAGACACGATCGAGATCCACGTGCGCCGTAGCAGTCTAACGCGTAGTACTTACTTGCAGTGCTCGAGGTCTACCCTTGTTTCTCTCTAAATTGTGTTCTCTCCACTCAACGCCTCTTCCTGGTATCTATAACTCATAGGAGCGAACTGTACTGGCTGCGACATTTCTCAGTTTCTTTTGAGAGGCTGATTCATGTCCGTCAACGCCTCCTCGAACTTGGCCAGCCCGGAGTCTCTGAGGAAAGGTCCATCATGGTCGTCACTGAGAGGACATGAACGTGGTGCGTGCACCGGCCCTTACATATGCTCGCCGCATTCATGTTCATCAACGTAACCCCAGTCGGGACTCCACCGGTTTACGCGTCTGATCCGAAATACAAGAAGTATGCGCAACAAGTGGAGAAGTGCTTGAATACCTTCGATAGCGTACACGAATGGGCAGACTTCATTTCTTTTCTAAAGCAGCTTCTGAAGGTATTTGCTCTAGTCTATGGTCATCTCTGGGTGATCGCTGTCTCACGCTCCTCTAAGACATTGGAAGCCTACCAGCAATTCAAGGACATCCCGCGTAAGGTCATCGTTGCAAAACGGCTTGCACAATGTCTAAATCCAGCATTGCCCACTGGAGTACATCAACGCGCATTGGACGTGTATTCACATATCTTCGCCGTGCTCGGTGTATGCAATATCCCCTATGTTTTGCACTCTGAAATCATGACTTATCACGACGTGTCCAGACAGAAGGGCTTGAGCGAGACCTTGCTCTATGGTCCTCAGGCCTGTTCCCGTTTTTCGAGTATGCTGCTACATCGGTGAAGGTAAGTCGCTCGTACCTGCAAGCAATCACGGTCTGAATCAATGCGTTTCCAGCCGACATTACTTAATCTGTTCGATACCTATTATCTTCCTATGCAAGGCGGATTGCGACCTGTTATGAAGTCTTTCATTCTCGCTCTACTCCCAGGCCTGGAAGAGGAAACAGGGGAGTACTTTGACAAAGTACTAAGCCTCCTAGACCGTGTCTCTGGGACGGTCTCACAGTCATTCTTCTTCCAAAACATCTGGCTTGTCATGCTCACGACTCCGTCTGCTCGAGGGACATCTTTGAGCTACCTTTCGCGTCGGCTCCCTGTTTTGAAGGCCGACGAAGGTATGTGCTCATTATTATCTCAGTCAGTCAAATATTTGACTCATGCAGGCGTGCGACAGACATACCCTTTGTCGTGGGTGGTGACGTCGGTCTTATGGTTCGCGCGTTTGCGGCGGCTTTAGAGGATGATGATCTCCTTGTTCGGAGAGGATCCCTGGACCTCCTACTCCAGTCTTTACGTATTGACAGCGTGGCCATGAAGCGGGCGCAGTCAGAGGACCGGGCGATCCTGATGCGAGCTGCAACCAGTGTGGTCCTCCGCCGTGACCTTTCTTTAAATCGCAGGCTTTACTCGTGGTTACTGGGACCCGATGAACATAGCCAAAATCAGATTCGGTACCTCAAGGAGAACGCCCTTGAGCTTCTATCGTCAACTCTGAGGGTAACCCCGGTCTTTCTGACTACAATTATAATTTGAACATAATTTGCCGTAGGACGAGATGTTCAATCCTTCGATCGACTATTCACCTTCACGCCCATTCAAAATTTTTATATCTTTACTGGACAAATGGGAGATTGGATCCCCTCTCACAGAGGCTCTTGTCTTCGATGCATTCAAAGCCATCCAGAAAGCTCTTGGATCAGGGCCAGACGTCGCTGATGATGTAGGCGTTTCCTCGTTGAAATATTGGCTGGTTGAGGGTCTCATCCTCTTGGTTGTCTCGCAGCTAAGCATGACGGCCAGCACATTGTACGAAGCTGTAGAGCCCCACCTGCTTTGGAAGCAGCTCTTCGCTGCTATACACGCAGACGTCGTTGCAAACAGAAGTAATCTGGAGGTACATGTTGATATGCTCATGTGTGCTCACAATGGCTGATGTTTTTCAAGGGATGTCGTATGGTTAGATATCTTCTGACGACGTTCCATGGACAAGATGAGGAGATCGAGGGCATTCATCTGCCCGCCGTCTTTGCTGCGATAGCAGAATTGTTGTCGGTAGGATTCTCTCCGCTCTCATGCCGAACCCCATATAATAGCTGTTTCAGATACGACTACAAGACGATGACTCGCCCATTTCGCCAGCGTCCACATCGGATGTACTACTTCTGCTCCGAGAGATCTTAACGAGGATTCCAGTAACGGTGTCCCTCAAGAGTCGTCCCCGCTTATCCAATGAGGTCGAAGCTACTCTTACTCATGACTCTCCACTATCCTTCGCTTGCTCGCTGTACGGGATGAAGACCGGCCTGACTTCAAATGCCAGACTGTATGCCTCTTGCCCCTTCATTACGATCTTTGAAGATTTCATAAACATCAGCATACATTCTGCGAAACTGTTATCTCGGGCTACTGCACCAGAACCTTACCGTGAGGTGTTGGTCGAATCTCTCAGATTACTGGATGGTTTGGTATCTCGTAGTTATGACCTTCAGGATGCGTCTTACGAGCCCACGTGGGTCCCAGAAGAATGGCTGTCTACACTGCTCGAGTGCATGGATCTGAAGGTAAGCATATTCGACATGCTGGTGTACCTGAGGTTGAGAATGATGGTTTTGCTTCACGCTTAGATTGCAACGTTCTCCTTAGTCGACAGTGTGATTACAGCAGTCATCACACTTCATCGAGCTAATGCGTTGAGAACGAATGTCTCCATTGACGATCGTTCAACCATGGCCATCATGGTTAAAACAGTCAGTGGTTGCGTTCGGAAACAGACGCCGAACCTGACGCACTTTGTTGCAGCTTCTGAAGTATCTGCATTCGCCATGGGTCGCGTACCACGTTCGTGCTGTGGACCTCATTTGGTCGCTCGACGAAATCAGTCGCCGCCGTCACGTTGAAGCCGTCATTGCGGAGACTATGTCATCGCAAGATTCTCGTGCTGTAGAAGAGTCGTGCGAGGTGTTCGGCGTACTGTGGAGATTGACCGGTTAGTATTGCAGTTTGCGTTGCCACGTTCGCGTCACTCACAAGTGGATTACAGATGACGATATGCTACCAGGCGCAAGACTTAAAATTCCTATGATGATCATCTTGGATACATTACGAAGTGACGATCCTATCCTACGACGTGTTGGGGAAACGTGGATGCGGTGCAGTTTGAAGTCATATTTGCGGTACATCTTTCTCCGCATGGGCTATACCTGTCTTCTCACAGAGCTTCTTGACCGCTTCAGTGTGCTTGACCCTATTCTTTTCGACCTATACGACCCTACAATACGCATCTCCATCTCCACCACTGAGGTCAATGGCAAACAGTTGCAAGGCTTCTCATATAATCGCCCATTTGATCAACACTTGATCAATCATCAACTCGAGACGCTTCTGTATGTGATCAAATTCGGCGGCCAAGGATTTAGCAAAGTCACGCGAACAAATGCATTGAACCGGTCGCCGTATGGACATATGTTACAGCGGCTGAGATCCGGTCTGTCGTTCAGCTACGCGTCCAATGAAGCCGTACTAATCCTGAATAGCCAGCGCTGCTCTTCCTGATACAAGCTACATGGATGTCTTATTGCAGATGTTGCTTCGGTGAGTGCGATTCCTGTTTGTTTCTTCAAATGTACGATGAATATTCTTCTAGCTTTTTGCAGTCGGAACCCAATAACACTCTCGCAGAGAGTATGAGCCCTTTCAACCTGAGGACCCACGCGATTTGCATTGATTTGTTGCAAGCTCTCGTCGCACGTGGGGAAGTAGACTTTCCTGCTCTGCAGACCATCGAGTCGATCGTGATTAGGAAGCTCTATCTCTTCGTCCATAAGGGGCGGTTGGACTTGCAAAACAAGCTGCTACATCTCCTTCATTCAGTCATCTCGGCGTCGAATCCTGGCGCGGATGCTCAATCTACCAAAGGTAAAGGCGTGCAGCTCAACCGGACTTTCGATAGCGCCAGCATGTTGGAGGAAACCAGAACACCCAGGGCCGAATCATACGTTGTTCACCCTCTACTAATCCAGACACTCCTTGACGGTATCTCCCGACCAACGAATCATCCGATATTGCAGCACTGGCTTGATTTCGTTCTCATGACTATCCCTCAATATCATGAGAGTCTACAGCCTGTGGTTGTACCGCTCAGTGATGGTCTCTGTCGCCAACTGAGGACCTCCTTGTCGGATGTTCGCCAAGCGTCCATTATATCTCGCAACAGTGGAGACATCACGTCGATCACTACAGACGCAGACTTCATTATGCTGCTTGCTGCAGTAGAGAGGTTGGTATTACTGAGTCTGTCCAAGGCGGATGATATAGATCAAGTGGAGGACGACCAGTTGCCGGAGAAACCAAATCAAGAATCGAGCGGTTTGTTAGGTTACGTGTCAAATGTGTTCAGCTCGGACACGACCACTGTTCCAGATGGACAATCCCCAGTATGTCTGAGAACCGCTCTTCATATACTTGACGTTGACTTTCATAGGTTCGATCGTCCGACAACCGCACAATGTATGAAACCGTTCGCGTTTTATACGGTCTGTGGGATCTGTTGAGCGATGCCAATGAAGCATTGTGGACCTTCTCCGCCTATTCGAAGACGAGGATGAGGTGTCGGAAGGTTCTGGAACATTTGTTCCGCGCTCATTCTACTGAAGTCTTGGAATCTGTGGTGGATTGCTGGCAACGAGATCAGCCCGTAAGTTGTTTATTCTTATTTTGCTTCAACGTTGATGAAGAGGTATATCAGGATGGAGCAGTTGCATTCGAAATTGTCGATATATTGGCCTCTAATGCTCAGACAGTCGTCCATATGCTTTGCGAAAGTATATGTAGTCGACTGCCTGGTTTGTCCGACCGACCAAGGAGATCGCCCGCAATTCCACAGTTGTAAGTCCATATATTCCTGTTGCATGAAGGCAACAGGTACGATGCTCATGAATGGTGTTCTTGCTCTTGCCAGGATCGATGCGAAGCTGTTCGAGTTCCTAGAACGGTATTTCCGGCAATTGGAGGGACCATTGGCTCTGCAAGTATGGGGGCGCTTCATTCTGATGGCCAAGGATGTAACTTCATCCATGCGCGAGTTCAGAGTGCAGGCATTTGCTACTGTGAAGTAGGCCTCGAGACTCTTCAAGGAGTCATCTATCTTGAGCTCATCATCTTGTCGTTCTAGATGCTTTACGGTCATTGCAGACAAGATATGTCAAACAACTGCGTTGGAGGATAGGAGAATGCGCAAAGAATTGCAGGTAGGAAGATTGTCTTTCAGGTACCACGCTCTGTTCTCATTCCGAGTCAAGGATACATACAGCAAGCTGCTGGATCTGACGGTTCTTGCCAATCGACCATACGATTCGGGATCATGGATTCGCCGTCCGCAGAAGGAGGCGTTGTCTACCAGTGGGCGAGAGTCCCCTTTACTGCGAGGTATGTAAGAACGGATATAGTCATGGTCTGCGAGACTGAACACTGGAGTAGCTGTGTCGGACACCAAATTGGACGAGAAGATGAATGCGAGTTCGACGTCATTGTCTGAGTCAAGCAAGCCTGCCTACGGCATTGACTTGATCGAACAGGTAACTCGGTGTCTCCGACCACTGCACAGAGCTCTTATAATCTTCAGGTCAACCTGTACATCGCCTCCAGTATGTTGCCGAACATGCGTAAGTTCCTCGTAGAGGGAGATAAGATCGTATCCGCGTGTAACAGTGTCGTCTACAACGTTGTCAACCCGGCGCTGAAGGGCAAGACGAGGTGTGTATACTCTGTTCGGTCTCAGATTCAAATTCTGATTAGAAAGTGATAGACCGCTGGATGTGGATGAGAGCGTTTTGTCAATACTGCAAGAGATGACCCGAATTGGTGCCGCAATAAAGGCATGGCGAAGCCCGGTTTCCGAAGCGTTCAACGATAATCGATGTTTCAATTCGACCCCGGACGCAGGCGGAAAATGGAAGGGGATGGTCAAGGCTCTCTTTGACGTAGACAAGACTTCCTTGTCAGAGCTGCTAGGTAAGTGGCCTGGAAAACTACAATGCACCTGCCTTGACTCCAAAGCTAGGCAAAATCACCACTGCGCCATCGGCGAACATCTTCACCAATCGAGAGTACGAGATGCTTTTAAGGTCCCTCAACATGCGGCGACTGTCCTACGTCCTGTTATCAAGCGAGAAGAATCATTTCTTGACACAGCTTCCGGCGATCCAAGAAAAGCTTGTGGACACTCTGAGGAATGTATCATCACCAGTCGTGCAAAGCGAGGTTTACCTTTGCGTGCGCGTCCTCTTGTGTCGGCTATCACCCCATAATCTGTCAAGCTTCTGGCCTGTGATCCTGACTGAATTGGTACGTCCGACCGCCTTACTTCAATTTTCTTAGGCGATTGAACGTGATGATCAGTACCGCCTCTTTGACCAAGTCTTAACGAGCCTGCCATCCGACGGAGCCGAAGAACTCAACCTGGTACTGGCAACTTGTAAATTGCTCGATCTTCTGCTTGTCCTACAGACAGAAGAGTTCCAGATGTGCGTGTTGTGGCTTGTTCGCTTGCAGATACCACCTAACATGCCGCGCAGACATCAATGGATCTTCATCACCGATACTGCGGATGCAATATACCGACCGGATGACTGGCTCCCAGACGCCATGCTAGATCGCTTAGCGGAGGTGACAGGTAGTCTGCCTCTCGGAGATGTATGTCCTATTCGCCTAGTTTTTGATGTCAAGTTGACCGTTGTATGTCAGGGTGCGGCGCAGCCGTTGCATGTTACCATGCCAACGCCGATGACAGACAACAGACCGATGCGACGGCCAATGCTCAGGAGCCTCAGGCAGATCGATAGCATCCGTGATCTCGTACCGTTCTTTTCAAGTGCAAGCATCGCTTCGTACGAGAGCGTCTACAGCAGCGGGGGCCTCATTGACTGGGAAGCTGTAGAGCAGGGTCTGTTGGAGGATATGTTCGACGGACGATAGCAGGTCCATCTGCTGCCTGTACCATATCGTCTTATATTGCCGTTCTTGTTTGTAGGCACCAGCGAGCGTTCTCGATATATACCATTTGTTTTGGCAGTACACGGGGGTCCTGAAGGCAATTTGCAACTAACACTGGCACGTAACCCCATGCACTACGCATGACACAGAGCGCCTCCGAAAGTTGATTATCGACCGCAGAAACTGATGCTTCGATTGATTGTATGAGTGAAAATGCGTGTAACTGCTAACCTCATGAGCGGGATATTGACACAAGCGTGGTTAGCAAAGCGGGCCGTAACCAAAGCTTACGCTGCACGGTCACCCTCAGCACGCTTCTGTGACATACACGGTCAATCTTGACACGAGTTCCCCTTCCATTGCTAGCAAGACACCGCGGGTCTCACGCCGGAAGATAGATATGGCTGCGAGTAAATTCTCGCGAGATTATGTCCCCAGTCCTGCGCCTTAAGGCGCACATAAATATCCGATGAAACCAATAATCAATACGCGAAACGGGTGTCAGCACGCAAAAGCGAGACGCGGGTTCAGAAGTCGCCCCAGGTTCGGCGGAACTTGTACTGAAGGCGATCCTGCGTGTCAGCGTTCGTACCGGTGGATTGAAGGAGAAAGCGGCTACATTACCTTGTACGGAACGTTCTTCCTGCAGTATACGGCGCTGATCAACAACACGCATACATCGACCGGAAAGAACACGCACTTCAACCGATCGGACGGAGATTTGGGCGGCTTGTAGCCCGCGTCACCCTCGCCCCACTGTCCTCCCGCCTTCGCGCTCTGATACCGTACCGCGGGGTCATCGCTATCGGGCTTGCTGCGCGTGTATTTGGGCAGGTTCGCAGACGGCGCGTCTGGCTGCACCTCGCCCTCCTGCTGTCCCACAGGGACTTGCACTGGTACCTGTGCTTGCGGCTCGTCGTGCTGCTCGTGCTGCTCGAGCGCCTCCTCGACCGATATGCCCTGGAAGCGTGCCTCACGCGCGGCCTCTTCGCGCTCGATGGACTCGTGCGCTGCGAAGTGCTCGAGGTCCTCAGGATGTGTGTATGACTCATCGGTTTGGGTTTCGGGCGTGGCGTGGAATTCCTCTGATGGTAATCAGGAGTTAGGGATCAGGACTAGGGTGTATGATAGGCATCGCTGACCTTCGTGGTGCAGGAAGAATTCTGCGAAAGAGACCCCGAGTAAGTCAGTCTGGTACGGAGAATGGTATAGGCAAGCAAGACTGACCGCTCTCGACGTCATAGTGGTGTCCCTCCGCGCCGAGGTTGTCAAAATTCGGGAGCCCATCAAGGCCAACGCTCACGAATTCGTCCTGTGTGATCTTCCCGTCCTTGTCCTTGTCAATAGTCCCAAGGACGGTGTTGACGATATGGTCTGCCTTCTTCTGGTGCTCGATGTCATCCTGTACTCGAATGTCGTGGTCAGTAGCGTAGATAAAATACGACACAATCGAGGCGCACCTTGGATTTCTTTTGTGAATAAATGTGATGCACGCCATATATCGCTTCGATTTCTTCGCGGTCCCAGATGCCGTCTCTGACGCAAGGATTGAAATACCGCGCGAAAGCATTATGATTTGCACCTACCTATTCAGATCGTGGAGCTGGAAGAAACTGGGCGGGTCGAACGAGTCGCTATACCTTACATTGAGAAATGATTCATGTTCCATGTCCTACACACTCACATGTGGTGTTCCGACGCCATCTATCATGTCCCGGAGAATGTGAACCGTTCAGCACATAACGGTGTAAGAGAACTCGGCTGGGAAACGTACGTGTCTCTGCGCGTACTGTTGGACCGTCTCTCCTGGTGCAGGCCCGGCCCCATGATCGCCATGAGCTGCAGCGAGACGGATGAAGATGAAGAGAGCGAGGCTGGGATGGAGATGCATGGCTGAGACGGCGAGCTCGACAAACTACGCGCTGGTCGACAGTGGTCGACTCGCGTTGCCAGTCCCGGGGTCTCCTGTCCGGGGTTCATCCACGTGGCATCCTTAGCCGTGTTGGGAAAAGCCCAGCCTTGTGGATCTGGGAGACAGATCCACACTGATCTATCCGGACCCCTCTAGACTCACGAACGCAGAACGACTTGACCGTATGTGGGGTCAGCCAGATTATATTACTCTGGGACCCACTTAAGCTTGCGAACTATCAGATGTTCATACCCCACTGAGTCATTGGCCGAGATCGCCCAATGTCCGAGCCGTCGCTGCCGTGGTACGGCAGTACTATGACTCTCAATGAATGGGCATGGTCGCTCCCGCAACACAGCAGTGACTCTCAATGCATGAAACATGGTCGCTCCGACGCCACTACAGAGCCGTTGCTCCCATGATACGAGACTGCAGATATCGCCTTGGTGATTATTGAGGAGATACACCGAGAATATTATCGAAATTGTGATGGGATCTCAAGGAAGGAAAAGACCGATGATGGGTAAACGGAGCGAGCGGTGATTGATCGCGATCGCGCCAATGGAGAGCGGGCGTCTATTGATGGTTAGGTTATGGGTCTGAGGTGAAAGGATGCATAATCAACGCCTTCCACGCTTTTCCGGCGGGTCGGCACATCTCCGATTAGTATATAACCCCCACATTGCGCGATGCAGGTTTGCCCCGCCGCCTCACTACGGCTCGCACGTCCCCCCCTCCTCCACACGGTATTGCGCCCTCTATGTCGGACACTCCGGGAGACGAGCGCACCCTTGCGGGTGACATTCAGCGTCCTGTCGACGTTATAGAAGCAGAGGCCGTATTTACTGAATTGTCTCGTCAACTCACAAGGCGTTCCCGTGCTAGCGGCAAGCAGTCCTCAGAAAACGAAAAGGGAGGGACCGCTCATGTGCAAGATCTCGAAAAGGCTCACAGCGACGAATACGAAGAGACATTCGATCTGCGCGAGTACCTCAGCTCTTCTAATGACGCTACGCAAGCTGCTGGTATCAAGCACAAGCATGTAGGTGTCACTTGGGAGAATTTGAACGTACAGGTAGCCGGCGCCACCGGTCATAAGGTAGGGCAATCGTCGACCCGCTGCGTTTACTTATTCTTACCATATAATTTCACGGACAGGTATACGTCAGGACATTTGGGCGTGAGTGCATTTGGAAGCCTTTAAGGATATCACATTAAAATACGACACCAGAGGACGCCTTGAACTTCTGGCTGACCCCCTTCCAAATCGTCTGGCCATATATCGCCAAAGTTATACCGTCTAAGCGGGCACCCGTACAGACCACCACCATCCTTCATGAGTAGGCAGTTTGACTACTGTGTCAAGTACTACGTTTCTAACTGAGCATCATCTGTTAAGACAATCAGGTCTACTCAAACCTGGCCAGATGTGTCTTGTTCTGGGTTGCCCGGGAGCGGGATGCACGACATTTCTTAAAAATCTTGCCAACGAGCGACGCGAGTACGCCAACGTTTCTGGTGACATCCGCTATGCGGGCATCGATGCCAAGGAAATGGCTAAGCACTACAAGGGTGAAGTCGTCTATAATCAAGAAGGTATACTAACTTCCACCTATAATTTACGCGACTGACCCAGCTCACGCTTTACATAGATGATATCCACATCGCCACACTGACCGTCTCGCAGACCTTAGACTTTGCACTATCGCTGAAGACGCCTGGTCCGAACGGCCGCTTACCCGGCCTCTCGCGCAAGGAGTTCAATGAGGCTGTTAAGAACATGCTACTCAAGATGCTCAACATCCCCCACACTGCGAACACCTATGTCGGCGATGAGTTTGTCCGCGGCGTATCCGGCGGCGAGCGCAAGCGTGTGTCGTTAGCGGAGATGATGGCCACGCGCGCGCATGTCCTGTGCTATGATAATTCTACGCGTGGTCTTGATGCTAGTACTGCGCTCGACTTTGTCAAGTCGCTCCGCGTCATGACAGACGTGCTCGGCCAGACCGTCTTTGTAACCCTGTATGTATTCTCAAGACTAGCTTCGCTCTTTCCTCGTACCTTTATGTACACGCTCACTCACGCGTCTCACGCAGGTACCAGGCGGGAGAGTCGATCTATGAGCTTTTCGACAAGGTGCTCGTGCTTGACAAGGGTCGGCAGGTGTACTACGGCCCGCCTTCATGCGCGCGTGCGTACTTTGAAGGTCTCGGTTACCGCCCGCTGCCCCGCCAGAGCACACCGGACTACCTCACGGGTTGCACGGATCCGAACGAGCGACAGTTCGCTGATGGGCGCTCAGAGGCAGACGTACCCACCACGCCGGAGGAACTCGAGGCAGCATTCCAGGGCTCAGAATTAGCACGCGAGACGTCGCGAGACCTGAGTGAGTACAAGGTTCTGATGGAGCACGATAAGGCGGACCAGGATGCGTTCCGCGCCGCGGTTGCCGCGGACAAAAAACGCGGCGTGTCGAAGAAGAGCCCGTACACGCAGGGTTTCATGAACCAGGTCCGCGCGCTGGCGATTCGGCAGTTCCAGATGCGCCTGCAGGACCGGTTCCAGTTGATCACAAGTTACTCGCTTTATACCGTGTGTCCATCTTCTACAGACTCCTAAGTCGGCTGCTGACGTGATCAAAATTTCTCTGCAGATATTGGCTCTCATCATCGGCGCAGCTTTCTTCAACTTGAAGCCAGATGCTGCAGGTTCATTCACTCGAGGCTCGGTGATTTTTGCTGGATTGCTCACGGCTTGTTTGGACACGTTCGGAGAAGTCTGTATTGCCATAGCCGCTCCTTGACGGAAAACTGATGATTGCCGCACAGATGCCTACACAAATGCTTGGCCGGCCCATCATCAAGAAACAGACAGGCTATAGCCTGTACCGTCCGTCAGCCATTGCAATCGCCAATACGCTAGCCGACATTCCGTTCTCTGCGGTGAAGGTCTTCATTTACAACATCATCATTTACTTCATGTCCGGCCTTGCACGTAATGGCGGTGGATTCTGGACTTTTCATCTATTCGTGAGTGGTCCCAATTAGTCATCCAGCAAGCTCAATGTTGTAATCTGTCTGCCTGCAGGTCTACCTCGCGTTCCTCACGATGCAGGGGTTCTTCCGATCGTTTGGATTCATGTGCTCGAACTTCGATGCCGCGTTCCGGCTAGCGACATTCTTCCTGCCGAACATGATTCTGTATGTCGGTTACATGATTCCCGTTTTCCAGATGAAGCGATGGTTGTTCTGGATTGTGAGTCAACTGTCTGCATCTTTATCACTGGGTCATTTACATCGACTCTAGTACTACATCAACCCTCTTGCCTATGGTAAGCAATAGGAGGAATGAGCCAAGAGCTTGCAGATGTTAATGAACCCGCCCAGCATGGTCCGGTATCACGGAGAACGAGTTCGGCCGCATTTCTGTACGCTCGACAGTCTTATGGCGTTTATGTACCGCTCACACTCTTCTTTAGCTTGCATGTGACGGGAGCTACATTGTGCCTCGTAACCCTCCCGGTGTCAACAAGTATCCGTGAGTCACAATATCTCTCTGCTCCGTTTCTGTACCTAACCGTATGCACAGTGATGGGGTCGGTCCCAATCAAATATGTACGCTGTACGGTGCCTCCGCGGGACAAAACTCCGTCGCCGGGCGCGCATACATCGACTCGGGATATGGTATCGACACTGACGACCTCTGGCGCCGTAATTTCCTCGTGCTACTAGGTTTCTTCTTCTTGTTCCAGCTCACGCAGGTCCTACTCGTGGAGTACTATCCCGTAAGTCCCCACTCGGTCCCCCGAGTGGCGCACTATTGGCTGATAGGAGGTTGTAGCAATATTTCGGAAGCTCGGGGGCGACTGTCTACGCGCCTGAGGACGATAACCTGAAGGCACTCAATGCTGTTCTCAAGGAGCGCAAGGCGCATCGTGAGGCCAATAGGGGAACCGAGGATGTTGAGGCAGGAGTCAGTAAGGAGAGGTACGATATCGCGACCATGTCGTGGCCGTTGATGACTGATCTACCGGTCCAGTAAAAGCGAACTCGAGTTCGACGCTAAGCCCTTTACATGGGAGACGATCAACTACCATGTTCCAGTGGCCGGCGGTATGCGCCGCCTCTTGCATGATGTCCATGGCTACTGCAAACCGGGAACATTGACCGCTCTTATGGGATCGTCTGGCGCAGGTATGTCCGCCAGTGATTGTTGGCAGTTCAGATCATTGACTTGCTCAAATAAGGTAAAACGACGTGTTTGGATGTACTCGCTCAACGTAAAAATATCGGTGTCGTTAGTGGTGACTTGCTCCTTGACGGTCGGCCGTTGCGTAGTGATTTCGCCCGTAAGACTGCATATGGTATGTTAATCCTGCAGCAAACGTCTGGATACGTCAAGCTCATCCTCATTGACAGCTGAGCAAATGGACGTGCATGAGGGCACAGCTACCGTGCGGGAGGCAATGCGCTTCTCCGCCTACCTCCGCCAGCCATACGACGTACCCAAGGAAGAGAAGAACGCATATGTGGAAGAGATGATTGAGGTACTGGAGCTGCAGGATCTTGCGGACGCCATCGTTTCCAGCCTTGGCGTGGAAGCACGCAAGCGATTGACCATCGGTGTGGAGCTTGCTAGTCGTCCTTCGCTGCTCTTTTTGGATGAGCCTACATCGGGGTTAGACGGGCAGAGCGCATGGAACCTCGTGCGCTTCTTGAGAAAGCTTGCGGACAGCGGCCAGGCGATCCTATGCACTATTCACCAGCCGTCGTCCATGCTGATCCAGACGTTCGACAAGCTGCTCCTACTCGAAAGGGGTGGTGAGACGGTGTACTTTGGTGATATCGGTCCTGATTCGTCCATTCTCCGTGATTACTTTGCTCGTCATGGCGCGGTCTGCCCTTCCAACGTCAACCCGGCCGAGGTAGGTTCTACGCTCTGCTCTGCATTTTGCTTGTGCGACTGATCTACTAAAATCTTTAGTTCATGCTTGATGCTATAGGTGCAGGCTTGGCGCCTCGCATCGGTGACAGGGACTGGAAGGATGTCTGGTTGGATTCGAAGGAGTACTCTGAGATGAGGGCAGAGATCGCCCGTATTAAGAGCGAGTGTGTGGCGAAGCCTCTGTCTGAGAACGACAAGCCTGCCGCATGTAAGCCGCTCACCTATCTTCAAGTTTACCCGCAACCTGACCATGTCGCCTAGATGCCACACCCTTCTTCTATCAGCTGAGGGTCGTCGTAGAACGGAACAGCACTATGTTATGGCGGTCGCCCGATTACGTCTTCAGCCGGCTCTTCGTTCACGGCTTCATCTCGCTATTCGTGTCTTTGCCCTTCCTCCAACTTGGTAACTCGATGCGCGATCTCCAGTACCGTGTCTTCGGAATGTACGTCTCCTTTCATCTCTTTCTATGGCGTGATTTTGAGTATATGCCATAGTTTCTGGGTCACCATTCTGCCTGCTATCGTCATGGGTCAGCTGGAACCGATGTGGATCATCAACAGACGTACGTTCTAACGTCGTCCCGATGTTACTACAAATGCTGATATGTGTTCTCCTCAGGTATCTTCGTTCGAGGTGAGCCTATAGTGCAATGTTCTAGGACTAACTGCATATTCACAACAATGATGCAGAGGCATCGAGTCGGATCTACTCACCATATGTATTCGCAATTGGTCAGCTTGTCGGAGAGACACCGTATTCCATCCTATGCGCCATTCTGTATTGGGTACTCATGGTAAGTGAAAATGCTTCGATGCAGGGAGCTCAGTTGTTGATGATGTACGTCAGGTCTACCCTATGGGCTTCGGCAAGGGCTCCGCAGGCGTTGCTGGAACATTCTTCCAGTTGCTCATTGTCCTTTTCATGGAGCTGTTCGGTGTCGGTTTCGGCCAGTTGATCGGTGCCCTTTCTCCGAGCATGCAGGTATAGTACCGTCTTGCATAGAAGACGATTAGCTACTAACGTCTGGTGATCGTCTTAGATTGCGCCGCTCTTCAACCCCTTCATGGGTCTCGTGCTCAGCACGTTCTGTGGTGTCACCCTCCCGTACCCGACCATGGAGAAGTTCTGGCGGTCGTGGTTGTACCAGCTCGACCCATACACGCGTACCCTCAGCACGATGCTAGCCACTGAGTTGCAGTGAGTGTCCCTTCGTGGCACATGCAATTGCCTCAGAGTACTGAAGAAACATTCCCATAGCGGCTTGAAAATCGAATGTGCTGCGAGCGAGTTCAATCTGTTCAACCCGCCGTCAGGACAGACATGCCAGCAGTGGGCGGGAGAATTCGTAGCAGGATTCGGCGGCTACTTGAATAACCCCAATGCCACGGAGGCATGTCAGTACTGCCAATATGCGGTGAGTCGTTCGCTGGTAATTCAACCGCGCAAAACGTTGACCGGTATATATCTTCAGGTTGGTGACCAATTCTTTGAGCCTCTCAACATCCGGTACGACAACAGGTGGCGGGATGCATTCATCTTGTTCTCATTCTTCAGTAAGCCAAAATTCGTTCTGATATCACAGTTGAGCTAACCTCTGGTTCAGTATTCAACGTCATTTGCACAATCGGTGAGTAACTTATGTTTTTGGCTTCGCGAAGTCTCGTTGCTAACATGGATCTTACTTTAGCTGCCTCTCGGTTCCTCCGCTACGCAAAGCGGTAGAACTGCTGCCATCTGTTATCGTCTGCAATCGGTTTTGCCTTCTGGTCAGTATGATATGTTGCACGTATTGCTTATAATCTATAGAGATCATTTTAACCCGATTCGGTCCATGCTATTACGGTACTTCATGATCACGACAACGTCCACGGCTGTACTGGATCTCTCATGTTTACTCCACTATGTCGATATGCTGTTCAACATCCCCGTCTTGGTAGACTGCATTTAGATAGTCAAACATAATATATTAGTATCCTCATTAGAACGGGCTGACAGCGTGCCACGACATATAACGATGGCAGGTAAGGAATGCGTCTGGTCCCATACGGTTGGTGGAGGGCATTGCTTCAGAGCAGACCGTAAGTCGTAACATACGTGTGGGGCAGTACGCAGGTGGTATGCAGACACGTACCTATACCACCACGCTGATGAGATGTGTCGATGCAGTGCCACAAGGCTTCGAGTTTCAAATTGTACATATTGGAATATCCAGACGTACGGTAGAGGAGATGCGCTATGTGCTACAGCCAATGAAAAGAGGACGACGAAGCTGTCGGTATACTACTGTTGAGAGGATGAATTATGGAACTGACGTGTGAACAGTCAGTGTAATATTCAATCACGGTTGGCGGACACAACGTACGATATCGCGGAGCTGCCCTTGCGCGTCGTTGAATTGTTTCTCCAAATATTTTGACTGTTGGTCGCGATGAGGGGCCATAGGCTCGTACAGAAAGACCGGATATTTACCTTCTTGGCCAGATTGTTGATGTCATCGGTGAGGTCCTTCTCCTCCCCTTTCAGCTCTTTCTCCATGGTAGGACGTGGAACCATCATGAACCTGACCCTGGATCAGTCACAAGATAAAGTCTGAATAAGAATTACCAACATCTTTCCTACACCCTTGTATAGGTTGACATCTTCCTTGAGGGAGGTAATCTCCTCAATTGTCAGTTGCAAGATGCGCCGCTCGCGTTCTTTGGCCGCGATCTGCTGCTTGGAAAGATTGAGCGCCCTTTGGGACTGTACGGCCGTCTGCTGAATTTGAACTAGAATCTGTATTGAGTGGTTTGTAAGAATACAGCTTGCGGTGGGTAATTGGATGAGGAGAGGACCTTTCGCAGAGTCTCATCGGAGAGGGTGGCCATGGTGTGCAGTGATCAGAACGCGTCCCGATTGATCGACGCGTCTGGTGGCGGCGAATTGGTAAGCGCTCGACGCCTGCTTCTAACCTCCCCAGTGGGCCTGCTTTCCTCTTCTAAGCTTGCTCTCGTTCCTGCTATCGGCTTGCCCTTCACTTTCTTCGTGACTGGCTCTCCTTCTGCTCTAATCACCGCTTGCTTAATTCTCTACTGACCACCTGACCCACAAAAGCGTGCCGTTGCTCTCTCAAAAATGGCGTCCTTCGAGGATTATGACGAGTTTGGAAACTACATCGGTGCTGACCTCGACTCGGATGACGAGGAGGAAGTCCCCCAGAATGACTTCGCTCAGCACCAGCCACAAGCACAACCCCTCGAGGGCTTTGACGATGAACCAATGGAGACGAACGAGGAGATGGCTTTAATGGAGGTGGACGGTAAGCACTTCGCTGACAGAGTATGTCGGACTCCTCATGATTGGGGTATGTCTGGTATATAGAACCTGTGCACAATGCAGTCGTTTTGCACGAGGACAAGCAGTACTATCCCTCAGCTGAGGACGTATATGGTGCCGATGTGGAGACGCTTGTGCAAGAGGAAGATGCACAACCTCTGACAGAGCCCATCATTGCTCCTGTGAAGGTGCGAAAATGGACAGTGGAGGAGAAAGATATGCCAGAAACACGGTTCGACAAAGGGTATGCGCAGGGATTATCACACATCCTGCTCATAGGCTTACGCACGTCCTCAGTTTTATGCTGAACATGGCTGCATTCCCTGAGTTTGTCCGAAACGTCGCGGTAGTCGGGCACTTGCACCATGGAAAGACTGCGCTCATGGATATGCTTGTATTTGAGACGCACAAAATAATGTGGGACTCGGACCACCAGGTATGTAGCTACCTGTCATCCGTTCGTATCCTTCTAAATGTCAGCACAGACGCGATACACGGACACGCATGTCTTATCCAGAGACAGAGGCATCTCTATCAAGTCTTCCCCCATGTCCCTCGTGCTCTCAACAAGTACCGGAAAGTCTCACCTCATCCACCTCATTGACACCCCGGGGCATGTCAACTTCGTGGATGAGGTCGCCTCTGCAATCCGTCTCGTCGATGGCGTCATCTTAGTCGTCGATGTTGTAGAGGGGGTAAGAATGGCTTCGTATAATTGTTAAAGAAGCCACTGAAGATTCTACTATAGGTCATGGTCAACACCGAGCACATCATTCGGCATTGTTTGCAGGAAGGTGTCAAAATGACCCTTGTAGTAAACAAGATTGACCGGTTGATCCTCGAGCTACGCATCAAGCCTGCGGATGCTTACTATAAGATTAAGCATACCATTGAGGAAGTAAACACATTTATCAGGTAAGACTTTGACTCAATGACTTTTTGTCGTTCTGACCAATTTGTGTAGCGGCATCAACCCGGATCCAGAATTGCGTCTTAGCCCTGAGAACGGCAATGTCGCGTTCGCCAGCACCGACATGCACTGGTGTTTCACCCTTCGATCGTTCGCACAGATGTATGCGGACTCATATGGTATGTTGTTGTTGCCAAGGCGTCGTTCCGCGTTCTAACGGACGTGCACTCAGGCCCACTCGATGTGCCTGCATTCGCAGACCGGCTGTGGGGAAACATTTACTACAACTCTGAGACCCGTAAGTTCAGCCGCAAGCCCGCGGACCCGGAGGCGGACCGCAGCTTCGTGCACTTCATCCTGGAGCCGCTATACAAACTATACAGCCAGGTCCTCAGTGAGGAGACTGACGACCTGAAGGCGACGCTAGCGAGCCTGCACATACAATTGGCGCCAGTGATGTACAAGATGGACGTGCGCCCTCTCTTGAAGGCAGTGCTAGACCAGTTCTTTGGGCCTGCCATTGGGCTGGTGGACATGATTGTGGAAAACATTCCCTCCCCGGTCGAGGCGACTGCGAGCAAAGTATGAGATATGCTATATATTGCACCCGAAGATAAACTAAATGGGATACCAGGTCGAGCGCACATACATGGGCCCGATGACATCAGATCTCGTCTCATACATGAAGCAATGTGACCCTGAGGGCCCTGTGATGGTGCAGATCACGAAACTCTACCACACCACCGATGCTCAGTCGTTCAGGGCATACGGACGCGTTATCAGCGGTACAGTACGTAAGGGCATGGAGATCAAGGTCCTCGGTGAAGGATACTCGCCAGAGGACGAAGAAGATATGGTCAAGGCCGTTGTAGATGATATTTGGATCAGCGAATCCCGGTGAACATTGCTGCACTCTAGTTGCGGGGCATCACGAATTTTAACACATCGAATAGGTATTTCGTCCCGGCAGAAGAGGTCCCTGCTGGAAATCTAGTCCTGCTCGGCGGCGTCGACGCATCCATCACGAAGACGGCGACGCTCGTCTCGGTAGACATCGAAGAGGACCTGTATATATTCCGTCCGGTCAAGCACATGACACAGTCAGTGCTGAAGGTCGCGATCGAGCCTATAGCGCCGTCGGAGCTCCCGAAGATGCTGTCCGGGCTGCGCAGCGTGAACAAGTCATATCCGCTCGTGTCAACGAAGGTCGAGGAGAGCGGAGAGCACGTGGTCATCGGGACGGGCGAGCTGTACCTCGACTGTGTGATGCACGACCTGAGGAGGTTGTTCTCGGAGATCGAGATCAAGGTGTCGGACCCGGTGACGAAGTTCTGTGAGACGGTGCTCGAGACCAGTGCGCTGAAGTGCTATGCGGACACGCCGAACAAAAAGTGAGAGCATGGTGTGTCGTCGGTTAACGGCATTGACTGACGATTGTTTGTGTGACTGCAGGAACCGGATCACGATGATTGCGGAGCCACTAGAGCGGGGGATTGCTGAGGACGTCGAGACGGGCCGCGTCAATATGCGCATGACAACGAAGGAGCGGGGCAAGTTCTTTGAGGAGAAGTATCAGTGGGACTTGCTCGCATCGCGGTCAATATGGGCATTCGGTCCTGATGACAGTGGTCCGAATATCTTGCTCGATGATACCTTGCCGTCTCAGGTTGGTGGTTCCAACATGTCTGCTCCTGTCAGTGTTAATGTTCTCTTCAGGTGGACAAGAAGATGCTCAGCACTGTCAAGGAGCACATCAAGCAGGGCTTTCAATGGGGTGCTCGGGAAGGACCACTATGTGACGAACGTAGGTTCTTCCGGCTTGATTCAAGCCCCGCCACTCACCCACGATCTACAGCGATGCGCAATGTGAAGTTCCGGATATTGGATGCCAGTCTCGCTCAGGAGCCAATCTTCCGCGGTGGAGGACAAATTGTCCCAACGGCCCGCCGAGTGTGCTATTCTTCATTCTTGATGGTATGTTCATTGTACCGCACACGTGGATGATAGGTCTGAGATGAATCACAGGCTACACCGCGCCTTATGGAGCCCGTGTATTTCGTCGAGGTGCAAGCACCAGCAGACTGTATTTCGGCGGTTTACACGGTTCTCGCACGGCGCCGTGGACACGTCACGCAAGATATTCCCAAGGCCGGATCGCCGTTATACACAGTGAAGGCGCTCATCCCAGTAATTGACGCAAACGGGTTTGAGACAGACCTAAGGACAGCGACGCAGGGGCAGGCGTTCTGTCTACAGGTGTTTGACCATTGGTCAATTGTACCAGGTACGTTTAGCTGCCATGAGTGAGAAGCACAGGAGATGACAAGACGCCTATAGGTGACCCGACCGATACAAGCATCAAGCTACGGCCGCTGGAGCCCGCGTCGGGCCAGGCGCTTGCGCGGGACCTGGTCTTGAAGACACGGAGACGAAAGGGCCTCGGTGATCAGATCGCGGTCTCAAAATACCTTGACGATGAATTCATCGTGCGTATTCCGATTACCCGGTCTATAGCAGCCTGCTAATTGCGTTGCTCTACTGTACAGCTCGCCCTTTCGGCGTCAGGGCATGCGGACCTTCTAGGGTAGATTAGTGTAGTGTGTTGTAGGTATATTGCTGTATATTGTTGCGGCCTGTGTGGAAAGCGGGAGGCGTTACAGGCAGCGCGCTCCGGAGACGCATCAATGAGAGACTGCCCACGTGTCTGCATCGAAAGCAGTGGAATGTATACGTGGCAGGATGCACCGAAACCCATTTAGAGCCAACGCCTGGTCACGCTCTCCAGCTATTCTCCTCATACCCTCGCTCATTTCTCTCTCCTACTCCTGTATCCCTCCGTCTGGTCCTTCGTATTCCAATGCGAAGAGTAGCGTTATCCACTCTCCTCGCGCTCGCTGCCACCAGTGTGCTGGCAGTCGACGCGGAGGAACCCAAGCCTGTCTTCAAGGCAAGCTGCCATATATCCTGACTATCCAGACTTGTCTTACATGAAGTATCATGCACCAGTCTACCAACATCAAGGCGCCCTTCCTTGAGCAGTTCACAGACGACTGGTCAGAACGGTGGACACCGTCAGAAGCCACCAAGAAGACGCCAGTCGGCGGCGAGACGTTCAGTTACGTCGGCAAATGGTCTGTTGAGGAGCCCATCACCCCCGTCATCGAGGGCGGTAAGGGCCTTGTCGCAAAGACCAAGGCCGCGCATCACGCCATCTCCGCACCCTTCGACAGCGCCATTGACTTCAGCGAGCAGCCGCTCGTTGTGCAGTATGAGGTCAAGTACCAGAAGGGCGGCAATTGCGGTGGTGGTTACATCAAGTTGCTCGAGGACGGCTTCCAGACGGAGGGCAAGGAGTTCTCGGACAAAACACCATGGACTATTATGTTTGGTCCTGACTTGACGTGCCCGGGAACGAAGGTATGTCGAGATCCCCTATAGTAGTTGTCGCAATACTCAGTTACTGTGCGCGTGTGTAGGTCCACTTTATCTTCCGTCACAAGAACCCCGTCACCGGCGAGTACGAGGAGAAGCATTTGACGACACCCCCCAAGCCTACCATTGAGAAGTTGACCAACCTGTACACTCTCATTATCAAGTGCGTGCTTGTTATCCTGCATTTTGATATTGGTGTTGACATGCGCTATGCAGCCCGGACAACACCTACGAGGTTCAGTTCAATGGCGAGACCAAGTCGTCTGGTAGCCTGCTCGAGGATTTCAACCCTCCGGTAAACCCTTCGAAGGAGATTGACGACCCTGAGGACAAGAAGCCCGCGGACTGGGTTGACGTCAAAAGGATCGCTGATCCGGATGCCACGAAGGTCAATCAGCTCGTAGTCTAACTCCATTCCCAACTGACCTTCTTACTGTAGCCTGCTGACTGGGACGAGGATGCCCCCTACGAGATCCCTGACGAGGACGCCGAGAAGCCGGAGGGCTGGCTCGACGACGAGCCTGAGTTCATCCCTGACCCTGGTCAGTCTTTGTAACCCATTGCTTCATGCTCGTTGGCTGACGTCCATGTAGACTCTGAGAAGCCTGAGGAATGGGACGATGAAGAGGACGGTGACTGGATTGCGCCTCAGGTTCACAACCCGAAGTGCGACGAGGCCCCTGGCTGCGGTGAATGGAAGCGGTGAGTATACTCTTGCCAACCATGAGCAGTTTTACACGTACTGATGTGTTGTCTTGAAGTCCTATGAAGGCTAACCCCAGCTACAAGGGCAAGTGGTACGCTCCCATGATCGACAACCCGGCATACATTGGCGAGTGGGCTCCGCGCAAGATCCCCAACCCTGACTACTTCGAGGATCTCAACCCCGTCAAGAGCCTCAACAAGATTGTAAGTGTACAAGCTAGTGTGATTGATCTAATTCAGCTGATCATGGCGCTAAAACAGGGCGGTGTCGGCATTGAGCTCTGGACCATGACCGAGGACATTCTCTTCGACAACATCTACATCGGTCACTCGCTCGAGGACGCTAAGGTTCTCAAGGCTGAGACATTCGATATCAAGAAGCCGCTTGAAGAGGCGCAGTCTAAGGCGAAGAAGCCCGAGCCTCTTGACGATGAGGAAGAGCTCACGTTCTGGGAGGACCCCATTGAGTTCCTGCGCACGAAGGCCTTCAAGTTTGTCGACCTCGCGCAGCTCGACCCCATCCTTGCTGTGAAGACGCAGCCTGAGGTCGGCGCGGTCCTCGCGCTCGCCGTCGTCACGTTGTTCGGTATGCTTGGTATGGCGTTCGGTCTCATCGGCGGCTCGCAAAAGCCCGTCACTAAGGTACATATTCTTGCCGTTCCCGAGACGAGTCCATCACGGATGCTGACACGATTACACAGTCACCAAAGAAGACGGACGCGCCCACACCCGACGACAAGCAGAAATCCGAGTCTGCACCTGTCGCGCCTGCGGGCGGTGAGAAGGCAGACACCCCTGTGAAGAAGCGGAAGTAAAATGCGACGACATTGGTAGCGTACTGTTTTCGATCGTATTCTCGCTGTGCTTGTTTGTTTTGGAGATTGAAGCTAATATTACACTTGGGCTCACGAGGGACGTGATTATGTGTTGGCCCCTGCGTGATGAGTTACGTTTAGTGAGAGAGCTACACTACAAGGTTGTTTGACTAAGTGCAAGAGATGGAAACAACGTATGCAAGTTTCTAGAAGTACAGACTGGCGGCGAATACAACTAAGAGCAAGGATGAGTGTCAACATGGATGTTCTCTTGATTCTGCAGGATCACTTACTATCCCTCTTAATTTTGATCTGAGCCTCCTCCATTTTCTTGAACAATTCTGCGTCGCCGATGACCCGGGCAGCGTCTCGTACTTCACGGCAGGTCTCGTCAAGGCGGGTGATGACTCGGACGATCGTGCCCTCAGGGACGTCTGTAAGTTCAGTGATCTGCTCGAATGGCTGCAGCCGCAACACGCCCGCTGTCAGTCAAGCTCTCACCAAGGCGGGGAAGACGCACCATTCCCTTCGCCCACTCGTACACTACCTCCATAAGGCCAAATTTGAGCTGCCGGAAGTCCTGACCTGGGACCTTGTGATAGTCCTGTGTCCTCGCTACCCGGTCCGCAATAGCAAGGATGGCGTCCCGGCCCTCTTCTAGCTTGGGCGGGATCTTGGGTTCGGAGTCTGTCTTTTCCTGGAAGACGAAGCAAGAGAGGAGCGCGACGACTTCCTCAGGGTCAAATGGCGCCAACGTGTTCTCCAAGATGAGCTCGGTTAGGACTAGCTCATTCGCGGAGTTTATCTGAAGGACAATGAGCCCGATTCATTCCCTCGGTCATTACCATTTACCTCGCACGCTACTCGACCCTTGAGAAGCACGGTGGAGTTATCGTCGATGAATTTCAGGTCCTGCAAGACCGCTATCCGTTGCTCGTAATCGGGTATGAGCTCTAAGTTCTGATCTGATATTGTCCGCTTCAGCTCAGCGATGTTCGCCTTCAGAATCTTCTCCCCGTGAATGATGGCATACTGGGCGTGCGAAGTCAACTTCCACATATGACTATTTCGACGAACACTCACATGGTCTTCGAAATCCTCGCAGTTGACAGATTGGCACTCTGCACTTTTGACGACGAGTTCATTGCGTGCGCCCAATGTCTCCTGGAAGTCCAGCGAGCGCACACGGCTCCAATCTATTTCTGGGATAGTGTCCGACTGTAGCCACTGATCCAACACGATGGACAGTGACTTCACCGCATCTTGCATGTGAGAGATCCGGTGGCCAAGAACGATGAGATCAACATCAACCTGAATCACAGGTCAATATTCGCCATATGGATAGACTATGGTCGCACCTTGATGGTTTGTGCAGTTACCATAGCAATACTGGTGAGTGGAACAGCACGCAGCTCGTACGTAGCATCGTCGACGAGGAGCGAGGCGGGGAGAGGCGGCCAACGCGGTGGGAGTGATTGAGGATCAACGTCTACTCAAAGTTGCGGACAACCGTACTCGCGAAAGATTTTCATCAACATACCGTTTGCGCCCCGCTTCGTCTCTGGATCTACCATTGCAAGCACGAAATATGATTTCAAGTTCTCAATGACAGGGGCGGATTTGAGGATTGCTGCAATATGCCATTTGAAATGCTGTGCCATAATAAGATTCAGTACCGAGTGATCAATAGTATTAAGCTTACCCCATCACGAAGGATTACGACGCGACCGGCCGATAGCATCTTGTTTCCTTGCGGGTGACTCGCCGCTGTTGCATGTAGTACGTCGTTGCGCTCCACGATCTCGTATGAGATGTCGTAGAACCGCTCGATGTCTGGCGAGCAAACGTCGCAACTGAGCTTTGGCAGTCTGGAAAGAGTCTTTTCACTCTGTGATTGTCACATAAGTTTCTATAGATGGCTTCAAATAAGCGGGACGTGCCTCGATGACTTTCTTCATATGGTCAGGGAGCAGTTTTTGCGTCCGGTTCTCTGAGAAACTCCGCTTGATCATCTCTTCCACCCGAAGAGCCTCCACGCGTAGAAGGTTGAGGATCATGTTGTATGTGAGGCGGAACTGAGACTGTAGTTTCGATGGTGCTCCTAGGATCATTTGTTGAAGAGTGCCTTGCTGCATGCAATGTCTGAACAGGGCTATCGCCACAAACAAGAAGAATGGCCCACCTCTGGTAACTCATCATTTGATGTTATTACCACAGTACCGGTGGTGTCCAAACCACGACGTCCAGCACGTCCCGCCATTTGCGTGTATTCACCTGGCAGGATATCTCGGAAGCTCCGCCCGTCGTGCTTGCGAATGCCAGAGAAGACGACGCATTTAGCCGGCATGTTCACTCCCTGAATTTACAGTGAGCAGGAATTGGCTTAATATCACATACTCATGATTGTGCTGACCATAGCGAATGTCTCTGTAGCAAAGAGGACTTTCACAAGACCGCGGGCGAAGAGTATTTCCACAACCTAAACCGTATGTTCGGCAATAAGCCATGTTGCATTCAAACCGCAAGCTTACCTCCTTCACAATGGGGAGCAAGCCACCATGATGTACACCAATACCGCGGGACAACAAGTCGCGCATCCGGCGGATCTGCGGGAGCTTTCTGTCGCTTCCTTCAAGAAGCGCTTGTGAGTCCAGGGAACAAGGGAACGAATCCAGTACTTACCCTTTAATCGCGACAGGGCCTTCTCGATCGCGACGTGAACCTCGCTCTTCTCCACGGACGTGCACAGATCCGCATTCGTCAGCGTACTCGCGTTTTCCTCGCAGCGCTTTTTCGATAGCGTGAACACCACCACCGGCAGCAGCGCCTTCTTGCGCAGGTTTCCCAGCAGGTGCACATACAGGTTCTTGTCTGGCTGGTGGAACGTCCGTGGCGCGCCGCCCCGCGCACTCGGGGCACCTCCACGAGCTGGCATCCCGCCACGCTGTCCTCCGCGGCCGACTGGGCCTCCACGCTGCCCGCGCTGAGGGGCGGCTGCGCGTGCGCCGAGCCGCTGGACGGGGGCTAGCCCGGCCGCCTCGCGCTCCTTGTCTTGCTTGCGGCGGAGGGCCTCTCCCGCGCCCTTGTATCTGTCACGGTGTTCAGCTTCCCAATGTTACAGGCTAGACTGTCAGCCCCACCCTTGCCCCAAAAACTGCCTGTTTGCATCCACGATCTTGTGCAGATCGCGGCCGGCATACAGGTAGTGCTCGAGCGGGACGGGGCGCTTCGCGGTTGATATCACATAGATGTCCTTCTTTTTGGTCCGCCTATGCCCGGGTCAGCAATGTTGCTCTCACGGGGCGAAGTCCACGCGGAACGTACCCAACCCAGTCCGCGAACTCCTTCGTATTCGGCACAGTCGCGGAGAGGAGAATGATGTTGACGTGATCGGGAAGCATGATGATGACCTCCTCCCACACCACTCCGCGCTAGATCACGTCCGAAGCCGTTAGCATTCTGCTGTGCTGATTGCGGATCAAGAAACAAAGACCACAGCGCTCGTACCTCCGCGTCATTGACGTAGTGCACCTCGTCGAAAATCACGAATTCGACGTCGCGGATGAGGTCCGCGCCCTTGTAGAGCATGCTGCGCAGGATCTCCGTCGTCATGATTAGGCAGCTCGCCTCCGGGTTGATCTGCACGTCGCCCGTCAAGATACCCACGGACGAGGAAGAGAACGTCTGCTTGAAGTCGCGGTACTTCTGGTTCGACAGCGCCTTGATCGGCGACGTGTATATCGCCCTGCGGCGCGCACACGTCATATCAGGGTGTGGGAGAAGGCAATGCGGGACGTGCGACTAACCGCGTCATATGTTTCACGGCGAGTGCAATGGCGTACTCCGCGACGACGGTTTTGCCTGCCGACGTGTGCGCAGCGACGAAGACAGAGTCGCCCATCTCGAGGTGATACACAGCTTCCTTCTGAAACGTATCAAGCTCGAACGGGTACTGCGCGCAATTGGACATCAGCGCTCTGTGAGACCCATAAGCGAGAGTGAGCGCGGTACCTTGTGCGCCATCTCGGGGACCAGTTCGTGGAAGTTGGTCATAGGCCTGTTGATATCCACCTCATGCGCCCAGTCTCGCTTTTGGATGTTTGTGCGGCGGATGGGTTTGTGTGCCGTCTTAATTGTATTTAGATGTGTTCTCTGGATGCATCAATGTTGTCAGAACAGATTATGCGGCAGTCCACACTTTAATTACATTCGTCGGTAGAAGGTCGTCAATCTCGGACTTGCCACCGCTTGCGGAAGGGGTAACAAGCACATCGCCATTTGTACTGTGCCAGATCTCACCATTCTACGTAATGGCAAGTGAGCGGCGTATGTCAGGCCAAGAGGGACTGGCCCTGTGTCCATACGTCTGACCCTCCCAGTCGTCCGCCACGGTGGCGGTGGCGGCATCAGACGGATGGGCACAAGACCAGGGCCAGTGAGAAACCTACCGTTTTGTGCGAAGGCTGACCATCTACTTGCGACAGGTCTTCGAGATCGTCCAATGCTTCTTCTGTGTCATCCCCCGGCAGCCGCAGACCACGAGTCAAACCAGGCGCCACTTTCCTCAAGCCCTTGGAGTTTTCACTGAGGCTATCAATCGCTTTCGATTCTGCTGCGACGTCTTCGAGCCCGCCTGGCCAGAAAGGCACGTAGCCGGCTTTGCCCCTGACGAAGTTGCTGCTAGGTCCAGGAGCACGGTCAAGAGAGGTGGACGTCAATCCCGAAGAGATGCGAGGAGTGGACACCTAGAAGCGGAGGTCATCTCGGTGAACAGGACATGCCTCAGCGTCGCGACTTGCTTCTGTGTATCCAGTTACTCTACCCTGGAGGCCTGTGCGGACAAATGCGAGAGTTGTAGGCGGTGGAGACGGATCGAGGGACAATAGTGAAGGGACAGATAGTTCATGTTCCCAATGTCTAATTAGAATATAACGTTTCAGAAACCATAGAACCATTGATACGCGTACATCACAGGCGATACTCTTACACTTGGTACGTTGAAAGCCAATGATCTGGAAGACGCTCTTTCGGTAGTAAAAGCTTCTCTTCTATTTGCGCGTGCACCTGCTCTCTTGATGGTAAGCCAGAGAGGCCGAGTTCACTCAACAATTCGGCAGAATTGCTAGGGTCGGGATGGAGAATGTGGTGCATCAGGTCGCCCATTTGTTTTGTGAGTGCTGGTTCAACAGAAACAGAACGCTTCTACAAGACCTGGCAACGCCCAGATCAACGAGCGCTGTGGAAGGCGGAAGCCAAGTGTGATGCAAGAGCGCGATCGCCGCTGAGCGGTATGATCGACTTGGCCACAACAGAGCGCCAATCAATTCTCGCATGCTTCATACTCCCAATCTCAGGCCCGCTTCCACGCCGGCCTCTCTCTCTCCTCGGTCGAATCTGGCTTTTGTTTCCCTCTTTTTATTTGCATCCTGAGAAGTTCGTTATCATATGCATTGGAGAAGCTCCACTTATATGCAGCGTCCATGGGAATGCAAATAACTGAGTTGACCGACCGCAAGTACTATACGCATTGCTGATCCATCATTGAAACCGCGCTGTTCTCCCACAAATGTCATTGTACAATGGTCACCCATCTTCGCGTATCATCTTGACATCTCTCGACCATAAGGAGCCAACGAGACCAGGGGCTGATCGTCTCGCTTGCATGGTATAGGCCTACTCCGCCAGTCCCCTTAGGGGGATACTATACAAAGCCTCTACACCGCTTCGCATTCGAGTGCCTCTTCTCTCCGAATCCCACCATGAGCTTCAATCTCTGGAATTTCACAATTGATGATTCCAGTTCCTACATCACGTATACTCCTCACGGTGCGTCTGGCCTGCCAGTCAAGTAGTGTAGTCATTTAATCACAATTTCAACGCAGGTGACGGCGGCCTTGGCAACTGGACACAGACAGGCTGGCAGCCATGGTACTTGGGATCGGGTGGGTTCTGCTCAAGTGGTGGGAATGAAGCTGTGGGTCAATCCTTGCACATAACATCACTGCCTGGAGCGAGCCTCAAGTTTGAGTTCTACGGTAAGAGTGGGTGCTGCTCGATGCTCGACATAGTATGTCATACTCGTTGGATATCCAGGAAATGCAGTCTCCCTCTACGGAACTACTAACGGCTCCTTCGACGTGACTCTGGACGATGATTATACCACCGATGTGACCGCAGAGAGCGACATACTCCTCTTCTCCCGAGGCGGTCTCACGACGGACATACACCATGTGAACTTGACTGCACGGCCACAGGCCGGCAGCGGCCAGCAAATGTCCTTCGATAATGCAGTCATCACGATCCCGTACACCGGAGGGTAGGTCTTCATCCTATCATGATGTACAGAATCTCAACTTCCTGGACGCAGGGCGGGAACGCCAGTCCCGCTAGTCTACGCAAACACCAACACCTCAGCTTTCCAATACACCGGGCTCTGGATCCAAACCGAGGCAGTGAACGTCCCCTCATCCACCTCCACCGCACCGTACCACCAGACCAGCAGCTATGGTGCCTCCGCGTCCATACACTTCGAAGGTGAGGCGGTCGCCGTCTACGGGTCCCGTGAATGGGGAAGCTGGCTGTACAACATTGTACGTCCGATCCATCATCAGATTGTCGCGATCTTCACGCCTGAATCTCGGATGCGGTACGTAGAGCTTAGATGGCGTCAACTCGCAGTACAACGGCAGCACGATGTGGGAAATCGACAACGCGCTGCTGTTCTTCCAGGCGGGGCTGAACCCGAACGAGACGCATACACTCGATATTACAGCAGAGGGCGAGCGCTTCATGTTGAATTATGTTACCGCGTTCGTCCCGAACAATACGAATACGAATCAATCTGTAACCCCTACCGACTCTGTCACGTAGGTCCCTCCTCCCTGTAGTTGACTCTTATCCTAAAAACTGATGATCTCCAGACATATCCCGAGTGCCTCCGTCACGCCAAGCGCGGTCGGGAAAAGCAGCTCTTCTAGTAAGGTTAACACCGCAGTGATCGTCGGACCCGTCGTCGGCGGTGTTGCCGGCCTCTTGATCATAGGCGCCCTATTGTGGTGGTTCCTTCGCCGCCGTGACCGTCACACCACCGACGAGCTGTTCACCGCGCCTTACCTGGAAACTTCCAATGCCACCTCTAGCGTCCAGGCCTCGTCTGCATATAGCTCGAAGGCTGCCTTGTACGGCCCGCCGCCCGGTTCAGAAGCGACACCCGCGAGCTTCGTCGCCTTCCGCGCTGCGTCTTCCCCGCGAACAACGGCCACGCACACCGGTTCACACAGCATGTCGGGCTCGTCGTATATTGACCCGTTGACGCCCTCGGCCGCGGACGTGTCGCAGTCGCACACGCCGAGCACGCCGACGACCATTGCAGCACCACCCGCGTCCGTCGAACCCGCGCAGCAGCAGGTGAATGTGGACCGCATCATTGAGCTTATCGCCCAGCGGATCGACGGTTTCTCGCCTGGGCGGGCGCGCGACATGGATCCCCCGCCCCAATACCCAGTTGACTAGCCTCGCTCGCCATCGTGCTCGGTTGTGCAGAGAAACAGCCATGTTCTCCCAGCGCGGCTTGTCCTACAATGCTCTGCCATCATCTTGGTATGTAGTATGCATTAATCCAGCCCTGGTGGTGCCGGCGGGCCGCCCGTACTCCTGCCCCTCGTTTCCCCAAACCCCGGTCTTTTACGTGCCCTATGTACTTATATGTAATATCAGATTTCTATCGCACGCCTGCTCGCATACCACCTCCGTGGTTGAGCTTCGAGCATGTTCTATATTATCGCCTGCTGCTGATCCTAGTGATCGATTGCCCATAGGTTTTACCGCGCATCAGCGTTCCATCGTTGCATGCCTTACACGCCCCGCTCTGCCATCGACGAGTGCTTGCTCAGTGACAACCTGGAGCGATGGACGCATGGGTCCAGAATCATCGGTATGTATAGAGTCGACGACCTTTCTGATGCACGCGTATCACTAGGTCAAAACAGTGTACAATGGGACTGCCCGTGCTGGACCATGAACGTGTTTGTGTAACAAATGAACCTGATATCCGGTCGTCCTCGGACTTGAGAACGACACAATCTGCAGACCTTTTCGGCGTGTGGGAACCCGTCGCCTATGTAGTTTATGATAATCTGCTGATAGAATCGAGAAGATTGCAGGAAGTCGAAGTAGCCATCTCAGAGCGCTGAACCCATGCATCGGTTGAAAATATAAGCTGGATTATCACGGGATGAGTATACAGGATGCTGGTACTATCGAGGCAGACGTGGAGGGCATAATGATACAGTAATGTGTATGACTATTGTTCGACTATATAATAGTGTACTATGCATCCAATCGGGTCATAATGTCCAATACAGTCCTCAACGGAGATGCTTCTTGAGCGCGTAAACGTTTTCGACTCGCACGTACGTCGGAATCCGAGCGTCCATCAACTCATTGCGCGCCTTCTCCTCGTACTCATTCACGAGGTCCTCTGGTAACCCGTTGCTTAGAAGCAGCGGACGGCCGGACTTTAGGAATGACTGAAAGACATTAAGTGTCGCAACGCAGCACAACTCCGCATAAACCACTCACCAGGACATCATCCCTGAACACGTTTGCTATCCGATTGAACCGACGCGTTTCCGAGTCGTTTCCCCTTCTCCATGGAGATGTCGGGAGCCAGAACTCGCGGTAAACTACTTCCTCATATGCGGGATTGTCCGACACCCATCGGTGGAGGTAATTCGCAGCATCAGGCTCGCCGCCACTTCGCTGCACGGCGATGTGGCAGAGATTCATCCACCGCGCGAGATACGAGTCCGCATTGTCTGTCAATATCGGCTTTCTGTCGGTGGTATATATCCGGAAATCGAACTCGGTGAGGTCGAGCAGGCCGCCAGGGCGAAGTGTCTGGGACATTTGATCGACCAGGCCTTGGTAGTCCCGGATCTGAGATGCAAATGAGCAGTTGCCAAATGCGGGAATGAGCCAGGAACGGAGATTGCGTGTCGATCAGCCAGATCTGTTCTCATGACGGCCCGGGACCGAGAACCAGCCGACACTCACCCCAGACGAGATAAGTCGTGCATGTACAACATTAAAATCGCCATAAAAGTGTTGTAGGCCGAGGTTGATATCGTCAACTTCGCTCCTAAGGGGCAGCTGTGTCAGGCACGTTTCAAACCAAGCCGGCAGACAGAGACAAACCTCAAGTTTTGTGGCATGTTCCTACGCATATAACCTGTCAATCAACGGCGACATGGACGACAAGGATGTGTTCTCACGGAGATTGCATGGGAACGAGATCCACTGCGACGGCCGAGCATTGTGGAAAGTCGCGCGCCACATCGAGTATCCTAGGGTCGTCAGGGTCAGAACGCTCTCGCGGGGATAAGGCACGCGACATACCAACTTCCGCTCCCACAGCCGAGGTCCACGCATGTTTTGGTTTCACCGGGTATGTCATCGGCCAATATGTGTTGCAGGGGTGGCGCATACTTGCCCATGACCTCCATAAACATTATGTGTTGCATGTCTGCGAGAAGATGAGGGATAGCAGTACAGCAAGTAGAGGGAACCGTACCAAGACGTTCAAACTCCTCGTCATCTGCAGGCAACCGGTAGACTTCTGAGTAGTTGTTCAGACCCCGGCCATATTCGTGTCGGTACGATGCAACGCGTAAGGAACTTGTCATGGAGTACGCGGAGGGTGCTGGTGAGCCCGAGCGCATTTCCCAGTCATACGAAGTCGCCGAGCTGGCCACACTGGGCGCGAAACGCGTAGAGACAGACATGACCGAGCTTGCGTCGCTCTGGTCGTCCTGGCTGTCGGATCTGGAGGTGGTGGACGACATGGCTGGGCGGTAGAAAGCAGTGCGCATTGTTCGTGTGAGCATTGAGTAGAGGGGGCACAGCGAGAGACGGTGGCAGGATTTATAGGCGAGAGCATCATGCGAACGGCGGAGGATGGCGCTGCCACCGACATCCGTAAGTAGTAGATCCGTAGAAATCGGATCCCACGTGGCGGGAGACGCTCCTGAAGATGATCGTTGATTGGACACAGCGCATCTCCGTCCGCCGCGCTGTTGATGGGGCAGTCGCCCTCCTGCCGACTTGAACCTGCCTTGCAACACAACTTCTATCATCTCCAGCCCTGTCCGTTTCCGACTCACGCCTGCTGCGCACTTATCCGTCCGTCAGAGCTCCCCTTCCTTACCACCGCACCCACCCCCCGCGATGCTCCGCCTGCCTTCCATACAATCTTCCTCCGAATTGGTTGTAAAACCAATCGGATATCCAGTACGAGCTTATTCACAAGACCCGTCTCCGCTCGGATATGTACATTTCCGATTGATGCTTATCCATTACCGCCATCTGTCTTTGATTTCGTGTGTTTTCATTCGGCAACGAAACGTTCTGGCCACCCGCCGCATGCGGATAGTCGCTCGCAGAAGTCCGCACTACGTCAGAGGTAAAGTAAAATGGCCACCAGTTGATTATACGCCACGGGTTGGATTGGTCTCCATACGCATTTGTCGCCAACGGCCCAGTACCTCATCTCCGTCAGACTCGTCTATTAGCTAAGCCGTATGTTTTCCACTTGTGTCTGAATTGCATACAGGGATGGAATTCCTGCCTACAGGCGGCGCCTGCTAACAAACAGGGAACCGCCGCGGTTCGTCCGTCCTCTCATGGCGTGATTCGTACTGCACTATTAAGGGCACGTCCGTGAATACTCACAGCACGCGGTGGATTTGTTCACGTTCACCGGTCTGCATCAAAACCAAGAGCGGCGCATATTTATGACGTGTCCAAATCCTGCAACATCGTTTTCGAGTGGCGACGTTGATGATCTTTCTCAAGCGGCGGCGGAACTCGGAGTTGCCTTTTGGCCCTCGGGAAGATGGTTTCCTGAAACCATATATATAGCGACGTGGCTCAGCGGCTCGCACGTCACTTTGGGAACAGTTCTCTCTTGTCCACATGCCACATGGTTGACGAGACCGAGTACGGCGAACGACCCTCGAACGCATGTCATTGAAATTCGACGGCGTGGTATACATACGAGGGTCCTGTGTACTTCCGCCGGCGATGGTTTCAACAATTTGCCTGGTCTATCGAGCGAATCGTATCGCTTAAGCACCGTCGCCGCAAAAGGCTATTTCACTGGTTCGTCGCAGGTCCCCCTCTATTGTGTCCGGGCGTGCAACACTCAACGACATCTCGTGTACGCAGCATCAGAGCCGCCTTCTCTTCGACATTTAGCGATACTCGCGACGGGAGCTCCGAGCTTCTCCAAAATCATTATCCAGCTTCGCGGCCCCACGCTGACCTGCGAACAACCGAGACATGCTTTCCTGCGCCCCACATCTGGCAGTATCGAGGGCGAGTGACCCGTGATCGCACTCGATCAGCTTGCGTCCATTTCGCGCGGGCCACTTTGCACACGCGAAACCGATGACTACTGTCTATACCTTATCACCATTCAGATCGGGCCCCAGCTTCGATTGCTCTAGCGGAGTGCTCTGCGTCGCCACTGCGGCGGTGCCTTGAGAACGTGGGGGCTCATAGGCAGTTGGGTGCCAAAGACATGTATATGCTTATCTGCTGGCTAGACCCCACTCCTTCGCTGTGTACAGGCCCAGAATGTGGGGTCGATGCATGTCTGCTCCACCATGCTCTTCACAGCGTTCGTGTTTGAATAGGTATGTACTATGCCTGAATCTGCTCAATTGTGCCCTGGCTCACCTAGCACGGTCCAGACCAGATAGTCTCCTCGTCTCGTATAGCACAGCAGATCCTCGTCGTATCATCGCCGGGACCGCCCATAACGCCGCCGCCTTGAATTGGCATTCCTGCGATGTCGACTTCCACACAGCGAACATCGGCACGGATCTCTCAGTATCTCCAGCCACGCATAGCGCGCCAGCGCACCCAGGCTGCCTTCGCGTCTTCGCGTTCCACCGTTGACAAAGCAGCAGCGGGCACCCACCAACGCAGCCGGAAGCCCGCTACGTAGTTCTGTAGGTACGTGCGTGTCCCCTTCCGGCCCGGACACGCGGCCGCGAGGCGTTGCCCCACTCGGAATCGGATCAAGGGCTCAGCGAGAAGACGATGGGAGGTGCTTGTGGTGGCGGACGACTGGGCCTGCTCCGAGGGCGCGGGCTGTGTTCTCCCAGCATCTGGACCGCTCTCACGGATAGGTTCGGGAAGCGTATATCCAATTTCGACATACATAGTAGGCGGGGATGCGAGTTCTGGCTCATTATCATCCGTGCGCGCTGGGCGTGCATCTGCCGCGCATCAGTTGCTTATGCTGGCGACAAACGCTGTGATATAGCACTGATGGGATGGTTCATGATTCAAGTTGTGCTGTTTACCGTTCACTTCACTCGAGTCCGATGGGTTGAGCGTGCATCTCGAGCGATGATACTGCTTATTTGCGGGGCGATAGGTTCCGGGAGTAAGATTGTTTGGCATGTGAGTTTATATGCGCTTTCCCTCGGAATGCAGCCGCTCATTTGTCGACAATGTTGCGCGCAGCTTTGCGAGGACCACATGGAGCGCCGGTGATTAGCTAACACCATGCATAACGAACAGGACAATAGCAGTGAACGCCTCGTGTAGCAGTGGTGTCGACCTCAGTTCGGCATGTGAGTCAATACACCTCCTATCCGGACACATCACAGACTCATCACCGTTTTTGTTGTGGTTCCGGTTTTGTCTTCCACGCATTGTCAGGACAGCCTCACTATCAGCGCATCATCAGCGCGTGCATGATGGCGGCAATGGTGTGCGTCGTGCTGCGTGACTTTCCTGACGCTCCATAAGCGGCTGTGGCGTGTTAGGTTTACCGAAGGTATGAATATGCTTGGCCAGAAGTGAAGACCGGATCTCAATACGGACGGTTTCTGGTATTGTTTCCACACGCTGTTCTATTACGGTGACTCCCGAGACAGAATGGAAGGAACTAACCATTAAACTTCAAAAACAATGCGACGCCTGCCACCAAAGTTGATGCAGCCTCCGCAGCACTGAACAATGTCGCGATTGTCCACTGCACCAGGCCTGTACCGACCCAGGTGCGAGATCTTATCAGAGTGAGTGTTAGTCCACACGGAGTACATACATGGAGAGGGAATTCTGCTGCGATCGACATACGGCCAAGCATTCCAGGTGTCATCAAGTACCGGCACGTCTTGTATGGAAGTCATCATAATGCGCTGTAGCGTGCTTTTACTCGACGTAAACGTGCCTGCAGGCACGATGATTGCTAGGACCATGTCGTTGGACTCGCGAGAAAACAAAGGTCTACGACAGGCAATAATGTCCCTGCTATTATGAATGGCATATTGTCGCTGACATCGCTTCAGGACCGTACTGATGTCGAATGGGTTAGGATTGAGGGAATCAAGTCCTGCTCTTCACATGCAGCACAGCCGCCGCCGATCTCATTTCGCCGACCGCAATTCCATTTCGCTTGCTAACGCTTAGCGTCGGTGCTCTATGTACCCGGATGTCTTCAATAACTCGGGCGGGACGAGAAGGTCTGACGATCATTTTAAAAGACGTACCAGTCCTCACAGAACATAGTTTCCTCAAGCCTCGAGTTGAAAAATGCCAGAGACCAAGGTATGCTCTGTTAGAGACATCTATGTGTGTTCTTGCAAATTGATGTTCATCCGTAGGGAACCTGTCGCTGCAAGACTGACTGTCACTGTCAGTCCACGACTTGCGGATGCAAGCCAAAGTGCGATTGCGCATCCACCTGTCACTGCAAGCCCGAGCACAACCCCGCCTGCGGTAATCCGCACGACGCCGTCGCATTCCTTCGGTCTTACAACACTTCGGTGCACGACCACTTTTACACCACGAACGCCGGGGAAATGGAGACAGCGATCACCAGCCTCGGGTACTCCTCTGAGGGCGATGCCTGCTACGTGTTCAAGACCCAGGTGGGCGCAACGATCCCGCTATACCGCACATACGACCCGACGGTCTACGACCACTTCTACACGACATCGCTAGAGGAGCGCAACGAGGCGGTCGCCAAGAACGGACACGTCGCTGAAGGCATCGCGGCGTACGTATATGGCACCCAAATCTGCGGCAGCATTCCCTTGTATCGCGTCGAGAATGCGAAGATTGCAGATCACTTCTACACCACGTCGCTGAGCGAGCGCAACAATGCCATCAGCTCGCTCGGATATGTAGACGAGGGCATCTCGTGTTACGTGTTGCCGGTCCCCGGGTCCTAAAAGGACATGCTACAAACGGGTGAGATAAGAAGTTGTCACAGTCACGAAACGTCACCACTCATATCTTACTCCTGACTGCTAGATGCATTACTAGCCCACATAAGAAAATCGCGTGGGGGCTTCGGAGATAGGCCTTTCCGAACTTGTCATTTTATTGTCAGGTGTTCGCGTATATGTCATATCGTGGCTGTGTTTTACATTCCTCTTGTAATTCATTTGAGACGATTGTTCGCCGATCTCTAGTATTGTTGAGCATCGCTTACACCGTGACGAGAGGCTCCGCTGGCGAGTCCGCAAGGTCGCGTGAACACTTGTATGCGGTCACATGACCGTGTTTTAAATGCGGACATCTCAATGAGACAGCGTCCGGATGAAGTCGGATTTCACCACCTTGGTAGAACATCAGTCGATCTATCCAGGATCTATCCGTGCATTCATACATCACTCAGCTGCGGAACACCACAAAGTCAATATTCCTGCCGCTTCAATCGGCAGTTCCGGAGCCTCCCCGTCGCTCAATGCTCGAAAGATCGCACGTATTGACTTGAAGGTGTCAGGCATGGCTGAAGGGAAATCACGTCTCAGAATTGGACAGAATGACGCGGAAATCGTTGCATTTCATCATGGATATCAGAGATAGCCCTGGGCCGAAGCCTACCACACTCGCTGCTAGCGAGTACTCGGACAGAACTCCCGGCCAACAGAAGGCCAAGACAACACACAATCAGGACCCAGGACCCGCATTCGATACTGGTACGGTAAAGCTGAAGAGAAATATGTAGCCAGCTCGCCGCCTACAGTTGCCCTATTCAGCAACACAATAATATGTCGAACTAGACAACCATAATGCAAGCAAAATGGTGTACGTCGAGTCCTGCCACATGAAATAGAAGCCTGAGAGTTCCCAATGGGTAAGGTCGTAAAGTTGACTTGATGGACTGCACCACTCGAGCTGCACTGAGCATCGCGGCCAAAGGGAAGTCCAAAAACTTCGTGCGCGGGGACTCGTGATGAGGTCAGGAAGGTCGCAACCCCGATATGAGCTGATTCCGCGCCAGTGTGAGCGGATTCCGCTGAATCAATGTAGCTGTCAAGCATTCCAAGCGTCGCTAGGAGTGGGCATATGCGGCATGGAAGAGGTCGCGTAACCGGTGAATGATCTCACCGGATGGATAGACAGACCACTGACTAGGCGAACAGGTGTCTGTGACTACATACTGGTGAGGCCGCTGCCAGTAGTACACAGGCACCGTTCCTTGCAGGGACGAAACTTGCGACCAATAGGCCGAGGTAAACCGATACGCTAGACATGACCAACGCGCTTCGACGCGTTGTACGTACTTTACTGCGGGGCGGCCACTCATCAGTCATGAGATCAACGGTAGTCTTGAAGAGAACACGTCAGTATGTGGACTGGTATTCCATGTTGTGGCTCCTCTCTTCGATTCAATGACCCCCGGGATTCAGCATGTACCGACGTCGCTAGCGACTGCCAAGCATAGCCAGAGAGCCGCCTAGAATGAATAAAAGGCGGGTCGTCGGTGCAGGAATGTCATCAGTCCCCCAAGACTCGAGTCTAGATATGCCTGAAACCAAAGTACGCAATGACAACTTTACCTTTCGATCTTTCACTGACATATGTAAGTAGGAAGCTTGCCGCTGCAAGACCGACTGCAACTGCCACTCGGCTGGCTGCGAATGCAAGCCGAAGTGTGGTTGTGACTCTGGTTGCCACTGCAAACCCAAACCCAAGCCCGATCCCGCCTGTGGCAATCCCCACGACGCTGTCCCCTTCCTTCGCGCTTACAGTGCGTCGGCGACCGACCACTTCTACACTACCGATGCGGCCGAGATGGAACATGCTGTGGCCTCGCTCGGCTACGTAGCTGAGGGCAACGCCGGCTACGTCTTTCTGACCCAGGTGGGGGCGACGATCCCGCTCTACCGCCTGTACAACGCGGCTGGCACAGACCACTTCTACACGACATCCGAGTCGGAGAAGAACACGGCGGTCGCCAGCGATGGTTATGTGTTCGAAAGCATTATAGCCTATGTGTACAGTTCGCAGATCTGCGACAGCATCCCGCTCTATCGCCTCGACAACTATCCTATCATCGACCATTTCTACACCACATCGGCGAGCGAGAGGGACAACGCAATCGCGAAGGATGGCTATACGTCGGAGGGCATCGCATGCTACGTGCTGCCGACCAAAGCTTGAAGTCGAGGGAACAGGCGAGCGAGATTATCCAGCCTATTAGCTATTAGCGATTACACTGACGAAGCTCTTCTGTTCAGTACATAAACATATTCAACGTTGAATGTCTTGAACTCTTGTCGAGAGTTTGTAGTACTTTCAGCGGATTTATTTCCAGCACGCAGTTCCATTTTCTGCCTTGTGATGAATCTTCGATGAATATGATTTTGTTGCGACATAAGTCGGTCCTGCCTGGCTCCCCCCATATTCCGATTTTCGATTATACGAGGTCACCAGCCATATATCGCGACGAACGTCAACGACAGCTCGTCGCCTCATGTGAGCCTGACAAGAAATCGGCTTGTTGACGAGGTGAAATAAACACAGTCAGCAATTATTCCAATAGAAATGGCCTGCGTCAACTACGAGACTACATCGCCCATGTCAGGGGTCGGGTTACGCGTGATGCACGAGTAGTCTTCACTTCGTTCCAGCTTCTAATCTATGGATCAAGATGACCGTACGGCGGATGGTCAGAGTCAATGGATCAAGACAACGGTGATAGGCTCATGCTTAGTACGACCACATGGAAGCAAACAAAATGGGGGACAGATCTATTGACATGAGTCATCACAGTTAGCAATTCACCTTCGTGTTTGTACGTCTCTGAAGACCGACGGTGGCACCGGAAATTCCGTGTCCTCGCGGTGTCGCGATCACGTGCATCTTCACTGTTCTTTTATATATATTTAAATTCGACGGGTTTATACTCCATACAAGCATCTTCACTGTTCACATCTAATCCGGGGGCGCCGCGGACAGCAGCTCCTGTTTCCTTTAGCCATGGTACCAATTCTCAATTTCCAACACTTGCAATTCTGTGGTTATTGTTGAAAAGAACAGACTATGGATAAGCTTCTTTACGTCGGAGCGTGATTTATCAATATCTTGGGACCGGCGACGACCTTCAGCCTAGTAGCTTTTCTGGTTATCCTCGTTGAGATTGACCAATGGAGTGCTTGTGAGTCGACAGCCACATCTCCTACGGAATTACTCGTAACATGCCCATTTAGTGGGTGGCAGCTGCGACATCATCCTTTTCATTAGGACAACAGAAATGGAGCAGCTCTCCTAAGCCTCAAAATCATGCCAATGCCAGATAATTTGGCAACACTAAAAGTTCGTTGGCTTCTGTTCTCGGACGGTGGAGGCAACCGGATTGATACAATGATCTACTATCAGACCCAGGAAGTTTATCATCTCGTTAGGCTGCTCATGTTGATCGCACCTATATAGTCGACTGCATTGCAGCAAATTCAAGATGTCTCTCTTGCAGGGACTCGTGTAGTGGTGAGGTTCCTAGAACCGCTGCAAAGTCCGCAAAGTCGCGTAAACATCTGTATGCGATCACATGACGATATTTTGCACGCGGACATCCAGACATTGTCTGGATGAAATCGAATCACACCATCTTGGTACAATATCCATCGGTCTACCCGTGCATACACACAACATTCATCTGCGGGCAACCACTGAAAATCAGTAGGTCTGCCGCTTCAGTCTAGAGCCTGTTCGTCGCTAAATATACAAAATATCGCACGTAATGACTTGAAGGTGTCAGGCAAGCCGGAACGACCCCGCACGAAGGACCAAGGTCAAAGGGAAGTCACGTTAAAACATTGGACTGCACCGTGCGGAATGTCATTGCGCCGCACCATTGATATCAAAAACAGCCTAGGTCGAAGCCTATCACGCTCGTTGCGAGCGAGTGCTCGGAAAGACTTCTGGCCAGCAGAAGGCCTAAGCAACATACAACCAGGACCCAGGCCCGTATTCGATACTGATACGAACAAACCGAAGAAAATTATGTAGCCAACTCATCGCCTATAGTCCCCCTATCTAGCAACACATTAATAGGGCGGTAAACATCGAGTCCTGTCACACGAAATAGAAGCTTGAGAGCTTTCAACGGGTAAGGTCGTAATATGTATTCCCCGGACTGCACCACTCGAACTTCACTGAGCATCGCGGCCAAAGGAAGGTCCATATTTTCGCGCGGGCGGACCCGTGATGAGGTCAGGAAGATCGCAGCCCCGATATGAGCTGGTTCTGCGCCAGTGTGAGCGGATTTGACTGAACTCAATATAGCCATCAATCATTCCAAGCGCTGCTAGGAGTGGGCACATGCAGCATGGAAGGGGTCGCGTAACCGGTGAATGATCTCACCGGATGGATAAAAAGACCACTGACTAGGCGAACAGGTTCTGTGACTAAATGCTGGTGAGGCCGTTGCCAGTAGCACACAGGCACCGTTCCTTGCAGGGACGAAGCTTGCGACCAATAGGCCGAGGTTGGCCGATACGCTAATCATGGCCAATGTACGTCGACGTGTTGTGCGTACTTCACTATGGACGGCCACACATCAGTCAAGAGATCAGTGATGGTCCTGAGGGGAATACGTCACGTCTGTCTATGGGCCACTCTTCCATGTTGTGGTTCCTTCTTCGATTCATTGACCACCCGGGCTCAGCATGTACCGACATCCCTAGCGACTGCTAAGCGTAGCCAGAGAGCCGCCCGGGGTGAATAAAAGGTGGGTCGTCGGCGCAGGAATGTCATCAGTTCCCCAATACTCGAGTCTAGACATGACTGTACGCAATGACAAGTCTCCCTTTCACCCTTTTACTAACATATGTGAGCAGGACACCTGCCGCTGCAAGACCGAATGCAACTGCCCTTCGGATGGCTGTCAATGCGCGCCGAAGTGTGGTTGTGACTCTGGTTCCCACTGTAAACCCAAGCCGGATCCCGCATGTGGCAACCCTCACGACGCTATCCCTTTCCTTCGCGCCTACAATCCGAAGTGGACCGATCATTTCTACACTACCGATGCTGCCGAGATGAAACACGCCGTGGCTGACCTCGGCTTCACGGCCGAGGGCAATGCCGGCTACGTCTTCAAGACCCAGGTGGGGGCGACGATCCCGCTCTACCGCCTGTACCAGCCGACGGCCCTAGACCATTTCTACACGACATCCGAGTTGGAGAAGGACACGGCCGTCGCCAAGGATGGCTATGTTTTCGAGAGCATCATAGCCTATGTGTACGATTCGCAGATCTGCGGCAGCATCCCGCTCTACCGCCTCTATAACGCTGCCGTCATCGACCATTTCTACACCATATCGGCGAGCGAGAGGGTGAACGCAGCCAAGTCGGATGGCTATACGGAAGAGGGCATCGCCTGTTACGTGTTGCCAGACAAAGCTTGAAATCAAATCGATAGGCGAGCGAAGTTATTTGGCTCATTAATGCTTTCACTGACGAAACGTCGTGTTCTTCTGTGCAGTACGTACGCATATTCAGGGTTGAATGTCTTGAACTCTCGTCGAGAGTGTTAAGTACTTGAGGAGATGTTCTCAGCATGCGGTTCCGCTTACTGTCCTTTGGCGTATCCCGTGAATATGATTTGTTACCACATGAGTCGGCACTTCCTAGCTCTCTCCATGCCACATTTCTCGATGATACGAAGCCGGCCATATATCTCGATGGTCATCAACGACAGCTCGCAGCCTCATGTCAACCCCACAAGAAAACAGCTTCTGAACGAGGTAAAACAAACAGTCAGAATGGTTGGGATAGAAACGTAATGCCTTGCGTCAACTATATACACCCAATTGACTCAGTTGGGATTTCTCAAAATACAGTAATGTACCTCCACATACACGTTATCGTCATTTCCCGTAAGAGTCTTCTAGCGAATCGATCTACGATACAGATATAAGATTCACTGGGCTCCTGGCACAATCCATGGCTGTACAGCACAATATAACGGAGGATGATTCAGTTGTTAGCTCGACGATCACAAACACCGCGGCGTTCGGGCGGTGACCTGGGAATGTGGAACATAAACCGCCCTGTCGTATGTCTACGCGTACATGCGCTGTAGAACGTTCATGTGTCATCCGGGAAGCCTCGGCGTTGGTGGTAAACACACTTTGTGCCAAGAGCTCGTTGCGAAGGGCTTTGCGTATTGTATATAACGGAGGAAGGGCTTTGCCATGAATGTTGAACAGAGCAACCTCTCCTAGACTTATGACCGAAATACATAACCGAGCATAATCACAATGTCAGTCAATGTTTACCTGACTCGTCAGCTCGGTGCCAATGGCCCCATCATTAGCACGATTGGGTTCAGAGCCATGGGTGAGTCTACCTCCGTACAGAATGCTAGGGAGCATATGATATTCCCGGTTTCAGCGATGTATTGTATGCGAAGGCGGACAAAGAGGAAGTGTTGGAACAACCGGGCGAGCACATACCCGAGTTCCGGCTCGCCGACGTGCCACGCTGCAGCACGCTGTTACTGTACCTGGTTCGTACCTTACTTAGATAAGGAATACCTTTATTAGGTCGACTTCTCGCATGTATCTGCCTCGCGCGTTTGCCTCCCCGCCCCGAGGACGAGACAAACCGCTTCGCAATTTGATCCTTTCCCGCGACGCCCGCTTCCATATACCCTCGCGCTCGCTCATTTACGCCCGACGCCGACGCTCGTTTTTACAACGCCGCCGACCGTGGCGTCAACGTTTGAGACATGCCACACATGCGTGGCGCTCCCTTTCGCCCGCCTCTACCAAGACGGTCGATCGCGCCATTGTTGATGTCGATGAGCGCTAGGAGCGATTGCAGGTGAACATTGAACAGATAATTTGAGGGTGGCTCACAAGGGGTTCGGGGCGCGGAAATCTTCCCTCCGACCGAATTCAGTGCCGTCGATTCGCGTCCCTACCATGTCGACCCCGAAGTTCCAATGGGGTGTGTGTAATTTGCATGGAAAAGCGTGACGTGCGTGATGTTGACATCAAGGTCAACACTGTCAGTTGTGATGAAGAAGCAACGGCTGTACGTCGAGAAAGAAAAAATCAAGTACATCGGCTCGCAGCGTCGATGTCTTGAAGAGAGCTAAGGCCGTCCCTGGGGTTCGAGACAAACTCATTGCGTGTCAAATGGAGTATAGACCCTTTACGCTGGATATCGAGACTTCAAGCTTCAAGCTTCAGGCCTTCAGAATGTGCCAAGACAGCACGACAATTTGGCAGGATTAAGTCACCGGAAGACTTCGAAGACGGTGACATCCGCAAGACTATGCCGCACTTCTCTGCGGAGCACTTCCAGAACAACCTGATGCTCGTGAACTCGTTTAAACCCGTTGCGGCAAGGTGCAGAGCAACTTCGAGCGCGCAGATCGCACTCGCGTGGATCCTTGCGGAATATCCCGACTATACCAATCTCGGGCGTCTGGAGAACGTGAAGAGCGCAGAAATCATGCTGAACGATGACTCGGACGTAAAACTCTGCACATGGAGATGAATGGTGCTGACATGAAGGGTGAACGTTACCCGACGTGGTTCTTCGCCCTGATGCAAGACGGCTGCATTCCACCGAGTGAGTGGTAAAGGACGCTTCGAATCTAGCACAACCTCCTTTACAGTGTCTCTTCCGACTGGCAAAGCGGTGATAATGAATAACGCATCGAGGACATCGAACTTCGGCCGCACCATATCGAATCTGTACAATTATAGATGTTTTCAACTCTCCAGATAGCTGTTGACAAGAACTGCATCCTCGATCAGGAAACGGGTTGCACGTAACATATGACAAGTGAAAACTCACCTCATCCACTCCGTGAGTTGTACTTGATGCTCATCGTTGGTCAATTCAATTGATACAAATGCAGGACGTTTCACAGGCAAGTAGCAGCAGCAAGTCGGAGCGTACAATGGTGAGGTTTCTGGAAAGCACTACTATTTGATGATGTATAGACAGCCTGGACAGTGTCCCGGGTTAGATTCAGGTGGCCAATATTGGTAACGCACACAGATCGATCATTGACCGGAAGACAAGGTTCACCGCTCCTTCAAAAGGCATACAACGATTGTTACTCATCGTTGCAGTACTGTCGGGTTGTGACACGGGCAATGAAAATTAATCGAGGTACGCGATCATTGTGAGCGTCACTTCTCTTGAGGAGAGACTGACGTTCACCAAAACAGCTCCACATCCTCCGGGGATATTAAGCACCGACGTCATAAAGCGCGGCAATAGTGTAGCCCCTTTTGGCTGCATAGACGTTGAACGTTCATGCATGGACGCGTCTTGTCAAGAACATGTGCAACCTTTTGCGATGGAAGACTCGATATACTGGCGATCAGGGACCCATCGTGTAATGAAACGCAGATCCTGACTTTCTGGAAGTCGGAGGTAAGGAGAGCCCGTAGCTACAAGTCCAGCTGCCAGACGACCGTGGATCTGGTTTCAGAGAGTCCAGGAGTGTTTAGGCATTCAGTCTTACAATATATATAAAGGCCGGGGTGTGGTCTCAGCTTTCCTCGCTCCGCATCCCGAGAAACAACATGTCGATTACCCAGGTATGTTGTACCGACTTGCATTCTACATACACCGCTCTGACACTCTTCCCGACATGGGCTTTGCAGAGTCTCGAATGGTCGTCGTGCGGCAATGCCACCTACGCCGCTCCCTTCAATGGCGGATACAATGCACAAGTACATACGCACTACTACACTACCACCGTCGCCCTGATGGAGGATGCCCTTGTTAATGAAGGCTACACCTCGACAGGCGACGCCGGCTGGGCCTTCACGACCCAGGTGGCATCGACGCTCCCGTTCTACCGCCTTTAGAACCCTGCGACTTATGACGACTTGTTCACCATCAGCGAGACGGAGCGGGAGGAGGCCATCGCGAACGGCTACGTGTTCGAGAACATAGCAGCCTATGTCTATGCGACACAGATCTGCAGCAGCATCCCGCTCTACCGCCTCTATCAGCCTGTGCTCCACGACCATTTCTATACCATCGACCCAACCGAGGTCCACACCACGGCGACGACGCAAAATTATGTAGAGGAGGGGATCGCATGTTACGTTCTGCCGGACCCGACCGACTAATTAGCAAAATTAAGCAGGTGAGTTCAGCACTCTGCTATGAGATCCGCTGTCGCCGCTAACGCTGATTCAATCTATTAGCCATACGTTCAAGAGTTCGCGCTCGGAGAACGTTCTCAATTGTCTTGTGCCATGCTCGGAGATTAAATTGTCGGCAGAACCGCCGTTGACTCTATCGTACAAAGCTCTGATGTATAAACAGTACTCGGATACCGAATAGTGTCGCTGAAATGTATTTGCGGCTTTGAGCTTGCATTCAAAGTCGCGTGGCCGTGTTCTTTTGACGATTTGTGAAGTAGCCCGTTACGTCTAGGACGTTGTTGAACTGTAGTCTGCCACTGCATGATACCCGAGGGAGCGTTACCTCCTTACACAGTAAACGTACACCGGATTGTCGCTTTTGTAGAGAATGCACATCACACTGGTAAGCTGCATGTTCATTTCGACGAAAGACCCGCGTCAGCGCTTCTCGAGAGTCTCAAATCTACTTCATTCGTCTTCTTGAGTCAGCGGCGGCGACTCCTTCGCCAATTTTTTCTTCTATTAGGGCGCATCTTCGTCAAGAGTATGCCGCGCTTCTCTGCGGAAGATCTCCGGAATAGCCTGATATTTGTTGTTGTCACATTCACAACTAGCGCAACGAGTGCGCATATTGCACTCGCGTGGATCTTCGGGGAACACCCGGATTTCGTACCAATCCCGAACACCCAGAGCGTAAACATTTGTGCTGACGGCTGAGGACATAAAGACCCTGCGCAAGGCGGTGAACAGTGCTGATATAAAGAGCGACCGTTGCTCAACGCAGCTTTTCGCTCTGGTGCAGGACGACTGTATTCCACTGAGTGAGGAGAAAGAGGAGTGAGCATTCGTGCCTCACAATCGCATTGAGTATGATGTCCGCGTTTGCGATGTTTGGTCTTTGCAAGGCGGGTCAAGATCACCGAAGTTCGGCCCTGCCGTACCGACCGATGTAATTCATTGGTACACAACTTCGCTACTGCAGGTGATTAGTAGCTATTGGCGAGACTACATCGCCCATGTAAGGAGTCGGGTTATACATGATACACGAGTAACCTTCACTTCGTTCCGGCTGCCATGGACCAAGATGACCGTACGGCGGATGGTCAGAGCCAATGGATGAAGACAATGGTGCATGGCCTAAGCTTACGACCACACGGGAGCAAACGAAATGAGGCTCACTCTACAGCACAAGTCATCGCAATTGAAAACTCACCTGGGTTTCTTGTACATGGTGCGTCTCGAGTACTTCGTTCCATCTCTGAAGCTCTGAAGTTCTGAAGCTCTGAAGATCGGACAGTGGCACCGGAAATTCCTCAGGAAAGCGCGGTGTCGCGATCACGTGCGGTTTCACTGTTCGCATCCAACGGGACGCCGCGGACAGCAGTTTTTCCTTGAGCCTTGTCATTGTCAGTGATGGTGCAGTAATTTCCAACTTCCTGTGTAGTCTGCGTTGCTAACAATTAACGGACATGGATGACAGTCGATCCACATATAGTTCTCATTGAAACGAACAAACTATAGACAGCCTTTTTTGAGTTGGAGCGTGGCTCATCCGAAATAGCTTGGGGCCCGCGACGACCGGAAGCTAGTAAGTCAGCCTCCTAGTAGCTTTCCTGGCTTCACCAATGGAGTATTTGTGAGTCGATGGCCACACCTCCTACGAAATCACTAGTAACTACCAAATAGGAGCCGTAACATGCCCGTTTAGTAGGTGGCGGTTGCGCTATCATCCTTCTCATCAGGACAGCAGGAATGGAGCAGCTCTCCGGATCTTAAGCCCTAAAGTGTCAATGCCAAGTGATTTGGCGTCGCTACAGATTTCGGCTTATGTTATTGAATAGTGGAGGCAAACGGGCTGATGCAACGATTTACTATTAGGCCGGGACTGTTTCTCAATCCACTGGCCCCTCAAGTTTATCGTACTTATATGGCCAGCTGTATTGCAGAAAATATAAGACGTCTCCCATCCAGAGAGCGTCGTAAAGTAACCCTTACAGCGGTGAGGTTCCTGGAAAACAGTATCCGATAACATTCGGCCAGCCTGAACAGTGCGCTGGATAAAGTATCTAACATTAGAGATGAACACGATACTTTCATGGACAGGAGGACAAGTTTACAATGCGTTTGAGGGCCATTACGATCCTGATTCATTGTTACAATTCTGTCAGGTCATGCCATGAGCAATGATTATTTAGACATTGATCTGTAACTGTGAGCATGACCTACATTGTTCGAGGAGAGGCTGACGTTCACTGATGCAGCTCTGTCGACTCTACGTCCTCGGAGGACTTCAAGCACCGACATAATGAGATCTTTGGCACTAAGTCACTCAAGTCAGTTTGCCTCTTTGTAATATGATGGTTGGTGCGAGACCGAGTGCCACCGCATTGGCTGCATTGCCGTTTATGCAAATGTCTCGTCGGGAACTCGTATTTATTCAGACGACTCGGAGCCGATGAGCGCAGCTGTATCATGTCGTGAACGCGGATACTGTATACTGCATTCCTGGATGTCAGAGGAGGGCGAGAGGTGACTACAGTGGCAAGCGAAACACGCCCATTCAATGCCTTGGAAAAGGGCCCGACTGTCACTAATCGGCATGCACTGTCTCATAGATTTCAAGAGTGTCTAGGCGTTCAGTCTTACGCTAGATATAAAGGCTGCGGTGTGGTCTCGGCTTTCCTCATCCCCCGCATCCCGAGAAACAAGATGTCGATTACCCAGGTGTGTTCCGCCGATTTACTCATGACCTGCACCCCTTTGACATTTTGTCTGACGACGGTCTCTTAGAGTGTCGAGTGGTCGTCGTGCGCCAATGCAGCCCACTCAGTTCCCCTCCTTACCGCTTACAATCCAGAATAAACAGACAACTACTATTCCATCAATTCCACCGATATGGAGGAACAGGTCCGCCTATACGGCTATCAGTCGCGGGGCCACGTCGGCGGGGCCTTCATGATCCAGGTTGGGGCGACGGTTCCGCTGTACCACCTGAAATATTACTCGTCGGCGACCGGGAACGATAATTTCTACACGACGAACGCGACAGAGCGGGACGAGTTTACCACGCAAAAAGGCTACACGGACCAAGGCGTAGCGGCATATGTCTACGAGACACAGATCTGCGGCAGCGTCCCCCTCTTGCGCTCCTACAATCCCGTGGTCGTGGACCACTTCTATACCAACAATCGAACCGAAGACCGCATCGTGTCGACAACGCGGAGCTATGTACAGGAGGGGATTCAATGCTACGTTGTGCCCGACCTGAGGGTTGGCGAAGACTGGGAAGGTGAGTTCAACATTCTGCCGTGAGATCCGCTGTCACTGCTAATGCCGATTTGATCTGTTCGCTATGCGCTTAGGGACTCGGGGTTGAAGGTGTTCCAAATTATCTTGTGCTGTGCTCGGATAATATCTTGTGTGCGAAATTGTCGCCTTCTCCGTTCATGGACCTTCATGTATAGACAGACAAAGGTGATTCAAATGAAGCGTCGTTGAGATTCTTCCGGCTTTGAACGGATAATTGTAGTTGTATATTCCTACTCTGACGACGATCAGCAGGGGCACGTCCTGGCGTCCAGAAGGCAGTTGAAGTACAGTCTGGCATTGCATAGTGCTCAAGAAAGCGCCACCTTTTTGCACAAGAGATGCACATTGACGCTTTCGCAAAAAGAAGTGCATATGATACAGATGTGTTACACATCTTCCAAAATACATAAAGTCCGCAGAGACATCTTCATTCCTGACGAGCGTCAGCGCTTCTTGAGAGCTTCAAACCTCTTTGCCAGTGCCTCGAACTCGTCTTCTTGCGGTGGCGGCAGCTCCTCCTCCGCTGGCTTCGCCTTCTCTGGGGGTGCATCTTCGTCCTCCGTTGGCGGCAGCTCAGGGAGCTTCGGCGTCCGAACGCCCGCGCTCCTTGCTTCCGCCGAGATGGCAGCAGCGTCTACAGGCAGAGGGCTGGACGAGCGTTTCTCTTTTGCGGGTTCCTACAGGGTTCATCAATCGGGGTGTTTCCATGGCCAGTCTGGCGCTTCTGACCTTCACATCTCCATCACCGTCGTCGTCGTCTCCCTCAGCCGCCGGAGCGGCGGGAGGGGCCCAGTTAACGCCGTACCCCTTCGCTATCTCCGACAAGTACGCATCTACCAGCTCTGATGACGGTGTAAACACGTTCAGCTTCTTCGCAATCTGCCCACGAAGTCAGGATACAAGAGTTGATTTATGACGGCGCCGGAGGACCACGCACCCGGTCGCTGACGCAGTTGTCGCGATTCTCCATCACTGCAATAGAGAAGTCACGACCGTATTTGTGCATGAGCATGTCCCTAAGGATGTGCAGCTCTGTTCATCACGAATCAGACGTCAGGGTGTCGTCAGCATCGTCCGTGATACACCGGGGGTCGAGTGCTGCTGACCTTTGAGTTCTGTCCGTGGCGCAGCGTATATCACGCTGCAGACGCCTTCACTGACACCGGGATCTGGCTCACGGGTACTGTTAAATGTAGAGGCGGGTCGTAAGGTGTCATAAGACGGGTATCATGCAAGGATAGACGCACTTCTGATCCAGGAGCCCAAACCGGGAGTTCAAGAGCTCGCAGTAGAGCTCGAGAAGCTCAAGGAGCTCAACGTAGATATCTTCATGAATGACTGAGGCAGGGTCAAGCGTTCTGATACATTGTGGTGAATGGGCAGACGTACTATTCTCGACCTTGATCCTTGCGGTCTCAATCTTCTCCTTCTCCAAAAGCAGTGCAATGTCCCGTCTCGCGGCCTTTGCCTGTGCGGTCTTCTTCTCCTGCAGTGTGCGCAGCCTCTGCACGGCCAATCTGCAAGCCGGCTGGATCAGAGTAGGTAGTAGAACGCCGCGACGGGTGAGTGTACCGGAGCTGGACCTGTACAGCCTGTGGTAAGATTTGCGTGTGCAATGATTACTACTACGGCTCGCCTTGGCCTTTGCTGAAACCCACGGAGCCATGCTTGAGTTGGTAGATGAGGAACACGGGCTGCTGAAGCCTCAATTGGATCGGTTACGCCATCCCGATCACGATTCGGCGTTTGCCGGAGTGATCTCGATGTGAGGAAGCGCTTTGATCCCACCGTCGCCATCTCACATTTCATTCTGCACCTCTTTATCTCCATTCCCCACCCCCACATGTACATCTGCCGGACACCGTCCACAATTTATCATCTAGCGGCTTTCTTACATCTAATAAACATTGAATCTATCAATGGCCACAGGAGCACTGAGTCTTCGATACACATGACCACCGCGTGAGACACATGGGTCCAGACGGTCGTACATCAACAGCACGTCTATACATCGTTGAGGCATGCAGGAGCCCACGAGGGGATGGTTCTATATCTGCGGATGCGTATGTTGCTCTACCTACGTTTGGCTGATCACGCGCACGGGCTCACCTGTGATAGGCAGTGTTCTTCGTAACTGATGAAGACAGAGAAACAACACTGGGATCTTGCCTCCTGCATATTCCCTCGGATCGTGAGAACGGCTTCTTGCCGTAGCACCCCACTGAACGCGCTGCAGATAAGCTCGTGTCTATCGACAGCAGTGTGTCTGAATGTGGACAGCTTGGGCAGATCCAGAGATATCTCATTGAAGCCGTTTTAGCTACAGTGTGTGATACTCATTTTTTCCTGCGGCGTATGCACCGAGTCTGACATCACGAGTAAGCCTCTGACGCAATAGATTTGATTGCCACTGCATTGTCCCAGCAACTGCTGCGATCCGGTGTGCGTATGAAATAGCATGTCAACACTCCAAGATCCGGAACATCTGGTGCGCCCGCATACATACCGATCCTAAGGCTTAGTCGAGTGTAACTATACGCCATTGTCACGGTGATATTCCGAAAACCATGATGTTCCCGGCGGCCCATGCCCCACTGCACCTGATGGTTTGTAGTATTCGAATGCTTCAATCAGGTGTTGATGTATCGGGCAGCCGTAGTAAAGCTGTGTATTCTCTTTGAAGATTGTCTACTCATCCTCACTTGCAAGTGTCTGTCTATGCACCCCTCAATGACGGCTTGCTCTCCGGAGACACGAATTGGACGCGGCACAACGCGGCATTGCGACAAGACAAAAACGCGCTAGCCTCGATCAACGGTTCCTAGATTTCTCTGCGATCAGGTCCGCGAGCCGCCAAGATCAGTGATGGTTGCAATCCTCCCGCGGATTATCTACGCCGTCCGGTCTGGACACTTTCAGCCACCGGAAGAATAAGCCTCGAGTCCAATTCCCGGTGACTGTCCGGCTTCTTCTCTCCCCTGCGCTCGTACACCGCCTGTCCGCACAGTGCTATGCGCTGTGCATGCACCTCGGTCCTCTGACTGCCCGGCGGATTCGATTGTTGAGTAGACCTCCGACCATCGCCCCAGACCCGACAGCCCGGCGCCTGCGTTCCACCAAATGGCTGCTGTCTCGCGCGCACAGTCCTTGCGGCGAGGCGGTCCACTGCCCCGTCTGTGGATCGATTCATCACTGTCCAGCTACCGCAAAGCATTATGTTCTCCGTCGTCCTCATTGCCTTCTGCTCATACGAGCGACGCTACGACTATGGCTGACACGCCGTTCAGCCCTGAAGTCTTCCATGTTCTGTGCATGTATGACTTCGACGCGGAGGATCCGGACCAGTTGTCATTCAGGAAGAACGACGTCCTCGACGTTGTGAAGCGCGAGGAGACGGTAGGTGTCTGTGATCCACTTGTGCTAAACCTAAAGACCGACTTCGCCGATTGTGCAGGGATGGTGGGCTGCCGCCCGGCCAGGGGATGATCGTGTGGGATGGATACCCAGCTCATTCGTAGAACCGATTTCCGAGACGGTGGCGCACAAACTGCGGTCCTCCTGCAAGGAAACCGGGGTGCGCGACGAAATGCTCCACAGCCCAGCGGGCCTGCCAAGTGGGCATCATATGTTTGTGGCCTCTCCAGCAACAGAGATGAGCTACAACTGGCTTACGGAAAGCGATCAGGTCCGTGCCTTTGTTCAATGAATCTCGGTTGCATCTCATATCATTCCAGGCGCCTGTTATCAAGCTCTTTACGGGCTCCGACGTCAAAGAAGCTGCGTCGATCTTCAGCCCGCTCGTCCCGCCCCACGAAGGCATCGATGGCTTGCTTTCCGACTCTGAAATCTCGCCCAGTGGGGGTGCTGGTCCTAGCAAGATAGACATGCAGCTTCCGCAACCCGCGCGAGAGAAGGTCGTCCCAACGCCAACAAGGAAGAAGTCCAGTCCGAAGCTGAAGCCGTCCCCCATCTCGGAGCGGCACTCGGTGCCCGTCGACCGTCACCTGGAGTTGAAGGAGACGGAGCATATACGAAGCTACTCGGACCCTGCCAGCACTCCCGCTGTGAGCCGACACCTCCGCCGCCGGCCGGTGCTCATCGACGATCGGTCTTCGCTGAGTCGGCTGACGGTGATGTTCGAGTCGAAGTCGGTGGAGGAGCTGGACAACTTCCTATGCAGTCCCGCGATGTCCGAATCGCTGGATTCGCTGGCGAGCGCGGGCGCGGTGAAATCCCTCCCGGGGTTGCTAGAGCAAAGCGAAGACGATGAGAATAGCATGCAGCAGGTCATATCGCCTTGCAGCGCCGCAGCGCCTGTGACGCCGGAGTCGCTGGTCGACATTTATCATGAGCTACAGCGAAGGGACGACGGGAGCGTCATTGCCGGATCCCTCCGCGCTCTGCTGAAACACCTCGCTGATGACGCTGTCGGTGAGTTGACGGGTCGACTAATAGGCAGAATGACGAGGGCAACTGACAAGGCGCGTAGATCCTGCTGTCCAGCGCAGGTTCCAGCGAGTGTTTCTCATGACCTTCAACACGTTCGCCACGTCAGATGAGGTTTTCATATCTCTCCTGAGCCGCTTCTACATGAGTCAGCCCGAGGGCTCTCGTCAACAAGCACTCGAGCCATCACAAAGACGCGTTCTCGAGGTCTTCAGGCTGTGGTATGAGGAGTATGGCATGCTTCGAGACGATCCTCATATAGTCCATCGTCTGGTCGACTTCCTCGCATCTGTCCGCTCGTCGTACCCTTTTGCGTACCAGGCGCATGCAATGCTCGAACATCTGCAGCGGCAGGTGAGTATTCTAGTCGTTAACACGCGACATCATGTTAACACAAGCCCAGGGTGTTGTTGAGCCGTCTACATTCAATCCACCATCGGTCAGACGGAAGAAGCGCAAGGCATCGAAGAGTGATTTCGTGCGGATGGAGCCAACGCTGGTCGCGCGTTTCTTGTGCCTCTATGAACACAGGCTGTATGCCAGGATTCGGCCAAGAGAATGTCTCAATTGGATCAAACGTGGCGTCGGTGACGCTGCCCCCAATCTATCTGCCTTCCTCGCGACAAAGGACCGACTCGCAGCTTGGGTGAAATCCAGCATCTTGAATGTGGAGGCTTTCGGCAGAAAGGCCGAAACACTTAACTTCTGGATCAAAGTAGCAGAGGTAGGGCAGATGCTTGGTTGGTTGATGATGTAGCTCATGCACTACCGCAGGCGTGCAAATTTCTGGGCAATTTATCCTCTATGGGCGCCATCGCTGCTGGGCTCTCGGATCCTTCCGTTGCCGGGTTGCAACTGCTATGGGCGCAAGTTCCCCGTGGGACGCACCTCGACTCGCTCACACTACTGGACTCGCCTGGGAATGCCACCGCCTATCGATCTCTTCAGCAATCCGTCGACGGCTCCTGTGTGCCAGCTATCGAGATGTATCTGACAGACCTCGCACAGTTCCGCGACCAGATCCCGGACACTGTTGTCTCATCCGACAGGTCGGCTTTGCTCATCAACTTTGCGAAACGTGAGACATGGTTCGATACGGTAGAGGCGATGCTACGGTATCAAGTGCATGCGTACAGCTTCGAGGAGGATCAAGCAGTCGCAGATTTCGTCGAGACGGGCCTTGCGAGCGTATCGGACCGAGGTTTACTGGTTTCTCCTTAGGTATCGTCACTCGTTTACCATACGTGGTGATCCCTTACTGCTTCAAGCTGTAACAATTGCCGGACTCTGCATCTTGGGCTTGTGGTAACTTATAGTTTTAACCATGGCGAGTATGCCTGTCTACGGACGGGCTCCGTAGATACCTCCTTCTGTTTGGACCAACACTGTGTCAATAGTCATTCGCATGCGTATGAGTATCCTTCCTGCAGGTGCTCGGCGTATCAATTCTCTCCTTTGCGTTCTCATGCGGGAAAGAAACATGTCCATATGTTACTGACAGCAGGCGTGCGGAAAAACAATGTAATACACAGAACAACGTCAGAAAGCAAGGCCTCTAGCAAGAACAAACGGGACCTCAGGAGGGAATGAAAATGAGAGGACACTCCAGGTAGGACGCGCCAGATGTCATTCGCACCGGAACGAGCGATATCAAGCCATCAAAAAGATGCTTCAGCAGTTGCAAGGCTCGTTCTGACCCGGGGCACCAGTCGCCTGCTTGGTGAGATCCACGCCCGTCCGTGCCGATGTGCCTGGCCTGCCCCCTCTTGCAGATGGTGGAGCATTCTGAGGTAGCTTCTTGGCTGTAATTCGCATGTGAGATAATGCGAACGAACATTAACGAGGCCGTGACTGACCGATTGCAGTGAAGATCTCTTGCACACCCTCTCCGGTCTTCGCGCTAGTCTCGGCCCACATGAGCCCCTCCTCCTCGGCGTACTTCTTCGCCTCTTCCTCCGAAACTTGACGCCGTGCAGACAAGTCGGCTTTGTTGCCACACAGTGCAATCACAATGGACGGATCCGCCTGACGCTGCAGCTCACGAATCCAAGATCGTGCCTTCTCGAGTGACGCAGCTTGCGTGATGTCGTATACAACCACCGCGCAGTTGGCATTACGGTAGTACATCGGTGCCTTCAAAGATAGTCAGTTAAAAGCATCAGTAGTCGAGTGCCATACGTACGAGACTCTATATATCTCAATCAATACTATGTCGGTCGCCTGAGGTAATTGCGAGCTACGTACCTTGTATCGCTCCTGTCCAGCAGTGTCCCTGACATTTGCACATGATATCCAAATTTCTCAAAACACTATTGGTGCACATACCATATCTCAAACTTCACGGTTGTTTGGTCGTCCAGCGTGACAGTCTGGGTCAAGAACGCGGCTACGTAACAATGCCACTGAGCCGCGCCGTAGTGAATCATGAAGGAGCCAAGAGTGCATACCTCCAATAGTACTTTCTCGATAGTCATCGAACTGGTCCTTCACGAAACGCAACACCAAACTAATCCATTGCGGGGCACATGTCTGAGCTCAGAAGCCAACGTGTGCATTCCGGCGCCATACCTGGACTTCCCGACGGCAGACTCGCCTGGACGGCGCACGAGGTGAGCGGCCGCCGTCAGCGCATATTTGAGATCGCTCACCGAGCAGGACAAGCTTGAACTGCAGTTGTTTGGACATGGCAAAGGGGAACAAGAAGACTGGAGACTTGCAGGAGTGATACGCCTTCGACGCGCAGCGTCAGTGGAGGTGAGGCAATGGCCAAGAATGGAAGGGGATTCCCACCCTACCCAACCGTCGTGGGCGACGAAGTTTTGCTATCGCTCCTCGCTCCAACCACCACCTTACTTTCCCTCGTCACCGCATACTGCTGGCTGTCTGCATCTTTCGCTGCGTCAAGGGTAAGGTCGTGACACCACTGCACACTGCGAGTGCCAAAGCGTGTCTACATTGTCCTGAGCTTCGTTCTGGTACTTCGGCCACATCACTGAGTCACAGCTAATCCTAGCCTGATTCAACTCAAGAACAAGAATTCGCTGAGAATATGAACCGGCATCATCCCTATGGGGGCTCGTTCGAAAACCCCTCCCCACGCAGGGGCGGTCCTCCCAACGGATTTGGCCCTGATAGATCACACCGCTTCGATAATAGGGGCGGAGCGCCCCGAGGAAGAGGGGGATATGGCCGTGGTCGCGGAAGCGGCGGCGGCAGCGGCGGGGGAGGAGGAGGATATGGGAATTATGAAGCAAATGCAGGCTCCTTTGATCAAGGTCCCCCTCAAGCCGACATGGGAGGTTACAATAATTACGACTCGGCGCCCACGCAAGAGGCTTTCTATCAGAATGGCAACTTCAGTGCTTCGGTGTCTGGTCAATATGGCTCCCCCACAGATCCTACTAGTCGCTTAAATCAGGGATATGGGGACTTTGAAGGTGCGCTTCGGACATCACGTTGGAATTGGCAGATGGAGCTGTGCGGTCTCGAACTGAGGCACGTTAGGCACCAGATGCCACACTGAGCATTCTTGTCAAACTTACGTTCTGAGTCGGCCATCGCACTTCGCTCCGTGAGCTCGTTCTAGGAACTTCCTTGCGCGGTGATTTAGGATTCCGGGATATCCGCTGAAGTCAGAAGTGCGACTGTTCTTTTGCATCAACACCTAGCGAAGTCGTTAGCGCTGTTCAGGGCCGATTCGCTACGTCTGCATGTTATCGCATTCAAGCGAGTACACGTGCTAAGTCCTTATATGCTCCGCCTGATGCTGTGGTATATTCGAAGGACACGTTCTCACATCCACCGATTTTCTTGTCAGACGATGCAGGGTACGGTCAGGGAGCCTTTGGGGGCCGTCCGCCTAAGAAGTTCCCACGACGTGAACGGGATGATAAGGTGCATGACTCCATCATTGAGGAGCGCATCCAGCGAGAGCGTCCATGTCGTACATTGTTCATTCGCAACATCAAGGCGAGTCACAATTCCATGGTCACAAGGATTCGAACAACTCGGCTATTATTGTGGCCCCGTCGGAGTTATAAACTGACAATATCGTCTTTTTACGCAGTATGAGACAAACAGTGACGATGTCCGAAGATTATTTGAGGAGCACGGCGAGATTCGCACTTTTTTTGATTTAATCGCGAACCGAGGCATGGTCTTCGTGACATACGTAAGTGAATGCACAAATTCCCTCAATGACTCAGTTGATCCATATACGGGCAGTATGACTTGCGTGCCGCAGAACGTGCAAGAGACCGTCTTCAGGGTTCGGAGATCAGCGGACGGCCTGTAAGCAACCATTCAGAAGATGTATTTGATCGTGAGTCTGAGGGTACATGTGTCAATCCAGATCGATGTCCATTACTCCCTACCTCGAGACGACCGAGGCGCAGATAAGAATCAGGTAAGCGACATCTCCCCAATTCACAGGAACACGCGTAACGGTGAATGCGTCTCTGCCGCGCTCGTTTCTTCAACATAGTTGCAAGGCACTTTAATCGTCACGTTAAGAAACTCAGCAAGCGGACAATTAATCAACGATGATGAAGTCCGTCGTAAGTTTCAACAGTTCGGAGATGTTAAGTCTGTCCGACCAATCAATGAACGCAACGAGTATGTCAATGGTATCCTATCTATAGCGTGCAAGCTGACAGGTTCGTCGCATCAGCCAGCGATATGTAGAATTCTACGATACAAGAGTGAGCCCGTACTGACTTTCACGTCTTATTTGTAATTAATATATGTCCAGGCATGCGACGAAGCTCACGACAGACTACGCCATCAAGGTTTGCAGGATGGCGTTATGGACATCGTTTTTGCTGTCGATCCAGAGGAAAGCCACAATCCGTCGCCTCGGTAAGTTTTCTGCCAGAAATGATTCCTCCGATCGATGCTAAACTAGCCACGATGGCAGAGGATTTGACCGCGGCCGTGAGTGGGATGAACCACAATCCCGTGGCCGTAGGGGAGGCGGACGTGGAGGACGTGGGAGGGGTCGCGGCAGTTTTGGGGGCGATGACTGGGAACGCAAGAGCGATTGGGGCCGTGACCGTGATCGTGGACGATCTTACGACGACTACGGCCGTGGCAGAGGCCGTGGCTTTGATGACGGCTTTGACAACAGGCAAGATGGAGGGTATGGAGCCTCAGCTCCTCCCGGCCCACCCGGGCCTACTGGTCCTCCGAGTTACGGAGGACCTCCTGCGCCATTTACTCAGCAGCCACCCCCCGCACCGGTAGATCCTAATATGCTTATAGTGGTCCAGGTGACTGAATATTATTCTCTGCAGCCCGTAGATGAGCGGCTTGAGCAAGCGAAGAAGGTGCAGCAATTGCTCGCGGCATTGAAACAACCACAGGGTGGCGGCGGGGCTTCGAACACACCCACTCCTACGACAGCACCTCCCCCGCCGATGCCGCCAATGCGACAGGCCCCACCAGTACCTAACCCGTACTACGCATCACCGCCAATGCCTCCGCCCCCACAGCAACATCGTCCCTTCCCCCCGAACGGACTTCCATCTGCTCCAAATGCGAATCATTACCCTCCAATGCCACAGCAGCAGGCTATGCCACCACAAATCTCGATGCCGCCGCAGAGCTCGACCCCCCAGCCTCCCGCAGCAGCTATAGCGAACTTGCCGCCGAATCTGCTTGCGCTATTGCAGCAGAACGGTCAGGCTCAACACCAACAGCAGCAGCAGCAGCAGCAGCAACACCATCAGCATGTGTCAATGCCGCAGATGCCGTACAATATGCCACCGCAACAGATGATGACGTCGCCACCTCCGCCGATTCCTGGTGTGAACTCCATGCCATCAGCCTCTCAGCCGGGCTATCAGCAGCTCATGGCATATTTGGTGAGTAGCCTGCAACTGCACCTGATGTTCATGAAATGACGAGAACGTAGCAGTCTCAAAAGCCGCATCAGTGAGCCGTGAGAACTCAAGCACCAAAAACCAGAGTCCGGTCTCAAATTTGACGTTCTTGCAGCTATCTTATTGAAGTGCTTTCACAGTTCACCGTAAATATTGTAATTCCAACCTTCTCTTGCTGCGATGCGCGTGTCCTTTTTCTTCATCTTACTTGTCGCTCGCGTCTCTCCCCTGTCCTCTCCGCTGCTCATTGCGATTCCTTACGTCGCGGACTACGCTGTAATGCATTCAATCCGTCGACCGAACTTTGCTAGCTAGTAGTAGGCAGTAATAGTTGGTAGCGGTCTGGAATGTGCCGTAGTAGTGCTGTTAGGCATCGGACAAGCCTCGGATAGGACTCGTGGTGATCAGGGTCCTGAAGCGCGCATGCGTGGACGCGTCAATGTCGCGTCGCGCGTCCCTCAACCCTGCTTCACTATGCTCCATCTCGCCAACCTGCGTAATCTTCTCTCCCAAGTGCTCGCACTGCCGGAGCTGCACACGGCGGTTCTATTCACGCCTGAGGGCCAGCTCGTCTCGTATGCGGCGGACCCGTACAAGCCCAAGGACCATGTGCGGGTTCTCGTTGGCCTGAGCGGGGAGATTTGGCAGGAGACGAAGGAGCACGGCATCGGGATGGCGGACAGTGAGGTGTGTGTGTCGTGTTATGCTGGCAGCATCGTGTAACGTCGCGACAGCTAGGCCGGTTACTAATCATGCCCATTGAACGGATCGACGAATCAACATTGAATGGCGCTGAAGAACACGATCCGGTGATGCTCCTCACGCTTAATGCGGACAATAGTGTCTCTTGGGAAGAGCTCGAGATCAAGGTCATACTATCAGCATGTTGCAGCTGACGCTTTGCTGACCTGGTCGCGCTCCGCAGGCAACAGAACTAGCGAGACACTTGGGAAAGCCACTCCTCGAAATGGGCGGGCGACTTGCTGTGGCTCCTCCACTCCTTGCCGGCCCACGTCCGGAACGTGTTGCTCGCTGAGGGCCCCCCAAAACGTCACTTATGCTCTGCCGAACACAGGAGTTCTCGTACGACCTACACGCTTGCTGCTATCGCGAAGCCTGGCCGAGTGATCGGTCTGCCTAAAGGACGTCACTAATGCAGCAAGAGCCAATTACAAATCGTTCATTGTGATGGTTGAGCCGTGCAATGTCAGCACAGACGGGCTGCGCTTTCTCCTCCCGAACGCGTTACGAGAGTACTTGCCACTCGCGCTCGCGCTCACATCATCATACCCGTTTTCACCCGCTGGCGGTCCTCCTGTTGCATGCTATGTATTGTCGTGTCCGTGTGGAATTGCTATACCAGAATGTACGAAAAACAAAGTTTCGGATCCATAGGATTGGATAATGTACGCCATCAGAGAAAATAGAGTATGACGTCGGCTCAGACGTCGCACGAGAGTGCCTGGCCTGCGCAGAATTACGGGAAAAACCACCCCGAGATCCTCCAGCGCGACAGCGCCCGGCGGGCCAACCACGACGTTGCAATCACCGACTGCTTCGCTCTCGCCAGCCCAGGCACTGCTCTACGTCTGGCCTCTTCCCTGCACCGCTGGACATGCGAGCTTGGTCTGTTGCAGGCGTGCGCGCTTGCCAATCCGCCAGCTCTTCACGAACATGCGCGGTCACGCGGGCCTGCCGAAAATACGGCGTACACGCTCAGCAAAAGAGGTCGCTCCCAACCCAGTCGGTGGCAAGCTCGTCCCAGCCAGAGCAGATCCTCTCCGCTCCCCTTCCTCCACTGCCACCACGCAAACCCTCCGTCCCGGACCCGTACAAAATACTCGCGCCCGAACTAGACCATCTGCGCGGGACGCTCCTCCACCTCCTTGGTTCCTCCCATCCAGGGCTCAGTGAAATCGCAAAGTACTATTTCCTCCATCCCTCGAAACAGTTGAGGCCGCTGCTTGTGCTGTTGTTCTCGCAGGCTACAAACGGTCTCGGCAATGACTGGTATCTCAAGCGGTGGGCCGCAGAGTGCGAGGGCGCGGGCGGGCGGACGGAAGAGCTGGACCGACCACTGACGCGCGCAGACGTACTGAACGACTGGAATCCGAACATGCCAGACCATACGACCTCATTCCAGAGCTCTTTTTCCCTGCGGCCACCACGATCCCCGCGCCAGCCGCCCTTGCCTCCACCAACACCGCCCGCGCGTGACGCGCCGACGCTCTCGTCCCCGCCCTCGCTTCTCCCCACCCAGATACGTCTCGCGCAGATAGTGGAGATGATCCATGTTGCATCACTGTTACACGACGATGTGATCGACAAGTCACCGCTGCGCCGCGGTGTGCCTTCCGCGCCGCTCGCATTCGGGAACAAGCTGACCATCCTCGCGGGAGATTTCCTGCTGGGACGTGCGAGTACGACCCTCTCGCGATTGGGCGACAACGAGGTTGTCGAATTGATTGCGAGTGTTATCGCGAACCTCGTCGAGGGGGAGATCCTGCAGCTCAAGTCGGTACATGCAGAGGAGCTGGGCCTGGGAGGCGTGCAGAGCGTGGGCGCGGAGAATTTTAATATCTATCTGCAGAAGACGTACTTGAAAACGGCCAGCCTGATGGCAAAGGGTGCGCGCGCTGCGGTGGTGCTCGGCGGATGCAAAGAGGGTGAAGTCTGGAAGGAAATCGCCTATGCATACGGGCGCAATCTCGGGATCGCTTTCCAGGTATGTCTGCCCCCCCTGTGTTTGGCACCCCCTTTCACGGTGACATGTGCAAACGTTCATGCGACAGCTTGTGGACGACATCTTGGACTACGAGTCCGGTGAAGCCGCCATGGGCAAACCCGGTGGTGCCGACCTCAAGCTCGGACTAGCAACAGGGCCCGCCTTGTTCGCCTGGGAAGAGCACCCGGAGATGGGGCCGCTTATCAAGCGCAAGTTCCAGCAGGAAGGGGACGTCGAGCTGGTAAGTGCACAGTCCGGACCGCGCGACGAGACTTGAGGACGGTGATATTTCATGTTGGGATATCTGACGATCTCCCACCTGTAGGCCCGGGACCTGGTACGGCGGTCGTCGGGGGTAGAGCGGACGCGCGACCTCGCGCGGATGCACGCAGATAAGGCACGGGAGGTGCTGGCGCCGCTCCCGGAAAGCGATGCGAAGGGTGCGCTGGAGGTCCTGACGGAGCGAGTGGTGAAACGGACATGGTGATGCCTGAGAGACTTTCGAACGCCAGCGACATCGATATTGTACGGACGCTATATTCACGGCTCGACTGTCAGTCCTCGGGCCCCGGAATGCTAACCCTGCTCTTATAATTCTGATCGCGAGTTTCTTGGTTTGAACGGCATGAGGCTGTCGGTCGAGTGTGCAACATGGCAAGGCGTAGAGCTCGAGATATACGAGCGGCAGTCCAGTCTCCTGCAAGAGACGCGAGGGGGTGTCCGAGGGTGGAGCTTTCTGTCACTGAATGCTGAGCGGTGACCCGGATCACCTCTGTCCCCTTTTCTTTTGATCCGCACTCCCATCATATCCTCCATTTGACGACCAACTTCAAAATCGCCAAAAAGATGGCAAACATAGTAAATCTCAGCGAGACCTCACTGCTTCCTAGAAAAACTGCAAGCATCACATCGTTGGATACCACAGGAGCAGCCTTATCCTCAGAAACGCGGCGCAGCAAGCGATCTATCTCAAAGTTCGATATACTGTCCACGCCAGCAACTCCCCCGGCTCGCAAGCGGGTGAATCCTGAAAGTCTTGCGGCCCGTCTGGGCCCGCAACTCGTCAAAGAGCTGGAAGCTATGCTGAAGCCCGGACTGACGGAAATGCCCCCGTTCGTCGCGCGCCAGGCTCTCCAAAAGCGCTTCAACATCAACCGGCGACACATTTATGACTGGTTCCATAGCAAGGGACTGCGAGTGACGAAGGAGGACACCCGGGCCACTGAAGACTCTCTTAGTGGCCCGGCTCGCCCGCAGGTATGCACGCATATAGCCATGGAAGTTTGTGCGGCTTCACATCGACGTTGCAGAAATTTCCGAGATTGGCGAAACAGCCCCCGCCCCCCTCAAGTTCTATTCTGGACACATCCACCCGAGCCGGATCTGGAAGCGGGCCGTCGTCCTTGGGCCTGGGAATCTTCACCGCCTCTGCACAGACTATCCCCACCTTGGGTGCGCACGCCGGCTATGGAACTCCTGGGGAGTTGTATACCTGGCCTACTGGCGGTGCGCCGGAGCTTGTGAACTTCGACGTCAGCGACTTCCAAGGCAGCCCGACATCATCTATCACTGTGCCGGGTACACGTACGCTAATGAGCAACCTATCCGAAGAGCCTAGTACTGTGCTTTTGCCTGGCGAAATCAATCAGCAAGCTGCCATTAGTCGGAGTGTGGGATTTGCGGAACAGTCCACTGGCGTCGCTCTTGATCCCGACGCATCCAAGGAGAACGTGAATCCTATGCTGGCTCTGGTATCCCAGGGCTACCTCTCTGAAGCGGAACGTCAAGCGGTCTACAACGGGCTGTCGCATGCTCTGGGGCCTGCGTCCGGGATTCAGGAATCTGTAGGAACTTACAAGGCTTTTATGATGGAACAAAGACAGCTGTACTACGAGCGGCTTATTCCTGTCGAGGTGGCATCTCCTGTCAGCGATGCTGTATCCGAGAGTGGTCTAACTGTGGACAGCCCTGCCATAATGACTCCTGGATCTGCTTCCACACCTTATGTTCAACTACAGAGTACATTGCTCCGTAGCGAAGTGTCAACTTCCAGTCCTGCGGTCTCCGAGTATCACGGCTGGCTCTTGGGTGGTTCGCGCTCGCTTCCCAGCAGTATCGTCTCCTCGCGCATACACACGCCTGATCTGTCTTCCGACGCTGGCCCGAATACGTCGCGCTTCTGGGCTCCCGAAATATCTGACTCTGCTTACTCTAGCCCCGCACTGGACCTCGGCGACATCCTAGAAAGCCCTGTCCTGCGCTCCCGCCATCCGACCGCCGAGCAGCCCAAGAACCCCCCGACGGAACACGAGCAGCAATTGGCCGAGCAAGAGCTGCACCCGACGTGGGTATATGCGCCAGGTTGCCGGCAATTCAGCGTCCCTCTGGCACCTGTATACCGCCCCGAGCTTCTCCGCCACGGGCATTCTTGGGAGGATCCTCGCATGGCGCCATTCGCCCACTTCTCCGCTGCCTCGGTCAGCCGCTGGGAACATAGCGAGTTCTCGCTGACGCTGCAGGACGCGAAGGCACACCGGGGCTTGGAGAAGATGATGTCCGACAAGAGCAAAGGCAAAGCCCGGACTAGAACGCGCCCCGGCGCAATCAGGGATCAGGCGGATCCCGCCGGCGGACAGTGAGCGGCCAACTCTCGTGCGTTCATGGTGATCCGCACCGCTCTCCGCAGTGACGTTTGCTGATGCACTTACTCAGACAGATTGGTCGCCCTTGTTGTGATCTCGCCTGAGGCTCCGCGGTTCTATACCCTCTGCGTATGAATGGACTATGATACCACTTTGTGTTGTTGTTTCATCCGCGTTCTATTCTAGTGCGTCCGCTAATCGCTGTTTCTGGCACTTCATTTCTCTTCGGTTCTCTTCCAGCCTGAGCAGCGCCCTTGTCCTGTAATCTGTTTCAGCTATCGCATGATTTTGATCCGCGTTCATTAAGGATACATTTGGCCCCAGGCTATCGCAGTAGACCTACCGTAACTTCTCCTGTATCGCCTTCTTTTGTCCACGCAATTGGTTTTGTGCCCTCGGCGGGATCTATCTTGAATGTTCATCTGCGCGGATTGCCGTTGCTTGCGGAGCGGCCGCGGCAATGCCTGTTAGGACGATTTAGACTGGTATTAAGCCATCTCTTTGGATATCCGTCGCATCTCACTATCGTTTTGTCAATTTGTCGACATCTTCCCGGGTCAAATGAAGCCGTGCGTTCATTCATGTGCGGAGCGGCAGATGAGCATTGTAGCGCAATGTCGTTACAATGCTCATCTACCGTTCTATCCATGATTCTGGCATATTCATACTGCAGACTTCTGGCCCTATCAGCGATAGCAGTAGATATGAGGCGTAATAAGGCTCTGCTTTCAACGGGAACTTATAAGGACATTGTACATTCAAACCGCATGAACCTTGCAGCTATGCCCTTCCATTGAACATTATGTGGCATGGGTAACTTCTGGACTGAACTTTCGATATGCGGAGTAACCTAAGCTACGACAAGACCCTTTACTTTACGACATAACCATACCGAGCTGAAGCGGAAATACACCCTACGATAGTACAACGACGCCGTGGCCAAGTGCACGCGCGTTCTTCCCGCGCGCATATCGGCCTATCGCTCAGCGCATGAGAGGGCCACAGACGTCATACCGCGCACGGAGCAGGTCGGGATATCGATACGGCGTGGCCAGGGTCAGACGTGGCACCGCCACTCGCTGCATGCATGTGCACAGGAACAAGAGCGTGTCTCCCCTTGGCAAGCCCATGGCATTCACCCTTGTGCATGACGAGCTGCGATCTCCGACGAGCACAAGCGGACGGCCCGGATAGATGTGTAGATGTCGATGTCGATAGGGGAGGAGATGATGTGCGCCTGACGGTGGTGTCGGCGGCAGAGCGGGGCGGAGATGTGAGATATGTACAGTATGTATGTTCAGCCACCTGCCAAGGCCAGCCTCCTTGCGCTCGCATCATCCGTCATCGGCATCGTCATCAGCGACCACCGGTACATAAGTATTGTCGGAAGAGGGACGGGCTGCAGATAGAGATAGATGATCGCACGCTGTAGCGTAGTGTACAACTGTATGAACTGAGAACCACAGCCAAGAGAGCACCACACACAGCTGCCGAGCGCATACAGATCCCGGCGTGTAGGGCGTTCGCATTCCTTCAGAAGGAAAGCCGTGGAGTGCACTGGACGCGAACTGCGTCGTACGCGTCGCATAAGGGGCCAGACCGCCGTCACGCGACGGCTGTTGGAGCGCGTTGGCGGCGGACGCGGTCAGATGGGCGTGCAGTGACGACGTTACGCGTTGTGAGAACACGAGAAGCAGCCCGAGGACGTACAACCGCTGAGGCTACAGCTCGTACGACCACGCCGCGCACCGTGCTCGACACCCAGTGACTTGCCCACCCGCGCGGGTGCCGATGGGCCATGCGTCATGCATTCGCGTTCTGGAAAGCCTGCCGCGTGCCCCTTGTCAGTCGTGCGCGCAGCACCTGGATGGCCACCGGATCGATATCCAGCGCGCGCGAGGCCCTCGGGTGCAGTTGCGTTGGCGCACAATGCATCCTGCAACGTGTGCGAGGGCGAGGAAGGTCTCACAGCGGCTTAGCGGGCCCAGCCCAGAGCTCTGAGCGTGTCGCCGGGAAGGGGTGGGGGGGGGGGGCTTCTGGACAATGCAGTAAATGATTCTGAAGGCGGCCGATCGACAGCGATCACGAGGTGCGAGCGATGACGCAGGCCATCCAATGCGTCGGGCAATCGATCGCGTATCTGGTGCATCGTCCCTGCACGCGGGTGCGCCTGGGCGAGCCGTTGAATTACGAGCTCCCACTGTATCGATCTGAATTGTTGGGATGGGAGATGGGATGGCCGGCCAGGGCGGAGCGGAGCGGGCACGGATGCAAATCTGACTCCGCGGCCGCCCATCGCGATCGCGATTGAGTGCGGATGCGGCCGCGTTGTCAATGCAATACATACAATGCAATTGCGTTGCGACACAGTCCAGCGCGGCGCAGACGGGACCGCACCTTTCCTATGTAGTGCGCTGCGCGAGACGCGGTGTTAGCTCTGCACGCGCTGAGACGGATCACGGTGCTGGCGCGATGGGACGCGTTGACTCGGCGGCACATCGCAATCGAAGGTAAGACCCCTGCGGGACGTCCTCGCCCGGTGTATGCGGACTGTCAGTGTCACTGACAGCGTAGCCGTCGGATACGGTGCGCCCGCGACGGAAGATGAGGAGAGGACGTTGGATACCCGCCCGCAGCCAGCTTCAGATCTGTATCCGTCTGTGTTGTTTGCGGGATCGGCGGCATCGCCAAGGAGACGCAGCGATATCCGGACACTATATGCTGTAGCCTGTATGCGTATGCTGTATACTGTGTGCCATTGATCAATCAGTCTCACCCCTCGCTCGCAGCCCGCGCGGACCGCAGAAACGTGATGCCTCGCCGTCGTCATCGGCCCCCAGCGCGCCCCATGCGGCAAGCCAGTCCCAGGGACCGTGCGGGCCCGCCTCGCGGCGGACGCATGCACGCAGCGTGCCCGCCGAGGTCGCTGCACCCGGGCGATATCCAATGCTGCCGCGCACCCGGCGACCGGGCGACGTGGATGTGATCAGCGCAGCGGCAGCAGCAGCAGCAGCATGCACCCAGCTAACTTAGCACCTGCACCTGCCTTTACCGAAAGCATGGGCGTGCGGTGCGGTGTGCTGGGCGTGCGGCCTGGGGCGAGCCGCCACTAAATGTAAAGCTGAATCTCAGTGGCTGGGAGATAAGTGGCGTTAGCGTTGGTGCATGATGCAGGATGGCTGGGGAAGCTGGGCGATCGGGGGGGGGGGGGGCAGGGGATTCAGATACACGTGTGGGTGCAGCGCGGGCTGAGACGGACATACATACACGGGCGGCGCACACGCTGCGAGATCCCAGGCACACGATGGCCGACCGGGAGCGCGCGCGTGGCCGCACAGTTCGGTGGGCCGCTGGAGGAGTACTTGGGGAGGGTCTGTTTTGCGCGGCGTGATTCGTGATTCTCGCGCTGCGTGTGCCCCGAGAGATCTATCCACCGCCACTTGCGCGCCCACTGCCGCTGCCGCTATCGCCGGCGCCTGGCCCGGATCTCGAGGACGGCACGGGGGTCGATTAGATAGACGGGGGTAAGTATAGTTGGCGGGAGAGCGGGGGCGAGGATGAGTGTGCGGGGCGAGGATGAGCCGCATCGCGGGGGTGCGTGCGTGAGTACGTGATACAGCGGCCGACCCGAGCGTGCGGAGTGAGCGTCGGTGGCGGCTAAAGCGCACGGGGACGCCGCGCATTTAGGATGCAGTAAGAAGGGACGGGATGGGTAATCGCGGGGGGAGCCGGTGGGAGGGATCGCGCGGCGTGCAGTGCCACGCGGCTGATTTGGGACGACAGCGTGGGAGGCGAGATCTGGGGAAGGGACGCGCGAGACGCGGTGGCCTGGGCGGGAAGGACGGCACACCAGCTCGCGTAAGGGCGTGACTAATGCGTGCGCCGGTGTGTGGCGATGGGCCGGGGGAAGCGCAGGGTCGGGTGCGCAGCAGCGTCCCGAGCCCAAGGCGGGAGGGGGCGATCGCGGGAGGAGTTGATATCGGAGTCTGTGCGCCACATGGCATGAGGGGGCGTGGGGGTGCGCCATGGCCGGCATAAGCGGGCAGCGTCGCAGAGAGGGCGCGGAGGGTGTCTAGAGCGGAAGCAAGGAAGCACTAGGAAAGTAAAGGAGGCCTGGGGCGGCACGCCGCTGCAAAGATGGGGTCGCATAGCAGACGCATAGAGTGGCAGCGTCAGGAGACTGACAACGCCTTACGACAACGGCCGCATGCACCCCTCCAGCTATCGTCCAATCGTGCGCCGAGAATCGACCGACTTGCCGGGGAAATAACCGGAAATTAGGGTTGCGCACAAATAAGGAGCACGGGCCAAGGTTCAAGTGCGTCGCCACTCGCAGAGCCAGATATCGTCCGCCCGCTCGTCGTCGCGGCTCTGTTCTATATCTCGCTACCCTCGACCCTCGACAGATAATCACAGCTGCGCGGTGTCCAGGCGCTGCCTCGAGGCGGCATCATACATGAACTGTCGCGTGGGCCGGAGTGCACTGCTCTGCCAGAGTTCTCACCACGGACCAATCAACAGGTATAAGCTTCATCCATTCCGTCACCTCCCCCTCCCTCCTTCCGCCGCCTCATAATCCCCGCCCTCTCTCCCTTCCTCCCAGGCGTCTTCCACGCCGCCCCTGCGCTTCCCTATGCCCCGCCGCGGCCGCTCCCCCGACGTCTCGCCCCTCGCCTTCGCCAGCGAGCAGCCCATACACGCCCGAATATCCGTCTCTCTCGTCCAACAATCGAACCCACACAAGCACCCGCGGCAGCACGCGTCGCCACCCTCCAGTCGCCACTCGCGCACTCGCCACGCCGCCACCGCGGACACAATGGCCCACCCCGTCGCCTCGACCTCCCGCTTGTCTTCCCTGCCTCTGTCCGCGCCACATTCTCCTCCCCCCCCCTCCTCCCCCGCTGACCTCCCGCTCTGCCCTACTTATTCCAGCTCCCTCGCCTCCCTCTCGCCCGACCCCACGCCCCTCGGGCCGCTCACGCCCCCCGACGCCCGCGCGTACCCCGTGCCACACTTCGCCATGGACTACTACGAGCGCCCCCCGTCCCCGCCCCGCACCCTCAAGGACCGCATGCAGGTCGCCTACGCCCTCGACGACATGCACCTCGCCAAGGTCCTCCTCCTCAAGCTCCAGGGCATCGACGTCACCGGCGACGACGACCCCCGCATCGCCGCCGTCAGGGACGAGGACTTCACCAGCGCCTTCGTGCCCCCCGGCGGGCTCCGCCTCGAGGAGGACGACGCCCGCCGCTGCAGGGAGGGCGCCGCCCGCGAGCGCGCCCGCATAGCCCGCATCGAGCGCGACGAGCGCCTCCGCGCCTGCGCGCGCGTGTGGGAGCGCCACGCCCGCGCGTCGCGCGACGCCAAGGCCAGGGCCGCGCAGAAGCGCGAGGACGCCGCGCGCCGCAAGGAGGACGAGGCGCGCCAGCGCCGCCGCGCCGAGCGCGAGGCCAGGGAGCGCGAGGCGCGCGCACGCGAGCAGGAGCTGCTGCGCCACACGCGCCAGGTGCGCTTCAGCTCGCTGAACCAGCGCCCGCTGCTCGACTACAGCACGCTCTCGAGCGAGCGCATGGCGAGGCGGCCGCCGCGCGAGGACGAGGACGACGACATCCTGTACACCGCGCTCCCCCTCAGCCCGCGCCACTCGCCGGCGTCGTCGGCGCACAGCCTGTCGCCGCCGGGCACGCCGGACAGGGACGCGCTGACGCTGCAGCGCTTCCAGCACGAGCTCGCGGTGCAGCACTCGCAGAGCCTCAGCCGCGCCGTCGCGTTCGACGAGGTCGTCGCCGCGATGGACGGCCCGCTGTTCCCCGTGAACGGCCGCCCGGACCAGGCGGCGCGGGCAAAGCTGAGCCCGGCGCAGCGCGCGATATACGATAGCATGTTCGACGTCGTCGAGTGGACCGCGGAGGAGCGCATAACGGCCACGGGGAAGCTCCCGGAGGACGTGCCGGCGAAGCTGAGGAGCAGCGCACCCCGCGACGCGCGCACAGAGTGCGTCGCGTGCTCGCTCGGCTCGACGTCGACGTCCGCGTCCGCGGCGCCGTCCGCGGAGCCGTCCTCCGCCACCACCGTGACGCGCACCAACTCCTGGTTCTCGTTTGGCAGCCGCAGCTCGCGCTCGACCGCGTCGACCGCGCTCACCAGCCCCGCGTCCTCCATCCTGTCGCTCAAGTCTCCCGCGCAGGCGCAGGCGCTGCTGCCGCTCGCACCATCATCATCCCCGTCCCCGTCCGTGCTGCTCGCGGAGCCCAGGCCCATCCGCCACTCGTGCCGGCGGTCCGCCCTCGCGCCCGTCCCGCCGTCCGAGGACCCGCTCGCGCCCCCGCATCCGTATCTCGCTCTCGCGCGGCACACGAAGGACCGCCCGCCGTCCGCCGCGCTCCTCGCGCGCGGGCGCACGCTCGCGCGGAGCGACTCGCGGCACCGCGACAGCCAGGACGAGCGCGGCCTCGTGCGGCGCGTGGGCCGCTCCGTGACGACGCTCATGGACATCGCCGCGCAGTTCCAGCGCGCCTACGTCAAGGCGACGCTCTTCAGCGTGGGCATGGACCCCCTCTCCCGCTCCCGGTCCGGCTCGCGCTCGCCGCCCCGCGCGCGCCGCACGCCCTC